TCCACGTTTATCCCCAAAATGCCGAGCGTCAAGCAGGGTAAGTTTGTTTGTTGTTTAACGTCGCACTCAGCAACATTACAGCTATATGACGCCGGTCTGTATATTATCATGTCTGGACCTGACAAACCAGTGATTGGCATCATGAGCATCGATCTACGCAATTGCGATACAATGACATGAATAAACCAAATCAGCGAGCCTGACCACCAATCCCTTGTCTTAAGACAAGCATAGTCGCCATTTACGACCAGCATGGGTTGCTGAAGACCTATTCTAACCAGGATGTTCACCGACCTTCTGCTCTCCAGGCAGACACTGTATCTGCTAGATAAGGGAAGCAGTCCCATAGCAGGGATAGTTCTTACAAAGTTTCAGCTCCATAGGCCTGTAGACCCAGAGATGTTGAGGGGGCGGGGGTAACATAAAAGCCAACACTCATAGCTGGATCAAAAATCAAAATATGCCAAAACAATATCTTATGTCATTCTAAAACCAAAATTTACATTTTCAATTTGTCAGCAAGGTTGAAAATCAGATCAACACTTTTTTTAGGGACACCACAGCAAAAGACATGGCAAAAGTTAATGGACGACTAACCACGTGAGTTAGATGAGCTATAATGCATAGTATTAAATTTTGTTTCATTTTTGTGAGATATGGCTTATGGCTTTTTTAATCTGACACATTTCACCTAACCCCAAAAGGTCGGAGTAGACTAGGTCTTCAGCAACCCATGCTTGCATTTAAAGGTCACTATGTTTATCGAAAGAGGCAACAAACAGGATCGGATGATCAGGCCCGCTGACTTGGTTGATACATGTCATCATATCATTGCGTAGATCGATGCTCATGTCAATCACTGGATTATCTGGTCCAGACTAATTTATTTACAGACTGTCGTCATATAGCTGGATTCTTGCTGAGTGTGGCGTTAAACAACAAAGAAACAAAACAAAAACATTTCACCCAAGACAGGCACCTCTGTACTACCTCCAAAAGGACCTTCCAGATGTCTTCTCTATATAACTCAAACACTGAAGTCACCAGAAGCTAATCATCTGGCAAGTAACAACCTGAAACATAATTGTCAGACACACCTTCCCTGCTGTCCTGTGACAATTCCACAACATCAGGCCCATACAACACCAGGCCTATACAACATCAGACCCATACATCAGGCCCATACAACACCAGGCCTATACAACATCAGACCCATACATCAGGCCCATACAACACCAGGCATATACAACACCAGACCTATACAACACCAGGCCCATACAACACCAGGCCCATACAACATCAGGACCATACAACACCAGGCCTATACAACATCAGACCCATACAACACCAGGCCCATACAACATCAGGACCATACAACACCAGGCCTATACAACACCAGGCATATACAACACCAGGACCATACAACACCAGGACCATACAACACCAGGCCTATACAACATCAGGCCTATACAACATCAGGCCCATACAACACCAGGCACATACAACACCAGGCCTATACAACATCAGGCCCATACAACATCAGGCCCATACAACACCAGGCCTATACAACATCAGGCCCATACAACACCAGGCCTATACAACATCAGACCCATACATCAGGCCCATACAACACCAGGCCTATACAACATCAGACCCATATATCAGGCCCATACAACACCAGGCCCATACAACACCAGGCCCATATATCAGGCCCATACAACACCAGGCCTATACAACATCAGGCCCATACAACACCAGGCCTATACATCATCATCAGACCCATACATCAGGCCCATACAACACCAGGCCTATACAACATCAAACCTATATATCAGGCCCATACAACACCAGGCCCATATATCAGGCCCATACAACACCAGGCCTATACAACTTCAGGCCCATACAACACCAGGCCTATACAACATCAGACCCATACATCAGGCCCATACAACACCAGGCCTATACAACATCAGACCCATATATCAGGCCCATACAACACCAGGCCCATATATCAGGCCCATACAACACCAGGCCTATACAACATCAGACCCATACATCAGGCCTATACAACATCAGACCCATATATCAGGCCCATACAACACCAGGCCTATACAACATCAGGCCCATACAACACCAGGCCTATACAACACCAGGCCTATACAACATCAGACCCATACATCAGGCCTATACAACATCAGACCCATATATCAGACCTATACAACACCAGGCCCATACAACATCAGGACCATACAACACCAGGCCTATACAACATCAGACCCATACAACACCAGGCCCATACAACATCAGGACCATACAACACCAGGCCTATACAACACCAGGCATATACAACACCAGGACCATACAACACCAGGACCATACAACACCAGGCCTATACAACATCAGGCCTATACAACATCAGGCCCATACAACACCAGGCACATACAACACCAGGCCTATACAACATCAGGCCCATACAACATCAGGCCCATACAATACCAGGCCTATACAACATCAGGCCCATACAACACCAGGCCTATACAACATCAGACCCATACATCAGGCCCATACAACACCAGGCCTATACAACATCAGACCCATATATCAGGCCCATACAACACCAGGCCCATATATCAGGCCCATACAACACCAGGCCTATACAACATCAGGCCCATACAACACCAGGCCTATACATCATCATCAGACCCATACATCAGGCCCATACAACACCAGGCCTATACAACATCAAACCTATATATCAGGCCCATACAACACCAGGCCCATACAACACCAGGCCCATATATCAGGCCCATACAACACCAGGCCTATACAACTTCAGGCCCATACAACACCAGGCCTATACAACATCAGACCCATACATCAGGCCCATACAACACCAGGCCTATACAACATCAGACCAATATATCAGGCCCATACAACACCAGGCCCATACAACACCAGGCCCATATATCAGGCCCATACAACACCAGGCCTATACAACATCAGACCCATACATCAGGCCTATACAACATCAGACCCATATATCAGGCCCATACAACACCAGGCCTATACAACATCAGACCCATACATCAGGCCTATACAACATCAGACCCATATATCAGGCCCATACAACACCAGGCCTATACAACATCAGACCCATACATCAGGCCTATACAACATCAGACCCATATATCAGGTCCATACAACACCAGGCCTATACAACATCAGACCCATACATCAGGCCCATACAACACCAGGCCTATACAACATCAGGCCCATACAACACCAGGCCTATACAACACCAGGCCTATACAACATCAGACCCATACATCAGGCCTATACAACATCAGACCCATATATCAGGCCCATACAACACCAGGCCTATACAACATCAGACCCATATATCAGGCCCATACAACACCAGGCCTATACAACATCAGGCCCATACAACACCAGGCCCATACAACACCAGGCCTATACAACATCAGACCCATACAACACCAGGCCTATACAACATCAGGCCCATACAACATCAGGCCCATACAACATCAGGACCATACAACATCAGGCCCATACAACATCAGGCCCATACAACATCAGGACCATACAACACCAGGCCCATACAACACCAGGCCCATACAACATCAGGCCTATACAACACCAGGCCCATACAACACCAGGCCTATACAACATCAGGCCTATACAACACCAGGCCCATACAACATCAGGCCTATGCAACATCAGGCCTATACAACATCAGGCCTATACAACATCAGGCCTATGCAACACCAGGATCATGCAACATCAGGACCATGCAACACCAGACCTATACAACATCAGACCCATACAACATCAGGCCCATACAACATCAGGCCCATACAACATCAGGACCATACAACACCAGGCCCATACAACATCAGGCCTATACAACACCAGACCTATACAACATCAGACCCATACATCAGGCCTATACAACATCAGACCCATATATCAGGCCCATACAACACCAGGCCTATACAACATCAGACCCATACATCAGGCCTATACAACATCAGACCCATATATCAGGCCCATACAACACCAGGCCTATACAACACCAGACCCATACATCAGGCCTATACAACATCAGACCCATATATCAGGCCCATACAACACCAGGCCTATACAACATCAGGCCCATACAACACCAGGCCTATACAACACCAGGCCTATACAACACCAGGCCCATACAACATCAGGCCTATACAACACCAGGCCTATACAACATCAGACCCATATATCAGGCCCATACAACATCAGGCCCATACATCAGGCCCATACAACATCAGGCCTATACAACACCAGGCCTATACAACATCAGGCCTATACAACACCAGGCCCATACAACACCAGGCCCATACAACACCAGGCCTATACAACATCAGGCCTATACAACACCAGGCCCATGCAACATCAGGCCTATGCAACATCAGGCCTATACAACATCAGGCCCATACAACATCAGGACCATACAACACCAGACCTATACAACATCAGACCCATATATCAGGCCCATACAACACCAGGCCTATACAACATCAGGCCCATACAACATCAGGACCATACAACATCAGGCCTATACAACACCAGACATATACAACATCAGACCCATATATCAGGCCCATACAACACCAGGCCTATACAACATCAGGCCCATACAACATCAGGCCCATACAACACCAGGCCTATACAACATCAGACCCATACAACATCAGGCCCATACAACATCAGGCCTATACAACATCAGGCCCATACAACATCAGGCCTATACAACATCAGGACCATACAACACCAGGCCTATACATCATCAGGCCCATAGGACATCAGGCCCATACAACATCAGGCCCATACAACATCAGGCCTATACATCAGGCCCATACAACACCAGGCCTATACAACATCAGGCCCACACAACAGCCAGCCTATGATAACTGTTTAGTACAATAATCATAACAGACAGCCTGTTTAGATTTATCAGTTTTATTCAGTTTTGACAGAGCTGATACTGTCTTTACAAACAGCATGAGTTTCACTCCATAATGAAAACAAGTGACTACACAGTGAAAGACAAGATACGGCAGCTAATTTACACCTGACAGCTTCACATCTGTGATGATGCTTGTATAGAAAAGTCAAATTCCTTGGCATCCTGACATGTTTATTTGGATTACCAGTACACAAGTTCCTAAAACAAAAACAAAATCCCCAAATCAAGCTCCTAACTCCTAGCCTAAACACTTCCTAAAACTCATCAGTTAACTCAGATCTGTTCTGTTCTATCATATTACATATCTATATAGATTGATAATAAAAGTTTTGTTTAAATGCATTATCAGATAAAAATATTGATATTAGCCTTGGACTGATCAGAGCGACATGAACCAAATATCCATTGCATAGTGAGGGTTAGGTGTGGCCACACATGTAGGCGTGTGTAGCATGGACGTCAAGGTCAATAAACAGCAATACATCCCTCCAGCAGCAGACTCTGTCAACAAATGTCCAGCCCCTGGGTCAGTGACTTACTGCCTTGACCAGCCATTCATAGGATGACCGTCACACCAAAGTCATCATAAAACCATATAAACAACGGGAAATACGCCATCAACTGTCAAGAAACAGCAAGAAGCAACCAGTCGTTTTCAGAGATTGATTCTCTCACCAATACCTAGAGCTGCATGTGCTACTGTCCTGAGATAAGAACTCACACAAGACAAGATACATACCGGTACTTCTACTCTCACAAATTAGTACCAAATCTACGAAGTTATGATTATGTGATAACACTGAATGAAGAGTTGGCTAATGTGCAGCTGATGGGACTGTGTCTTGTTCCCGGACGGCTCCAGCCTTGACAGTAGTCTTCTTCACCTACGCAACACTGAAATATGACATTTCATGAAACTAACCTATTACATAAACAGTACATAAGGACTGGCTGACAAGGACGTGACTAAACATGGTAGGGAGACCCTGTACAACTTGTCCGAGGAAACATTGAAACAAACTATCTTTCCATGTTATTGCCGTGACTTTGAGGGAGCCAAACAACCTTGGTCAATAATGCATTATGACTACCATTTGCAACACACTGACTATGATTATCATCTGTTGTCAAGATATCAGCACCCAGCTTCTCTCCGGTTGCGTATTGTTTAATCTCATGGCAAAAACAAAACACATCTCTGCAAAATTGAAACTTGAACATTTTCATAATCAACCGCAACATCACAAATTTCATACTGTTTTAAACATTTTGCATAAACAAACAAGTGCAGGTCTCATTTGGCATACATGAAAAACAATCAAACTGAGAAACAAGTTTACTCCCAAACAATGAAGGACACACAGACATGTAATGTGAACACCTACATCAAACACCTGGTGTCAGTATGTACCCTGATGAGACATCGTCAGCAGGACTCTCATAATGGCCATATTGGACCACGGATCTTGGATCTGTAAATGTCCACTACACATCCGTCATGCTGGACCTAGGTCTGTGAGTGTGTGTAAGCCACTATTTGCCATACTGGACCTAGGTCTGTGAGTGTGTGTATGCCACTATTGGACATGCTGGACCTAGGTCTGTGAGTGTGTGTATGCCACTATTGGACATACTGGACCTAGGTCTGTGAGTGTGTGTATGCCACTATTGGACATACTGGACCTAGGTCTGTGAGTGTGTGTAAGTCACTATTGGCCATACTGGACCTAGGTCTGTGAGTGTGTGTAAGTCATTATTGGCCATGCTAGACCTAGGTCTGTGAGTGTGTGTAAGTCACTATTGGACATGCTGGACCTAGGTCTGTGAGTGTGTGTAAGTCACTATTGGACATACTGGACCTAGGTCTGTGAGTGTGTGTATGCCACTATTGGACATACTGGACCTAGGTCTGTGAGTGTGTGTAAGTCACTATTGGACATGCTGGACCTAGGTCTGTGAGTGTGTGTAAGTCACTATTGGCCATGCTGGACCTAGGTCTGTGAGTGTGTGTAAGTCATTATTGGCCATGCTAGACCTAGGTCTGTGAGTGTGTGTAAGTCACTATTGGACATGCTGGACCTAGGTCTGTGAGTGTGTGTAAGTCACTATTGGACATACTGGACCTAGGTCTGTGAGTGTGTGTAAGTCACTATTGGCCATGCTAGACCTAGGTCTGTGAGTGTGTGTAAGTCACTATTGGACATGCTGGACCTAGGTCTGTGAGTGTGTGTAAGTCACTATTGGCCATGCTGGACCTAGGTCTGTGAGTGTGTGTTAGTCATTATTGGACATGCGTATCCCACTATTGGCAATGCTGGACCTAGGTCTGTGAGTGTGTGTAAGTCACTATTGGACATACTGGACCTAGGTCTGTGAGTGTGTGTAAGTCACTATTGGCCATGCTGGACCTAGGTCTGTGAGTGTGTGTAAGTCACTATTGGACATGCTGGACCTAGGTCTGTAAGTGTGTGTAAGTCACAATTGGCCATGCTGGACCTAGGTCTGTGAGTGTGTGTTAGTCACTATTGGACATGTGTATCCCACTATTGGCAATGCTGGACCTAGGTCTGTGAGTGTGTGTAAGTCACTATCCGCCATGCTGGACCTAGGTCTGTGAGTGTGTGTAAGCCACTATCGGCAATGCTGGACCTAGGTCTGTGAGTGTGTGTAAGTCACTATTGGCCATACTGGACCTAGGTCTTTGAGTGTGTGGAAGGCCATCATTTCGTGGCCATGCTGGTCCCAGGTCTGTGAGCGTGTGGAAGGCCATCATTTTGAGGCCATGTTGGTCCCAGGTCTGTGAGCGTGTGGAAGGCCATCATTTCGAGGCCATGTTGGTCCCAGGTCTTTGAGTGTGTGGAAGGCCATCATTTCGAGGCCATGCTGGACCTAGGTGGTGAGTTGTAAGACTCTCATATTGGACGGATGAACCAGGTCAGTGTATAAGATCAGTGAGTATCACAGACATTGCTACGTGAATATTGTGTAAGTAATGGTCATTACAAAAGCAGATCCCTTTTATTCATATCCAGACAGCATTCTGCCAGGGGAGGTTATATATACAATCTGTAACTCAAGACATTATTCCAAACCAAAGTTACTTGTGTGGTGAAGGCTGGGTGGCCTAAAACTTGAGACTCTGTATACTTATGTAACTTGTTCATGTCATGGAGTGCAGCATTTGGCTAAGCAGTCTCACAGCCTGGCAGACAGTAAATATCCTCTCATTCTCAACAATGTACTACTATCAGTGATTATCAGTTACACTGAGCCATCATGTGTCAGGCAAAGGTAAAAACTTAATACTTATTAACAAATCTCTATCATTGTTGGATTATTATCAAGTTAACACTCCATCACTCCATCTAGCTACCGGAATGTAGCATAGCATAGGGACTGCATAATGTCAGAGACTGAGACAATAAATGCACAATTTGAAATTAAATCCTACAGATCACTGACATGCTCACTCATATATGTACAGGATGCATAAAATTCATTTAGTACAAAACTAACGTTACAATTATTCAGGTAAAATGTGTATGTGTTATAAAAAATAAATAGTCTTTATATACAGGAATGTTGCTGCCAGAGGCAGGCAGCTGTTTCAGCTGGTCGGCCGTGTATCACAGTGATGAGGATGCTGTAGCCACTGCTGCTGCTGAAGATGCTGCGTCAGTCAGGAATTGGAGGATGTAAAGTAGAAGGGAACCTAACAAAATACTTCCCTGTATTTGTCAGGACAGATGTCAAATACTTTGTAATGGTGTGATCACTAACAAACACCAGGTAAGAGTGAGTGAGTTGGGTTTAACACTGTTTTTAACATTATTCCAGATATATCACGGCTTAATGTGGGAGGAAAGCCCAAAGTGATGCAGGTCTCAGACGTTTACCACTTTGGTGAAACCCACGAGCACAGGTATAGTGGTGTCGAACCTAGAAACATAATCGGGGTGAACCAGGAATCGATTCCACTATCATAGGATTCTGGTGTGCCCAAGGGACGCAACTCTGCACAGCGAATTGCGGGGCCTTAAGACGACTGGGCAAGGGTGTCACCTCATAATCCTCATGCCGAACAGTCAGTAGTAAGACAGCAGCAGCAGCAGCAGGCTCAGCTTGACAATGTCCTGACACTCTTGTCAGTGTAACTTAAAACATATATTGATCTTGCAACAAACATCAAGGAATGCTCTGTGTATTTGCACAACGTGGAGGAGGACCTTGCCTCTTGGTCCTGTTGTTTTGTACACTGGTGCTGGTCCTGGTCACAGGGCTTCTTTCATCACCATCCTGGCAAGTGAACAAACCACATTTAATTGCAATTGAAAAAAACAGCTGAGGATAAAGCAGAAAGTATCAGATTCCTATTTCAGGCTAATGATATTACATATTGTATCATCAAAATCATTTTAACTTTAATATTTCTATTCATGAAGTCTTTAATTAGAAGTTGGAAGGACATGAATACAAGACACATTTTTAAGGATTACAACTTCTTTTATTCTTTGTAACAGAAGTTGTTCTCCATAGAAAGTGGGATGTATTAACTTCTGTTCATGTTGGTACAGACATGTGGGACATTGTACAGACAGAAGTTTGTTATCAAATGAGGTATGTTAATAACATCAAATATGTGAAAAACTGAAGAGATAATGTGTTGTTTGAAAAAATATAGTTACATATATATGCAACACATTCAGATGGTGCCAGCACGTCTACAGGTCTAGTCAGAGGTAATAATGATAGAGATATTAGGAAACAAAATAAAGAATCTAAAATATTAATGAAACAAACGGCCAAAGCACCCATTGTACTCTAGCTCTACCACCCTGCATTCACAAAATCAGCATCAGCGTGAACATCGCCATGTAGATCAATATCAACGTGTACATCATCGTCTACATCAGCGTGTACAGTATCTGACCGTGGCATGAGATGCTGCTAGTACAGAGATGACCAGAAGAGTGATGCATTCCATGACCCGCGGCACACTTCCCCGGCAAACAATATTTCATGTACATCATGGTGTGTCAGCTTCATGTGGACAGAAAGCACTTAGTGACGCAGGTCTCAGATGTGAAATCACTTCGGTGAAATCCTTGAACACGGGTATGGTGCTGACAAACCTAGAAACACAATCAGGTCAAACCCGAGCCTCGAACCCACGATCATTTGTCACTGGAAGGTAACTCTGCACAGTGAATTGCGGCACCAGACCAGGCCACCTCTCGGTTAGAGCTAGAGACACACAGTAATGAGACTACGTTACCATGTTTACCGGTGTCTGGCTTCACAATGTCCTCAACTTTCTACAGACACTGAGGATGAGAGTAGAATGACCTTGACCTACACTACATATTATTCCCAAGGGCAATGTCATGATGAAGGAGATATTATAACGTATCCTCTTTCCACACTTGACATGACATGATCCAGATGATAACTGCTCCATGACACGCCGGTCCACACACAGCAAGCACTCATACAACACAAACTTCTGTCTACTCGCAATACTCGTCACACAGGATCGTTGTCCATATGTTCTGGACACAGTGGGAGTTATTGCTGGATATTGCTCAAATTTATAACCGAAACCAAAATACATAATACTGAGGATTTGTTTTCAGTTACCAAGATTGGCAGATTCCAGGCCAGAGGATATATTTAGTATTGGTGACCTGACACTGCCATTACTTGGCTCCAAAATAGAGAGATTATATGTAAAACTTAAATGACAAAATGAAATAAATATGAATGACACTAAACTAGCAACACCCTGAACCACATAAACACAACATACAGAACACCCAGTGTCAGACAGTGCAGGTAGGCGGAGGGTAGTGTGGTCTGTCAAGGAGAAATACACAAAGTTTTCTGTGTGCCAAAGGAGAAGTACCGGAAACTTTCTATGTTTCATCTATCAAAGGAGAAATACACAAAATGCTTCAGTTATGTATAAGTTTTTCAGCAGTTCTTCACAAAAGTGGTCATAGGAAAAAGGAAGCTGTCAAATCACATGAACACTTTCCAATGATTTTTCAACCACTAACAGTTTCTTGGTATAACCATTCCTTATCACACATCATGGTACAAACACAGCCACCTTGTCATAGAATCCGAAGTTTCCTTGTCTGGCTGTATACAAAATACTTATAGACTTATAGTTTCATATGAAAGTTCAAAACAGAGGTCACCTATGCACAACATTAAAAAGACCCCACTTTAGTATGACCAAGGTCACTGTAAACGATACGTCTACAGGAAGTGTCCCTGGGTTGCGTGTGTACCACCTGCAGTGTTTTGTCACAATCTCTACAACACACAGACAAGTTACCTGTCTTGGATCGGGTCAGTCTACACCTGGCAAATAAAACATTCAATTTGAGTGCACAGAACTAAAGAAACGTGTGAAGACCGCTGTGCACCTGGCTGGGGTACTAGCCGTGGGAGTAGGTACTAGCCGTGGGAGTAGGTACTAGCTGTGGGAGAAGGAGTAGACTACAGAGCAGCACATCCTCACCCACCCAGGGAAGTCTCCAATGCTGCTCCAACGAATACCTCCATCCATCCATTATGTCTGCACCAAAAACCTGCTGATTTACTTAATCAAAATAACTATCAACCAAAACACTGCCCTTATAAATCTGTTAAAGCTGAATTTTACCATATTTGCCAGTGTATGTGCTGAACTAGTGTGGCATTACACTGGTAAAAGACACCATGTGAAGATTAGAAGTGTCCAATGTACACCATGTTCACAGGTACGCTGAGATAGCATGAGGCAGAATCTGTGGATGCGGGTACTAACTGAATCACCATGGAGACCACCCCCTGAGTGTAGAGGACGAGTTCAGAGTGCGGCGGGGCAACTCACCATCCCCACTCCATGTGCGAATCTGGCCAGTGTGGATGTCATACTTGAGACTGTTGTAGAAGTTAAAATTGAGGTTTCCTTCATCATTTGAAGGAGTCCTGTAATATCAGTGCGAGTAAGGGCATTTCAGTATATGATCATATTTAATTTCATCTGGCACATTGTTGTACATGTGCAGCACAACTTGTGGTAGCCAATTACTGCCGTACAATAAAATACCAAGAGCTTACAACAAAGTGTTTGCCTCCTTATAAGGAAGTATTTTTCCGTTACATCATTTAAACAATAAATTAAATTAGTTCTTAGGTTAAGAGTATACGTCATTGGCCTGTCTCTTAACAGTCTCTGGACATTTGGCATCCACAGTACATGGAACACTGACTACACGAGTGATGCTGTCAAGCTGCAGGGAACACACAGAGGAGGGGAGAAGAGTCAGACGTCCTACCTGGCTAGTCTGTGTGCCGGGGTCATCCTGCGTCCTCCCGCCGGCTGAATGGGGGGTTTGGGGGTGAATGTCTGCTTGCCTGGCTGCACCTCAGCAGGTTGAGTATAGCTAAGCGTCCTCTGAGCGGCGTGAGCCTGAGCAACCATTGCCTGGTGCTTAGCCTTACTCTGCTCCAGAAGTGCTTTGCTCTGCTCCATGAGCCGCTGCTGCTTGGTGGAGTGCTGCTGCTGAGCCAGGTGGTACTGTCGGCTATTGGCGGAGGCATTCTGGTAGTTCTGGGGCTGGACACCGGTCACCTGGCTGTACGCGGCCATCAGGTCACTCTGCCACTGACTACCAGGATCATCAATGAAACTGTTAAATGTCGCATTAGCATTGTCCATGTTAACATTTGCCTTGCCGTGTTTGCCAGACACTTTGTAGTCTGCACGAGGCCGGTTCGACCCAGAAGATGAGGATGGGCGTGATCTAATTATTTGTTCCTCCATTGTTAAATATCTTTGAAGTGGCTGGACAGGTTCCTGTCTCCGGCCTGGCTGGGACATCATGTTGATACTGGAGGAGCTGTCAGTGAACTCCCCACCATTGAGTAGACTTTCACTCGGTTTTCTGGAGTGGGTGGCACTGCTGGGCCGGCTGGGGGTGGGGGGGGTCAGATGGTGGATGAGTTGGTCAGGCTGAAGGGCGCTGGTGCCGTTAAAGGCCGAGTACTGACGGGCTTGCTGTCGGACGGCTAAACGTTGCAGAGCGTCGTGGATTGCCTCCTCATTGTAGGTGTCTGTAGACGAGAACATGATCATCAGTCAACATACACAGACACGACTGAGAGCAAGACACACTTTTACATAGCTACTTTTGAATAAATTTTCTTTTGTTTGTAGTTCTGTATTCAATCAGTAATATCCTGGAAGCCTGAAAATACACAAATCTTAGCCAGACAAACCAGTGGTTGATATAATGAGCAACACAACACACAGCAGTGGCAGGTGTCAACAACACAATACAACAGTATGCTTTCTGGTGTAGGAAGATTTTTATGTTCAGACAAATGTGTTAGTCTTCGACACATTCTTATTCATATCTGAACAGCAAACAATGTAATTTGCATACTGCTAGAAGTGTTAATCCCGCTAATCTTGTTGAGGTATTCCCCATTTCCAGGACATCAACACTTGGATGAAACCATGCTGTTTTAAAAAATGAAAAACCCCATGGAGTGTCCATAGGTATGTCCAAGAATTACCTCCCTTCCTTAGATGAAGTACAACAACTTACCAACTGTGGGTTCTGATGTACTGGAGGCCACACAACTTACTAACTGTGGGTTCTAATGTACTGGAGGCCACACAACTTACCAACTGTGGGTTCTGTTGTACTTGAGGCCACACAACTTACTAACTGTGGGTTCTGATGTATTGGAGGCCACACAACTTACTAACTGTGGGTTCTGATGTACTGGAGGCCACACAACTTACCAACTGTGGGTTCTGTTGTACTTGAGGCCACACAACTTACCAACTGTGGGTTCTGATGTACTGGAGGCCACACAACTTACCAACTGTGGGTTCTGATGTACTGGAGGCCACACAACTTACTAACTGTGGGTTCTGATGTATTGGGAGGCCACACAACTTACCAACTGTGGGTTCTGATTTACTGGAGGCCACACAACTTACCAACTGTGGGTTCTGATGTACTGGAGGCCACACAACTTACCAACTGTGGGTTCTGATGTATTGGAGGCCACACAACTTACCAACTGTGGGTTCTGATGTACTGGAGGCCACACAACTTACCAACTGTGGGTTCTGATGTACTGGAGGCCACACAACTTACTAACTGTGGGTTCTGATGTACTGGAGGCCACACAACTTAACGACTGTGGGTTCTGATGTACTTGAGGCCACACAACTTACCAACTGTGGGTTCTGTTGTACTGGAGGCCACACAACTTACCAACTGTGGGTTCTGATGTGATGTAAGTTGATGCTGATGAAGGCCGGGAATGTACTGTGGCCGATGATGGTCGAGCGAAGGGCGGGCGGCCACCTGGGTTAGTTGAAGACTAGGTTAAAGACTACATTCACACAGTCTACACAATACTGTACTTGTTGTATGAGGAGAGGACCAACACCAACAACAACATGCTTCTGAATTGCTTAATTTAATGGATGCCAATGGCAACTTCTAAGCTGTTTACAATTTTTGCATGTAACATTTTTAAACAGTTCATGTCATACATAAAAAAGCATTTATTGGAACTAATTTTTTTAAGTAGATGTTGTTGAATGATTGTGTTGAAGTAAGTCACACTCACTGGTGAAACAACAGAAATAATCAGGGACAATACTGAGTTCACTAACACAGACAGTATGGGAAACAAGGATCTGACATGTAGGTTGCTTCACTACATAAGTTCCTCCTTTTAGATCTACTAGTCACATCCTACACCAGCAGTCAGTTGGTCTCCTACACCAGCAGTCAGTTGGTCTGCTACACTAACAGAACATGTTCCCCCTACACGTTAATCTACCTACACAAACAGTGAGTTGGTCTGCTAAACTAACAGAACATGTTCCCCCTACACGTTAATCTACCTACACAAACAGTGAGTTGGTCTGCTACACCAGCAGTGAGTTGGTCTGCTACACTAACAGAACATGTTCCCCCTACACGTTAATCTACCTACACAAACAGTGAGTTGGTCTGCTACACCAGCAGGACACGTTCCCCCTACACGTTAATCTACCTACACAAACAGTGAGTTGGTCTGCTACACCAGCAGGACACGTTCCCCCTACACGTTAATCTACCTACACAAACAGTCAGTTGGTCTGCTACACTAACAGAACATGTTCCCCCTACACGTTAATCTACCTTCACAAACAGTGAGTTGGTCTGCTACACTAACAGAACATGTTCCCCCTACACGTTAATCTACCTACACAAACAGTGAGTTGGTCTGCTACACCAGCAGTCAGTTGATCTGCTACACTAACAGAACATGTTCCCCCTACACGTTAATCTACCTTCACAAACAGTGAGTTGGTTTGCTACACTAACAGGACACGTTCCCCCTACACGTTAATCTACCTCCAAAACAGTGAGTTGGTCTGCTACACTAATAGAACATGTTCCCCCTACACGTTAATCTACCTCCACAAACAGTGAGTTGGTCTGCTACACTAACAGAACACGTTCCCCCTACACGTTAATCTACCTCCACAAACAGTGAGTTGGTCTGCTACACCAGCAGGACACGTTCCCCCTACACGTTAATCTACCTCCACAAACAGTCAGTTGGTTTGCTACACTAACAGAACACGTTCCCCCTACACGTTAATCTACCTCCACAAACAGTGAGTTGGTTTGCTACACTAACAGGACACGTTCCCCCTACACGTTATTCTACCTCCACAAACAGTGAGTTGGTTTGCTACACTAACAGGACACGTTCCCCCTACACGTTATTCTACCTCCACAAACAGTGAGTTGGTTTGCTACACTAACAGAACACGTTCCCCCTACACGTTAATCTACCTCCACAAACAGTGAGTTGGTTTGCTACACTAACAGGACACGTTCCCCCTACACGTTAATCTACCTTCACAAACAGTGAGTTGGTCTGCTACACTAACAGGACACGTTCCCCCTACACGTTAATCTACCTTCACAAACAGTGAGTTGGTCTGCTACACTAACAGAACACGTTCCCCCTACACGTTAATCTACCTCCACAAACAGTGAGTTGGTCTGCTACACCAGCAGGACACGTTCCCCCTACACGTTAATCTACCTCCACAAACAGTGAGTTGGTCTGCTACACTAACAGGACACGTTCCCCCTACACGTTAATCTACCTTCACAAACAGTGAGTTGGTTTGCTACACTAACAGAACACCTTCCCCCTACACGTTAATCTACCTCCAAAACAGTGAGTTGGTTTGCTACACTAACAGGACACGTTCCCCCTACACGTTATTCTACCTCCACAAACAGTGAGTTGGTTTGCTACACTAACAGGACACGTTCCCCCTACACGTTAATCTACCTTCACAAACAGTGAGTTGGTCTGCTACACTAACAGGACACGTTCCCCCTACACGTTAATCTACCTTCACAAACAGTGAGTTGGTCTGCTACACTAACAGAAGACGTTCCCCCTACACGTTAATCTACCTACACAAACAGTGAGTTGGTTTGCTACACTAACAGGACACGTTCCCCCTACACGTTAATCTACCTTCACAAACAGTGAGTTGGTTTGCTACACTAACAGAACACCTTCCCCCTACACGTTAATCTACCTCCAAAACAGTGAGTTGGTTTGCTACACTAACAGGACACGTTCCCCCTACACGTTATTCTACCTCCACAAACAGTGAGTTGGTTTGCTACACTAACAGGACACGTTCCCCCTACACGTTAATCTACCTTCACAAACAGTGAGTTGGTCTGCTACACTTACAGGACACGTTCCCCCTACACGTTAATCTACCTTCACAAACAGTGAGTTGGTCTGCTACACTAACAGAACACGTTCCCCCTACACGTTAATCTACCTCCACAAACAGTGAGTTGGTCTGCTACACTAACAGAACACGTTCCCCCTACACGTTAATCTACCTCCACAAACAGTGAGTTGGTCTGCTACACTAACAGAACACGTTCCCCCTACACGTTAATCTACCTCCACAAACAGTGAGTTGGTCTGCTACACTAACAGAACACGTTCCCCCTACACGTTAATCTACCTCCACAAACAGTGAGTTGGTCTGCTACACTAACAGAACATGTTCCCCCTACACGTTAATCTACCTTCACAAACAGTGAGTTGGTTTGCTACACTAACAGAACACCTTCCCCCTACACGTTAATCTACCTCCAAAACAGTGAGTTGGTTTGCTACACTAACAGGACACGTTCCCCCTACACGTTATTCTACCTCCACAAACAGTGAGTTGGTTTGCTACACTAACAGAACACGTTCCCCCTACACGTTAATCTACCTCCACAAACAGTGAGTTGGTTTGCTACACTAACAGGACACGTTCCCCCTACACGTTAATCTACCTTCACAAACAGTGAGTTGGTCTGCTACACTAACAGGACACGTTCCCCCTACACGTTAATCTACCTCCACAAACAGTGAGTTGGTTTGCTACACTAACAGGACACGTTCCCCCTACACGTTAATCTACCTACACAAACAGTGAGTTGGTCTGCTACACCAGCAGGACACGTTCCCCCTACACGTTAATCTACCTACACAAACAGTGAGTTGGTTTGCTACACTAACAGGACACGTTCCCCCTTCACGTTAATCTACCTTCACAAACAGTGAGTTGGTCTGCTACACTAACAGAACACGTTCCCCCTACACGTTAATCTACCTACACAAACAGTGAGTTGGTTTGCTACACTAACAGGACACGTTCCCCCTACACGTTAATCTACCTCCACAAACAGTGAGTTGGTCTGCTACACCAGCAGGACACGTTCCCCCTACACGTTAATCTACCTCCACAAACAGTGAGTTGGTCTGCTACACCAGCAGGACACGTTCCCCCTACACGTTAATCTACCTACACAAACAGTGAGTTGGTTTGCTACACTAACAGGACACGTTCCCCCTACACGTTAATCTACCTACACAAACAGTGAGTTGGTCTGCTACATCAGCAGGACACGTTCCCCCTACACGTTAATCTACCTCCACAAACAGTGAGTTGGTCTGCTACACTAACAGGACACGTTCCCCCTACACGTTAATCTACCTCCACAAACAGTGAGTTGGTCTGCTACATCAGCAGGACACGTTCCCCCTACACGTTAATCTACCTCCACAAACAGTGAGTTGGTTTGCTACACCAGCAGGACACGTTCCCCCTACACGTTAATCTACCTACACAAACAGTGAGTTGGTTTGCTACACTAACAGGACACGTTCCCCCTACACGTTAATCTACCTCCACAAACAGTGAGTTGGTCTGCTACACCAGCAGGACACGTTCCCCCTACACGTTAATCTACCTCCACAAACAGTGAGTTGGTCTGCTACACTAACAGGACACGTTCCCCCTACACGTTAATCTACCTACACAAACAGTGAGTTGGTTTGCTACACTAACAGAACACGTTCCCCCTACACGTTAATCTACCTCCACAAACAGTGAGTTGGTCTGCTACACCAGCAGGACACGTTCCCCCTACACGTTAATCTACCTCCACAAACAGTGAGTTGGTCTGCTACACTAACAGAACACGTTCCCCCTACACGTTAATCTACCTCCACAAACAGTGAGTTGGTCTGCTACATCAGCAGGACACGTTCCCCCTACACGTTCATCTACCTCCACAAACAGTGAGTTGGTCTGCTACACCAGCAGGACACGTTCCCCCTACACGTTAATCTACCTCCACAAACAGTGAGTTGGTCTGCTACACCAGCAGGACACGTTCCCCCTACACGTTAATCTACCTCCACAAACAGTGAGTTGGTCTGCTACACCAGCAGGACACGTTCCCCCTACACGTTAATCTACCTACACAAACAGTGAGTTGGTTTGCTACACTAACAGGACACGTTCCCCCTACACGTTAATCTACCTCCACAAACAGTGAGTTGGTCTGCTACACCAGCAGAACACGTTCCCCCTACACGTTAATCTACCTCCACAAACAGTGAGTTGGTCTGCTACACCAGCAGGACACGTTCCCCCTACACGTTCATCTACCTCCACAAACAGTGAGTTGGTCTCCTACACCAGCAGTCAGTTGGTCTGCTACACTAACAGAACACGTTCCCCCTACACGTTAATCTACCTCCACAAACAGTGAGTTGGTCTGCTACACCAGCAGAACACGTTCCCCCTACACGTTAATCTACCTCCACAAACAGTGAGTTGGTCTGCTACACCAGCAGGACACGTTCCCCCTACACGTTCATCTACCTCCACAAACAGTGAGTTGGTCTCCTACACCAGCAGTCAGTTGGTCTGCTACACTAACAGAACACGTTCCCCCTACACGTTAATCTACCTCCACAAACAGTGAGTTGGTCTGCTACACCAGCAGGACACGTTCCCCCTACACGTTAATCTACCTACACAAACAGTGAGTTGGTCTGCTACACCAGCAGGACACGTTCCCCCTACACGTTCATCTACCTCCACAAACAGTGAGTTGGTCTCCTACACCAGCAGTCAGTTGGTCTGCTACACTAACAGAACACGTTCCCCCTACACGTTAATCTACCTCCACAAACAGTGAGTTGGTCTGCTACACCAGCAGGACACGTTCCCCCTACACGTTCATCTACCTCCACAAACAGTGAGTTGGTCTCCTACACCAGCAGTCAGTTGGTCTGCTACACTAACAGAACACGTTCCCCCTACACGTTAATCTACCTCCACAAACAGTGAGTTGGTCTGCTACACCAGCAGGACACGTTCCCCCTACACGTTCATCTACCTCCACAAACAGTGAGTTGGTCTCCTACACCAGCAGTCAGTTGGTCTGCTACACTAACAGAACACATTCCCCCTACACGTTAATCTACCTACACAAACAGTGAGTTGGTCTGCTACACCAGCAGGACACGTTCCCCCTACACGTTAATCTACCTCCACAAACAGTGAGTTGGTCTGCTACACCAGCAGGACACGTTCCCCCTACACGTTAATCTACCTCCACAAACAGTGAGTTGGTCTGCTACACCAGCAGGACACGTTCCCCCTACACGTTAATCTACCTCCACAAACAGTGAGTTGGTCTGCTACACCAGCAGGACACGTTCCCCCTACACGTTAATCTACCTCCACAAACAGTGAGTTGGTCTGCTACACTAACAGAACACGTTCCCCCTACACGTTAATCTACCTCCACAAACAGTGAGTTGGTCTGCTACACTAACAGAACACGTTCCCCCTACACGTTAATCTACCTCCACAAACAGTGAGTTGGTCTGCTACACTAACAGAACACGTTCCCCCTACACGTTAATCTACCTCCACAAACAGTGAGTTGGTCTGCTACACCAGCAGGACACGTTCCCCCTACACGTTAATCTACCTACACAAACAGTGAGTTGGTCTGCTACACTAACAGAACACGTTCCCCCTACACGTTAATCTACCTTCACAAACAGTGAGTTGGTCTGCTACACTAACAGAACACGTTCCCCCTACACGTTAATCTACCTCCACAAACAGTGAGTTGGTCTGCTACACTAACAGAACACGTTCCCCCTACACGTTAATCTACCTCCACAAACAGTGAGTTGGTCTGCTACACCAGCAGGACACGTTCCCCCTACACGTTAATCTACCTACACAAACAGTGAGTTGGTCTGCTACACTAACAGGACACGTTCCCCCTACACGTTAATCTACCTCCACAAACAGTGAGTTGGTCTGCTACACTAACAGAACACGTTCCCCCTACACGTTAATCTACCTCCACAAACAGTGAGTTGGTCTGCTACACCAGCAGGACACGTTCCCCCTACACGTTAATCTACCTCCACAAACAGTGAGTTGGTCTGCTACACTAACAGGACACGTTCCCCCTACACGTTAATCTACCTCCACAAACAGTGAGTTGGTCTGCTACACTAACAGGACACGTTCCCCCTACACGTTAATCTACCTCCACAAACAGTGAGTTGGTCTGCTACACTAACAGGACACGTTCCCCTACACATTAATCTACCTACACAAACAGTGAGTTGGTCTGCTACACCAGCAGGACACGTTCCCCCTACACGTTAATCTACCTCCACAAACAGTGAGTTGGTCTGCTACACCAGCAGGACACGTTCCCCCTACACGTTAATCTACCTACACAAACAGTGAGTTGGTCTGCTACACCAGCAGGACACGTTCCCCCTACACGTTAATCTACCTCCACAAACAGTGAGTTGGTCTGCTACACCAGCAGGACACGTTCCCCCTACACGTTAATCTACCTACACAAACAGTGAGTTGGTCTGCTACACCAGCAGGACACGTTCCCCTACACATTAATCTACCTACACAAACAGTGAGTTGGTCTGCTACACTAACAGGACACGTTCCCCCTACACGTTAATCTACCTACACAAACAGTGAGTTGGTCTGCTACACTAGTCTGTCCTAGTCTGTGCTTACCTTTACAGAACTCACCATACATATTAGGGACATATGTAAAAGGGATGGTCTCAACATAAACTCCTGCAAGAAATACACCAAACAATACATACAATGGCCTTGAGTCCCCCGTGCATCTACACAGGCAGGATGCAGTCTGCAACTTTCACCACTTATGCGAAGCCAGAGTCTAGTAAAATTTGGTTTATTGAATGAGTTGGATTTCAACACCGCTTTGAACAGTATTCCAGATATATGATAGCATGGCAGCTTGAAGTGGGAGAAAAGCCAACGCGATGCAGGTGAAGAAACATAATCAGGGCAATCTAGGATTCAAACCCATGATCATAGGTTTCTGGTGTGCCCAAAGTAGGCAACTCTGAACAGACAATGGCGGTGCACACAAGTAGTCTTTGGAAATAATACAGCCAATAACACTACAACATAAACAATATAATGCAAAGAGCCACGTTCAGGCTTGTGGCTGTGCCATGCATCATCAGGTAGTGCCAACACCACAGCATCATCACCTGGAACTACTGTAGAACATACATAGACCAACTCATAGAAAAGCAAAAATCATATGGATATTTCTAACCAAAATGTAATACCACCTAAAATATTGTGCTAATAGTTACAAACTACATTTCTAGATTTAACCAGTGCAAAACCTGCAGGCAAAAACGTGTTTTTTAATATTAAACAATTGACAATGTTCTAACTTTCTAAAAGCAAATAAGCACTGTTAAGGCTAATAAAGCTAAAAGTACAAAAAACAATGATTTCATCAATGAAAAGAAAAAGAAAGGGTCTTCATATCTCCTAGTCAGCTTCACTTGTTTCGCACTGTAGGTCATACCAGGGGATTTCACAGTTCGTAATGTAGGTCATACCAGGGGATTTCCCAGTTCGTAATGTAGGTCATACTAGGGGATTTCCCAGTTAGTAATATAGGTCATACTAGGGGATTTCCCAGTTCATAATGTGGGTCATACTAGGGGATTTCCCAGTTCATAATGTAGGTCATACTAGGGGATTTCCCGCTACACAACATACATGAAGTAATAATCAGATGTAGGTGAAAAAAGTCCTTAAAATACAACTTGAATCTGTCAGTCCTAGAGTTGGGAGTTGTCTGGTCAAGTTTAAGAACATCATTCTTAGCCAATCTGCAATATGTGAAGCCAGTGCATCACCAGTGAGACTGGAAGTGCATCTGTGGTGAGCCAGTAGAGGGGAGTACCTGTTTTCTGATTGCTGACAAGAGCAGACCTTGGGCGTGTCAGTTTCTGGCTGTATATGGACACAGCATTGTTGTAAGATGAAGGAGGGGCTGGGTGGGCGGAAGCAGGCCGCGGCAAGCTGTGCGAACCCCCACTCTCATATCTAATATCGGCATTTGAAGCACTGCACACTGAGTGGAGAAAGGGGACAGTATCATGACACAGAGTATGTTAAACTACACTGAAAGAAAGTATTAAATGCTTAGTTGAAACAAAGGAAATAGCATTGTAAACAATTTCTTTTTCAAAATCTTGAAACTCTTTCTGCTAAAAATCACATTTACATTGTCTATTGGTTCCCTGTGGTGGAAAGATTATAAATATTTTCCTTTGTTTTTCTATAAACTGGTTAATGGCATATTCAATTACAGGTGTACCAACATTTGTGAAAGTCATTCGGAACTGTTAAATTCAACAATTATTGTAACACTTGTGATTTAAGTCTACAGGATGTGCAAGATGTTAATGTTGTAGATGTAGGACTCCAAGGTTGACGAGTGCAGGAAGGAGGAGGAAGATGAGGAGGAAGCTACATCCTACAGGCCATCACCACAACGTGTGCTACAGCCAAAGCTAATGAAGGGTTCATGGACTACGGTAAAAAATGTCTAAATACAAACATTATTCCCTTTTAGGTCATAATATAACAGAACTTAAATTGAAATTCTTTTTGTACAAGATTATAACTAATGAGATCTACAAAAGCATTTTTGATGTCCCGTTACTGAAACCTTCGTCCTGTGCCATGAACCCTTCTCTGCGGCCAAAGTCTAGCGCTGCTGCTTGTCAGGAATCTTACCTCGAGGGACCTCCTCCCAGTTGGAGTCTTGGAGGTCACTGGATTCTCTACGTTTCACAAGAGAACTATCCGAGCGCACCATGCCGGCCGATGCTCCCTGGCTGTCACTGGAGGTCTTGGCATTGCTTCCCAGGAAGATGCTGGCCGACTTGTTCAACTTGGTGTAAGTCGTCAACACTTCCTCCAGTTCGGCCTCACTGCAAATAACCAGTCCATTATACAGAATTCTTACTAGAATTAAATACAGAGTAGCTAGCCATGAGTAGATCATCACATTCTCCCTTAACTGTGTTTATTACTGAAGGGAAGATAGAAGTTCTGTACTACTGAGGGTCAAATCATCAACTGTCCTCTACTGTGATGAGCACGTATTATAGGAATAGAGTTCTGTACTACTGAGGGTCAAATCATCAACTGTCCTCTACTGTGATGAGCACGTATTATAGGAATAGAGTTCTGTACTACTGAGGGTCAAATCATCAACTGTCCTCTACTGTGATGAGCACGTATTATAGGAATAGAGTTCTGTACTACTGAGGGTCAAATCATCAACTGTCCTCTACTGTGATGAGCACGTATTATAGGAATAGAGTTCTGTACTACTGAGGGTCAAATCATCAACTGTCCTCTACTGTGATGAGCACGTATTATAGGAATAGAGTTCTGTACTACTGAGGGTCAAATCATCAACTGTCCTCTACTGTGATGAGCACGTATTATAGGAATAGAGTTCTGTACTACTGAGGGTCAAATCATCAACTGTCCTCTACTGTGATGAGCACGTATTATAGGAATAGAGTTCTGTACTACTGAGGGTCAAATCATCAACTGTCCTCTACTGTGATGAGCACGTATTATAGGAATAGAGTTCTGTACTACTGAGGGTCAAATCATCAACTGTCCTCTACTGTGATGAGCACGTATTATAGGAATAGAGTTCTGTACTACTGAGGGTCAAATCATCAACTGTCCTCTACTGTGATGAGCACGTATTATAGGAATAGAGTTCTGTACTACTGAGGGTCAAATCATCAACTGTCCTCTACTGTGATGAGCACGTATTATAGGAATAGAGTTCTGTACTACTGAGGGTCAAATCATCAACTGTCCTCTACTGTGATGAGCACGTATTATAGGAATAGAGTTCTGTACTACTGAGGGTCAAATCATCAACTGTCCTCTACTGTGATGAGCACGTATTATAGGAATAGAGTTCTGTACTACTGAGGGTCAAATCATCAACTGTCCTCTACTGTGATGAGCACGTATTATAGGAATAGAGTTCTGCACTACTGAGGGTCAAATCATCAACTGTCCTCTACTGTGATGAGCAGGTATTATAGGAATAGAGTTCTGTACTACTGAGGGTCAAATCATCAACTGTCCTCTACTGTGATGAGCACGTATTATAGGAATAGAGTTCTGTACTACTGAGGGTCAAATCATCAACTGTCCTCTACTGTGATGAGCACGTATTATAGGAATAGAGTTCTGTACTACTGAGGGTCAAATCATCAACTGTCCTCTACTGTGATGAGAACGTATTATAGGAATAGAGTTCTGTACTACTGAGGGTCAAATCATCAACTGTCCTCTACTGTGATGAGAACGTATTATAGGAATAGAGTTCTGTACTACTGAGGGTCAAATCATCAACTGTCCTCACAAACAGTTCTTACCAAGCAGTGTTCACAAACAGTTCTTACCAAGCAGTGTTCACAAACAGTTCTTACCAAGCAGTGTTCACAAACTTCTCAAACTTGGATTCATGTAGCCCCTCCATGCTGTCTGTGCGCCGCAGATGTCTCCGGTCTATCATCTTCCTCGTCCGGAGCTGCTCGGTCTCCTGAGATTACATTGTAGATAAATGACTATGAATTCTTCCAATGCTTAACAAATCATTATGTGTAGTCCGTCCATGTGTATGGGTGATGTTCAGGTTGTGGGGACAGAATGGTGAATCTAGCTGTCACCTAAATGATTTTATATTTAACTGCATACAGAATATGGCAATGGTAATGATGATAATATCGATGCCAAGTCCTACCTTGTTATAGATATGTACAAAATCCCCCAGTTGTTTAGCCAGTATTCGTCTGCGATCTGACAACGGTAGTTTCCGACTGGGAACGATGACCTTGAATGACTGCTGGAGATTAACAGCCGCCCGCTTCAAGAATCTCAGAACAAGGTCCTACAACAGATACCAGTAATAAATGAAACTAAACTACAAAAAAATGACAATTAAATTTAACTGAAATATTTTTAATGTTGTAAGATCAGGTAATCAGTAAGTCTTGTGTTAAGTTTCCATGACAACGTGGCCAGTGATGTCCTACCATCTGCTCATTGAGAGCCTCCACGTCCTCCTGAGACAAGGCTCCAGTGTCGCTGATGAGCCTCTGCTGAACCCGTACCAGGTACATGGCGAACGCTGACCGAGCCTGGACCTTGCTGCCAACAGTTGAAACAGATCCATTAGCACATCCATTTAGTGAGACAGATCCATTTGCACATCCATTTGTTCGTTTGTTTGTTGTTTAACGCCACACTCAACAATATTACAGCTATATGACGGCGGTCTGTAAATAATCGAGTCTGGACCAGACTATCCAGTGATTGACATCATGAGCATCAATCCACGCAAATGGGATGTGATGACATGCATCAACCAAGTCAACGAGTCTGACCACCTGATCCCGTTAGTTGCCTCTTACAACAAGCATAGTCGCCTTTTACAGCAAGCATGGTTGCTAAAGACCTATTCTACCCCGGATCTTCATGGGTTAGCAATTCAAGTCAGTGACACAGATCTATTTGCACATCCATTCAGTGAGACAGGTCAAGCACACCTACTTATTATACAGACGTGTCACAGGGAAAAACTTTCCTCCACTTACTCAGGTTCTTGTGGCTATACCTCTATGATTTCATGTAATGTCCACAAAAAAAACATTTCACTATTCCACAATTCCTTCTGTGTGAAGCTCTGAACTCAGCAGTCACCACTGTGGGGTTCGTTGACTAGTTGACTAGGTTAATGGCGTATCAATGTAGCCTGACAGCATGGATCGTTGCTAATTATTCAAATTACTGGATTATCTAGTCCAGGCTTGATCATTTACAATCTGCTGTCAAATCAGGAATTTTGCTAATTGCGACTCAACAACAGATACACGCCCTATATTATTAGTGAATACCTCATCAATACCAGGAATCAGAAACACAGAGAACCACAGCCAAGACCCAGCCTCACCTGAGTGAGCCGCCCTTCAGAAGGAGCTCCACAACGTTATACTTGGGAACAGCTTCAGGTTCAGCCTCCTCACACTTGGTCTCCATCGCCTTCTCCTCCTCCGTCGGCGGACTCGGCTGATGCGGGGAGATGACCTTCACCTCCGCCTCTGGAGCAGCAGCCTCGATTGGCTGGGTGTGGTGGAGCATTTGTAGCGGCTCCACTGATTCCACCGGCTCCACGTTCTCCTCCTGCGTCACGCTGGGCTCCGTCTTCTGTTGATTGGCTGACTCCTCCTCCGACACCTGGTCCTCCTCCAGGTCCTCCGGGACACCCTGAACTAGTTTCGACTTGGGTTCTAGGAAACAGTGCGACATGAATTAGGAAATGTTTAGATCTGTATGAAGTAAGTGAGTGAGTTTGATTTTACGTCGCTTTTAGCAATATTCCAGCAATATCACGACGGGGGACACCAGAAATGGGCTTCACACATTGTACCAATGTCGGGAATTGAACCCGGGACTTCAGCGTCCTGAATGAAGGGTAAAAAGGGACAATTGCACTCAAGGAGGGGAAACTTTTCATCTTTACCGTGTTACTGGTGTAAAAACATTCAACCTAGTTCCAGAACACTATTCTGTGACACATGAATTCTTAAACACTCTATTATACAGATCTCAACACCATATCAACTCACACCATGTGCGAGGGAGGGAGTGAGTATTGAACAGTATTTCAGTTATATCACAGCAAGACAGTTTGACGTGGGCAGAAAACCCGAGTGATGTAGGTCTTCGCCGGTTACCACGAGTAGAGTAGGGACATGGAGCTGACAAACCTAGATACACAATCGCGGCAAACTCTGCACAGCAAATTCCGGGGCCTTTGACAGTGGGCACTCATGTCCCTTACAAGACTGAAAAAGGTTCCACATAACTATTTGTAACTTTTTTGCTAATTCTAGGGCCAGGATAAATGCGGACTGAAAATTTACCTTTCTTATTAGAGACTCTAGCTTTCTTCTTGTTCTTGTTCTTGCTCCTCCTCCTCTTGTGCCCGAGCCGCCTCTCGTACTGCCGTGTTCTGATCATGGCCTGAGCATACGCCTCCACATGACGATGCTGCAACACAACGACATCATCACACCACTGTCGTCATACATACTGTACAGAGGAAGTGTTAAATAGAAGAGGTTTCAGTGAGAAAGAGAGTATATTGAATGTCTTACATCATTCTCGCCTTTAGCCTGGCCCGCCCCGGTGATCTGGAGATAGCCGGTCCTGCAACAAGTATCCAGGTTGTCAATGTGAACCAGTAATGTCGACAGGAACAATACACAGTTACAACAGAGACACAATTTATGGATAACAACTTCTATATTTACTGTGGAGGCGACGTTTCGGTACAGATCCTTGTACTGTTGTCAAGCAAGGCTGAATCATGAACATGGTACAGAAGAGACTTCAGTAAAAGAAGACTGACAGCAGTCCACATTCGCCACCACAAGCCATCAGTCAACAGAGATCAAGGCTATTTCATCCCACCCCCCCCCCCTATGAAGCAGTCCCCCCACCTATGTACACTTAATCCTGTTTATCTGGCTTTCTGTCTCATTTGCTTCCTCATCATGTGTTCTCCGTCCATCATGTTGTTACAGTGTTATCCTACTCATATAAACCTCTCTCCTAGGGGCAGTCGGGTAGCCTTGTGGTAAAAGCGTTCGCTCGTCACCCTGAAGACCCGGGTTTGATTCCCCACATTTCTGGTGTCCCCCACCATGATACTGCTGGAATATTGCCAAATGCGGCATAAAACCATACTCACTCACTCACTCACTAACCTCTCTCTTGAATGCAATTGTTGTTACTGTTAATCCCCCACCTACCATATATATTCAGTACCATGTTCATTATTCAGCCTTGCTTGACAACAGTATAAGGATCTACACCGAAACATTGCCTTTACAGTAATTAAAGAAGTTGCCCTCCATAAATTGTGTCAACCGTCAACTTCTAAGTAATGCCTCTCAAACAATGTAACACACGTTTAATTCTTTCATCAGAGGTATTTTGGACAAGAGGAAATTGGGATTCATGAAAAATGTGACCATTGTAACCAAGAACACTTGAATCCCCAATGAAGGTGAAGAGGGGTTAATACATCTCACAGGCAGTGTCTTACCTTGACCTTGACCCTAAAGAAGTCGCCCCAGCTGTGGCCAGCTTCCCAAGATTTCCTTTATGTCTGAAAACACATGTCAGCATGTTCAGTGGAGTGTCTGGAGATTACCTGAATCAGTGATATCTGTTGCGATAATATCAAGGTCCCACTACTTGCCTAAGTTATGACTATCTTGGATTGGGTGGTCAGCCGGAGTGACATGGTGTTACTGACCACTTGTCAGTTTATCAATGTGTGACCAGACAAACCAGTGATTGATACCACAAATGCCATTGGGGTTCAATGACCTGCAATAAACCAAGTAACAGCCTGACCACCCGTTCCATCATCTTCCTGAGGCAAGAGAGTTAACTGACTATAAAAGTCCAGTTTCCACCCTTGCCGAACTAGGCTAGTATTATGGAGTTACATTTTGGCTGGACTAACGAGTCTATGCATAGTCCAATCAAAATCACGCACCAAAATCGAAAATCCGGTTCGTGCACTGTCGTACAGATTTCCGTCGATTGCAGGATTTGCAAAGCATGTTCACCGCTAACTCGTTGTCAGCAGATATTTTCCAAATGTTTTCATGTCTTTAATCAAGGTTCTCACGTGATTTGATGCATTTCGCAATGTAAGACCCGTTTTATCAGAATTTGTCGATCAGATCTAACTGACCGTGCGCCACCATTTTGGGTGAAGCAAACGCAAGTGATACGAGAGGTGGAATCTGATTGGTCCATAGGAGAGGCTTAGAAGGGACATGACTGGTAATAGCCACTGGTGGCGCTACGACGAGCCCAGTAATTCCAGCCTAGTTCGGCAAGGGTGGAAACTGGACTTTTAAAGTCAGTTAACTCTCTTGCCTCGAGAAGATGCCGTTCCATTAGCGAAGGTTGTTGGGATTTTCTAACAGAGACTCCCCATAGGGAAAACAAGCAGTGATTACCCACCTCTCTGGGTAGAGCCTCTGGTGCAACATCAGGTTGTGGGTGGAGTTGAACTGGAGGAACGGGCTGAAGGAGAGAGTGTAAATGTATCTCCCAGACGCTGGGAAGGAACTGGCACAATGAAAACACTTGCTGAGCAACTGATGTAAGGGAGGTAACTCTCAGGCTTTGAGAGAAGTAACTGTAACCAAGATGGGGGATGTTTGGAATTGTTAGAATGACAGTTGGTGAGTTTTGAAATGTTATGAATGAATGAGTTGTGTGTATGGGTTGTCATGGTCAGGTGACTTAGTTGTTGGAATGTTTGACTTGTCTAGGTCAGTGTATCTTTAAGTTCTAGTGATATACAATGTTGAACTACAGCCGGCCTACTTGTCTCTTTCATGACATATACAGTTGCACTATGACAATATATCAGACATGTGATCAAAGTCAAACTTCTGCACACTTTAACTAAACTTAACAATATGTTTCCCATTATCCAAGTGAGAAATGTAACTAGAAAATTCCCAAATAGACTCCTATGGAGAAACATTTGACCCCAAACTGTACTTTTAGCTACTGACTCACAAGAAGATCTACAAGAATTCTGTGGACACCACACCAATGTACCATCAGTCACTGACTTACGAATAGATCTCCCAAGAATCAGCTGTGGGGAATATTTTCACCCATCCTCCCTTTCGTTGTTCCTCTTCTTTAGAACGCCTGATAATCTTGATCTCCTCGCTATTGAGGCCTCCCATATTCTTGTTGGCGTTCTTGTCCTTCCCACTGACTGCTGAGTTAGCCGGCCCGGCCGAGAGAGGTCTCTGACGCTGCATTGTAAAAGCTGATTGTCTTATCCATGACCACTTTAGTAGAAGACATATTATTTTATCTCCATGTCAGAATGATGAGATCTGATTGGTCCACGTGATCTTGATAAAATACTATGTATAGATGGAAATATAATTCTCAGTGGGAGAATAAATCCCTTATACCCCACCACAAACAAGACAGGCTGAAAGACCATTCATTGTCATTTACACAGAACAGAACAACAATTCAAAGTTACATAAGTATAACACTATCATCACTAATAAAGAAATTGATGGCATATCTAGGAATGCAAATTAACACAGTAAACACGGTAAAAGTTGTTTGTTTGTTTGTTGCCTAACGCCGTACTCAGCAATATTCCAGCTATATGACGGCAGTCTGTAAATAATTAAGCCTGGTCCAGACAATCCAGTGATTGACATCATGGGTATCAATCCAAGCAATTGGGATACGATGACATGCATCAACCAGGTCAGCGAGCCTGTCCACCCTATCTCGTTAGTCGCCTCCTAGGACAAACGAAGTCTCCTTTTACAGAAAGCATGGGTTGCTGAAGATCGCTTCTACCTCAAATCTTCATGGGTCTAGTAAAAATACTGAAGGAAAAGACAACACATTGACTTTATTGCTGCTTAATTTGAGTCCAGTCTGGGAAACAGATTTTAAACCATGCCATGAAACTTTAAAGAGTTCGGTCTGAAGAACAATGTATGTATCTAATACAACATAAAAACAAGGTTGCTCAGCTGATACGCAGGAGTGGGCGAGTGAGCTCAGCGTAACCAAGGTAACACAGTATTGCAGTCATCTCATGCAGGGTGTGTGTGCATGTTAAACCCTTGGTGAAATCTACAAGCATGGCACTGGCTTTCTTGCTGACAGATGAGGGATAAGAAATGAAGCTATCTTGGCACTTCACAGTCCAGCTGATGTATTACACTGTATACTTCACCATCAACTACGTAACCTTGTCAGCCATAATGCCTCAGTGGGCATGGAGGCATCCTGTCACACAGTACCGGTATGTCAGAAAACATGAAGATGGCCGCCTGGCAGTCACATCCAACTTCCATTTCTAAAATGTTGCAGAGACAAGAGGCCCAGAGAGTGAGGAACACCCACACAAAGGTTCTTGTTTAATCTGGACAACAGCTAACTTTCATCCACCTCACCAACTTACCATCATTCTCACCAACTTTCTATCCATCTCACCAACTCACCCACCAACTCACCATCCATCTCACCAACTTACCATCCATCTCACCAACTTACCATCCATCTCACCAACTTTCCATCATTCTCACCAACTCAAATGTTGGCCAGTAGGACTCAAGTTAATCAATTCTCATGAATAACTAAATGTCCACAGAAACTCAACCCAAATCAAATGATATTCTCATATTTATCACAGTTCTAAAAAAATAACACATAAAACTCAAAACAAAAGCATTCAAATGAGAATTTGAAATACACACACACTGTTGACATTGAAGTTGTTCATGTTGGGAGACAAAGACATTGATATACACGACATAAAACCAACGTTCTGCTGATGGACACGACAAAGACACTGATTATATAAACGACATGAAATCAAGTTGTTATTAAATAAAATAAACCAGTTTTGTGAGTAAGAAATATAAGACTGTTTACAACACAATATTTGAAGGGTTAGTGTGCAAGTAAACCACATGTATGTCAGACAGGTGGGGGACAGGGAGAACACAGGCATCAGGGGTGCGAGGAACACTTACCGCTGTAGCTGACACAGGCCTAGTGCGCGCTGACTGGAAAATACACCATATTAACATGTGAACGCATGCTAAAGCTACAGTCCCTACGTGGCAAGAATGGTCTCCCTTGTTTGAGTATCAACTCTAGAGATGATAAACACTTTCCATTATTTGAAGCTTTGAAGCTTTGTGAGGTTAGTAAAAGCTTTCAAATTCCAACTGCATGCATGCATGTCAATAAGAAGCATTTATGCATGTTACAAGCAATAGCTTCTCACACAGGAAGCCGTTCAGCTCACAGTCAAGCATTAGGCCAAGCAGGCAGATATGCGCTATCATCATGAGGTAGACACTATGTTAGTTGATTAAACATGCTAAATCTTGACAACAATATTTCATGAGTTTAATATTCCCCCAAAAGTACAGGGCACAGATGTCTTCTTAAAGCCTTAACATCTCCCATATTAAACTGGCAGAACTGAAAGATAATTTATTTACAATAACATCATTTAAATATGGTAAGGTCATATGGACACACAGACGTCCTATCATCCTGATCAAGTCCTTTGTCATCATTAGACCAAGTAGTGAAAAACATGATCTTGATCCAATGGAAACATGTTAGTATGGCTGTCGTAACTGACCGGACGGAAGAAACCTACTTGGTAGACGTTAACACTGAAGCTATCATGTATGTTATTCTGTGTTAGCATCAAGAGGACAAGACTCTACCAGTAAAAAGTCTAGCTTTTCTATAAAGACTTCACAGATGATTTACGACGACATCTACACAAAGTTGTGGACTTACTGTAGAGGATTTGACTATCTGTAATATGTATGATGAAGATTTGGAAACACATCAACAGAGAAAACAAATCCACTACTGTCTTCCTATAGGTCTGTCACTAACATTTTAACATTGGTAAAAAAAAGGAACAAAATGTTGCTCATTAATATGTATGTCCATAAAACACCTGTCATGTTCATCATGAAATCCTTTCTCATAAAATATCTTACAATTGTATCATTTTATATCAATCATCTTTGGTTCGGATCTGGTTGACAGAGAAACAAGTACCTTAGCTCTGGCTGCCATCTTGGATGCAACTTCCTGATTGCGTCGACTCTGCTGCATATTGCGCATCATCGGGTCATGACACGCCACGCCTGGACAGTGAACACACATCAATAGTAGCAGCAGTTAGCTGTCAATCTCAACTTATTATATGGAAATATTATAATCCTTAAATATCATCGAAAACTCACGTCAATTTGAAGAATCAGTGAGAATTTCAATTTGAAGGAAACATATTGTGAGGAAAATATTTTTGGAAAGTTTTGTCATAATAAGTGATGACACGTCTGGCTCAATCCCTCAAGTAACTGGGTGAATGTCCTCACCCCTATTTTAGTTCCTGACACTCACCGGCCAATGAGAACAGGTCACACAACATGTTGGCTTTAATCTTCAGATCAAGTGGACTGTCACTGAAAACACAATATCAGAGTTATTTATTCTCTGGTACATCATAGTTCTACCAACTTTGCAATACTATAAAACAGCAACATCCACCTATCTACTACTACCAAGTGGAGTTATTCTCAATCAAATCAAACAATTATTCATGTAGACAATAGTGAGATGAATTCTGTGGGACTCACCAAGCTAAAGATGGCGACAGGTTGACTTCTAGCACCCAGGGTTTGAGGTTGTCATCAATGAGAATATCAAACCCATACAACTCTGTAACAATCACGGGCAACCATGAACATCATTCATCAATACAATAACTAGGACACATTACAATACTTAGAAACCATGGTAACAGAGGATAAGAATGACACTACATCATCAGGACATGAAAGCAGAACCGAAGCAGAAAACATTTTTGATAATGCACTGTCATGAGTTCAAACGCAGCTGCTCCACAGTAACAAGAAACGATCCATCATTGGACAACAGCCTACACCCATGATAGCTTGGACTAACACATGTTGAAACATATTGTTTTCCTATGTGTTCCTAGCCTAATTAACACTATCAGTACTGATGTCAGTATTTATTTGTTGTTTAACGCCACACTCAGCAATATTCCAGATCTATGACCCCAGTCTGTAAATAATCGAGTCTGGACCAAACTATCCAGTGATTGACACCATGAGCATCGATCCGCGCAACTGGGATGCGATGACAAGTCTGAACTTGAGTCTGAACACCAATCCCGTGAGTCGCCTCTTACATACATAGTCGCCTTTTACAGCAAGCATGGATTGCTGAATACCTATTCTTCCCCTTATCTTCACAGGTTAAATAAATGACTCTGGATCAGACAATCCAGTAATTGACATCATGAACATTGACCTAAGCAATTGGAACATATTGACATGCATCAACCTAGTCAGCAAGTCTGACCACCCGATCCCGTTAGTCGCCTCTTACGACAAGCATGGGTTACTGAAAACCTATTCTAACACAGATCCTCATGGGGTACAGGGTTAGTAGTCCTACTGATCTCAGCATCTCTCATCACCATAACACCATCTCACCGAAGCAGTTTCCCCGATGCGGCATGAACATCTTGCAGGCCGTGGCAATAGGGAGCTCCACGGAGATGATTGTCTTGATTATAACGTCTTCAATACGCATCATCAGTGCTGGAAAACAGAGCATGGCTTATAGACTCACAGTACAAGGAGCATCTGTTGTATGTGGAATCTAAGCAGGCCACCTACAATTTGCACCAACAAAACACAACTGATTAACTCCAAGAACTGTCCTAATCTGGCACCGAATGGCACTAACAAAACACAACTGATTAACTCAGAGAACTGTCCTAATCTGGCACCGAATGGCACCAACAAAACACAACTGATTAACTCAGAGAACTGTCCTAATCTGGCACCGAATGGCACCAACAAAACACAACTGATTAACTCAGAGAACTGTCCTAATCTGGCACCGAATGGCACTAACAAAACACAACTGATTAACTCAGAGAACTGTCCTAATCTGGCACCGAATGGCACTAACAAAACACAACTGATTAACTCAGAGAACTGTCCTAATCTGGCACCGAATGGCACCAACAAAACACAACTGATTAACTCAGAGAACTGTCCTAATCTGGCACCGAATGGCACTAACAAAACACAACTGATTAACTTAGAGAACTGTCCTAATCTGGCACCGAATGGCACTAACAAAACACAACTGATTAACTCACAGAACTGTCCTAATCTGGCACCGAATGGCACTAACAAAACACAACTGATTAACTCACAGAACTGTCCTAATCTGGCACCGAATGGCACTAACAAAACACAACTGATTAACTCACAGAACTGTCCTAATCTGGCACCGAATGGCGCTAACAAAACACAACTGATTAACTCCGAGAACTGTCATGTTAGTACATTCATACCTACAGTTGGCTATGATAGGAGGAGAGCATGTTTCGAATTGTATAATTCATCATAACAACCTAATTCTCACAAAACAAACTTTTGAAATAGATGGCTATAATTCATAAGCACAGCATTTTCTTTCTTTGGGTATTGCTCCTGTTGAGCCTATGTTAAGTGTGGGGCTATATAATACACATGTTTGTATTATTGCCACTACAGCACATGAGTGAGGGGAGTTCACGTACTACCCACCTGCAGTGTCTCGGCCTTGAGAGCGCAAGTAGCGCAGCAGAGCTCCCAGAGACCACTTGTTGCCGTAGTCCTCCACGTCGGGGTCGTCATTCCTGGAAACAGGTCATACCAACTTCACGTCTTCACTCTCTAACTCACCCTGTGGTCACCATTCACCAATACTTTTTCAAACACAAGAAATCTACACAAATTGTGTATGGTGATATAAAAATCAAGCCAACAAACTTCAATAAGTTTTACTGTTTCAATTTAATTTGTTAATGTCTACATCTTATGTAAGATAATAAAAAACCTTGCTATGTACATGTATCTATCAATAATCTTAGGATATAACCACACTATGTTCTGTATTTCTTAAAATTGTTCTGTACATCACGTTTTTACTATGCACAACTGGACCGACCAATTGCATGCTGTACATTTGGGCAGATGGCCTACATCCTTATGAAATAAACAATGTGTATGATGATACTTGAATGATAGTGGCTGTCCTCAAATTTATTTAATTAGTTAGAAGTTCAACATTCCAAGATAGGACATCTTCAACATGAGTGTGCTTGAGACACATACTGTTGGTGTCACAACAATCTCGCTCATACAGAGTTAGAAACTGGCACTGGTCCTGTAGTCCTTGCCAAACTGCCCAATAGTTAAGGTATCATAAGGAGTAGTAGAAATTGGCCATTTTTGAGGGTTTTGCTGTATGTTATCATTATAAGGACTAGTGGAGTAAAACTGTTAGTTTCTACCGCTGCTTATAAGTGGAAGATAAATGTAAATATAGATATTATGATGGAATTCAGTGTTTTTTCTCGTTACGTTTCCTACAAAAATGTGTACACCTTAGATGAGATTAGGTGAGAAAGATAAGGCAGAAAATAGAGGGATCATAATACAAACAGGAAACTGTAAGAATCTCTCAGAATCCTAGAAATGTCCAAACTTTGACAAACAAAAACAATCTCCTTTTCTCTGTAGGCAGCTGTCTCACCTCACGTAGTCCTGGCTCTTCTTGTTGACGCTGTAGTTGGTGAGGTGCATGCACTGGTTGCGGATGTGCTTGTTGCTCTTCTCATACTTCACAGTTGCAAATCTGACAGGAACAGAAACTACATGTAAATGCAGACAAGTCTCACAGTCAGTACTCTTCTGTCTATATCCTGCTTTTAACTATCTCACAGATGGAAAGTTTGGCAATATTTAAGCCTACAGATCTTGTGTGTTAGACACAGCCAGGAGTATCTTAGTCCAGTGTACGGACTACTGATGACTCCATTTCTATTTATCAGAAAAAAACCACTACTCCCAAATGTTCTATTGACTATACGTAATGATGGGGTCTATCACTGGACTGGTTGACCTATAAACATTAGAATGGATGTAGCTGAAGGGTCACTGACCTTGTTAGTCCTTCCTCGAAAAGGTAGATGGTCAGTGGATCATAGGAAGTGACTGCGATGTACAACCGGACATCAAACTTGAACCCTGGAGACGAGGACACATGTAGTATCAACAGACAGTATCATTGGCGTGGTGATAGTACTGACATATTGGTACGAGGGAGAGTGCTGCACTGACAACAGGAACAATACCCAGTAACTCACCCTGTCTTCACCCCTGTTCACCTGTAACTCACCCTGAGTTCACCCACTAACTCATCCTGTGTTCACCAACTAACTCATCCTGTGTTCACCCACTAACTCATCCATGTTCACCCAGTAACTCACCCCATGACACCGTATTCACCCTGTAAGTTGCCCATGTTCACAGTTTAACTAACCCTGTAGCTCAGCCATGTTCACCCTGTAAGTCACCCCATGTCCACCCTGTAACTCACCCTGTGTTCACCATTCACCCATACTTGTTTAAACACATGGTAACAAGTGTAATTAATATATTACATATCTAGGATAATTCAGGTTTCTCAGTCATATCATATCATAATATTGGCTCTCCGTCCTTTCCCTGTACATTATTCCGTCCCTTCCACAGTAATCACCAAAGTCTTGTAGTACCCTAGCTAAGGGCCACAACATAAATGCCATCATCTCATGAAAGGCACAAGCCATACTGTTGTTGTGTACTGTTGTTGTGTACTGTTGTTGTTGTGTACTGTTGTGGTGTACTGTACTGATGTTGTTGTGTACTGTCGTTGTTGTGGCCTTCTGTTGCTGTGTTGTACTGATCTTGTGTACTGTTGTTGTATACTGCCACCCTATTCATAGCAGCACTGTGTGTTATAATTACCTGGACCTAGTTATAATCAATTAATTTATAGCAAAGGATATATATTGTTACATATAAAGTAACATACGACAATAAAGCATCTCACACTAATCACGTGAATTCAATCTTGTCCACAGAGTGGTGTAAGAAATTCCTCTCCCACAAGTGTTGACTACAAACCAATCTACATACGTTACTAATAGCCAGGTTCAGCTGTTGTACTTACCATCCACAAGCAGGGGGTTACCCAGGTACTTGCACACAATGATGTTTTCATCCAGAGGAATCTGATCCGGCTGGAACCAAGAAATGATTCTACTCACATCGCTGCCATGCATGAAGTAGATCAGCTGACAGTATGTCTTCTCATAATAACAGAATCTTTAAAACTTTAACTCAAAATAAAATATACTAGGGGAAGACTCAATCATGACTGAATTGTAGAATTTTCCTATTCGGAATATTCTATAAGTAATACGTTACCACTGTTATACCGAGGCTGTTGTCTCCCACAACTGCTGCTATAGCAAAATCTACCACAGAGATCTCAATTACCTCATGCAGCACGTGTGTAGCCACCTAGCTGCCATGTGACACCCTTCACTCTTGTCTCCTGCGAGAGCAAGTGCTCGGGGGACGGACGGGCGGGCAGCAGCCCAGTGGTAACGTATTACTTATAGAATATTCCGAATAGGAAAATTCTACAAATTACATTAAGTAATACGTTACCACTGTTATACCGAGGCTGACTACCACAGTAGGCGGTGAGGAGCACCTACAACCCGAATCCTGACTGCTAGCCTTCCTTCCGACCAGCGGAAGTAAACACCAAGGCGGAAGCACTCGATGCGCATGCACCTAGCTAGGCGTTACCCTATAGGAATACCAAAGCACTGTCAAGCGCATACCGTAAGGCTCAATCGTCATTGCCAAAACGATTGGTGACTCCAAACGGCCCAACTCGATAGGTATTTCATCGCCGCAGCGGATGAGAACACTGTATCCGCGTGAGCTAAATCTTAGATCAGGTTAAACAGTCGAAAGAGGGAAATTAATTTCATTCAGACCGTATATCCCCGAGCAAGCCTACTTAAAGTATGTAATAGGCGCGTGACCTAATTCCAGTATTCGTAAGCATGTATCACAAGGTTGGAATACACGACAGACAATTAAATGCATAATTGTCAAAATACAAATAAGGACAAAACACACAAAAAGCTGCCTCACTTGTGGTGTGAGTGCGCTGGTTTGCAGGACCCCCACTCCTGTACCCACGGCGTGGGAACATTGGAGACGACCCAGATTGACCACCGTGCAAGGACTGACGACTGCGGAGTTTGGAATTGCGCTAGACACACCCCCTAGATGACCGCTTGTGCCGCGATCAGCGGCCCAAGACGGTGCACCCCCTCCACGTCTTCATCAGAAACCTTCTTGAGGTAATGATTGGCAAAAACCGAGTCAGAACGCCAGTAACAACCTCGTAATATTCTTTGAACAGAGATATTCGAGTGTAGGGCAAATGTTGCCGCTAGCGCCCTGATCTTGTGCGGGTTTGACCCCGCTACCGGTAACCCCCGAGACCGGTACGCCAGATTGATGACAGAACGAAGCCACAACGCAATCGAGTTGCGAGTTATGTCAACCGTGCGATTAGGGTTACACGATATGAACAGACGGTCACGCCCTTGTCTATGTTCATTCGAAGCCTTAAGATAATACTTAAGGGCCCTAACCGGACACAGCGCTCTGTCCTCAGTATCAGCAGGATGTAAGATTTCTTTGAGTGATCTTACAGTGAATTCTCTCTCCGTTTGCCCGATTCTCTGATTCTTGGCGACGAAGCCCATGAGCAGACCCAGGCGGACCGCTCCTTCGTCACCCCTATCGAATCGTACCTTGGCGACATCGAGTGCATGAATTTCGGATACACGTGCCGCCGTGGCAAAGGAGAGGAGAAATGCTGTTTTCCAAGTCACATGCCGGAACGAAGCACTATGCAAGGGTTCATACGGAGCTTCCGTAAGTGATTGCAACACTAAGGAAAGATCCCAGGCCAGTGCCCGAAGGCGGCCCTTCTTAAGATCGTGCTGTTTGAAACCCTTGATAATACCCCGTATCACCGGCTCTTTGGAGAGACTGGTACCCATAGCAACGTCCCGTACCGTAGCAACGGACGAGACATAGTTGGCAATGGAACCCCCGGAGAGTATCGGGTCTCTCACAAGTGAGACATGAAACGAGCAATATCCTGCACAGATACCTTATCTGGCGAATGAATGTGATGTTTACAACACCACTTCGTGAAAATAACCCAACGTGCATTATACACCTTTTGGGTAGAATCACGATGCATACTAACGTATGCCCGAGACGCCCGGCGAGAAAAACCTTTACTCCTCAGACGCTCGGTGACAACATCCACGTGTGCAGATTGAACTGCCCTGCGTTTGGATGAAGCTGACGGGTGTGAGGGTGGATCAAGAGATCCGGTCTCACAGGCAGTGGAAGTGGCGACTGCGTGACCTGGGTCAGCAAGTCGGGGTACCACGATCTGTTCGGCCACATGGGCGCGATCAGTAACATTCGACAGCGAACTCCTCGGAGCCGGCTTAGAATGTGTGGTATCAACGCTGTCGGCGGGTAAGCAAAAGCGTCCAAGCCCGTCCAGTCTAACGCGAGAGCATCGTGATCGATGGCCCTCGGGTCCGGGACTGGTGATACAAACAACGGGAGTTGATTGTTGAACCGCGTTGCGAACAGGTCGACCATTGGACGACTCAAACGTTCGCACAGCCACTGAAACACTACTGGGTTCAGCATCCACTCTGTGGGGCTCGGATCCTGAGGCCTTGATAGAGCATCGGCCAGTACGTTCCGCACACCTGGGATGTGACGGGCGCGTATCTGGCACGGGACACTGTCCACCAGAGCGTAAAACTCGAACGTGAGATCGAGTAGCGAGTGACTGTGGGTTCCCCCCAGTTTGTTCACATAGGACACTACCGTTGTGTTGTCGGTCGCCAGCATGAGCCGGGCGTCGACGAGACGATGCTTCCAGTGATTGACTGCGTTGATCACTGCCTTGAACTCGAGACAATTGATGTGAAGACCTAGTTCGTCTACGCACCACAGCCCCGAGCTCACCTCCCCCTCTAGATGGGTGCCCCAGCCCACTAGAGAGGCGTCTGTATACAGGTTCAACGTGGCCCAGTAGGGCCGCATAGAGACTCCTGATAAGACATTGTAAGGGACCGTCCACCACTCCAGATGCGGTCGGAGCCGATCTGGGAGGGCGACGGTCGCACTGTTCACCTCCGTTGCTAACAACTGGATTAAAAAACGTTGCAGCGAGCGGAGTTGGAGACGACCCCGTTCTTTGCAGTCCTGGGCTGATACAAGTAGCCCTAACAGCTGTTCCCAAAAGTGAACAGTCTGTTGCACCACTAAGACTTTAGCAATCATCGCCTGAATCTTGTGCCACCGGTCTGGGGGGACAAAGAGGCGATGGGACACCGTGTTGAACCGACCTCCGAAGAACTGCAAGTTCTGAAAAGGGGTTAACTCGCTCTTGGGGAGATTGACAATCCACCCCAATTGCTCCAAGAGCCGACGTGCGAAAACGAGATGGCGTGACAGGGTGTCCGTCATTCGATTTGCTACCAGCGAGTCGTCCAGGTACGCGAAGTACCGGACACCCCTCCGGTGGAGGAACCCCACTATGGGGGTGGTTAACCGGGTGAACAGCCAGGGAGCAGTTGAAAGACCGAATGGGAGTACAACCCACTCGTAGTGCCTGCCTTGAAAGACAAACCAGAGATACTTGTGATGATCCGGGTGAATCGGAACATGCAGATAAGCATCCTTCAGGTCGATCGAAGCGAGCTAGTCGGCCGGCATGATCAGTGCTTTCAGGTCCGTCAAGCTCAACATTCTGAACTTGGGCGGCTGGCGCAGGTGGAACTCGTTGAACGATTTCAAGTTGTGAATCATTCTGAGTTCGGCACTGTCCTTCTTGGGAACGAGAAATATCCTGGAGTAAAACCCCGGTGTTATTTCTGGTAGAGCTAACTCCCGAACTGCCCCCTTCTCCACCAACCTGCCGATGGCATCGGCGAGGAAGGGAAGATCGGTTTCCGAATAGAAACCTGCCGACGGGGCAATGGTGAGCGGCTGATTCGCTTTGAGATCGAGCCGATAGCCGTACCGAATCGTGTTGACCACCCACGGGTCGTCGAACACTTGTTCCCAATTCTCCCAGTAAGTCTGGAGTCTGGCTCCCACTGGGGAAGGAGAGGGGGGCCTGACGGGCTGCGGCAGGCGCAACTGTCCAGGGCCAAGCGACTCGGGTTCGCCTACGGGCCAACCGAAGTTGGCGCTGTCGGCATACGAACCCCTCCAACGAGAGTCACCTGGAGGGGCCCTTGCCGTCAGACGACTTGGGCTTCCCCCAGTTCCCCTTCTTCCCGCGAAAGGGCTGCTGAGAACCCTTACCGGAGCCCTCAGAGCGGGGCTTCTTCCCGGAGGAAGAGGAACCCGACCCCTTAGGCCTGCTGGACGCAGCATCCTGGGGCGCGCTCCGCAAGGAACCCACAAGATCCAGTGTGTGCCGAGAGGGCTGTCTGGGGATTCCATCGCCGCATTGTAAGCAGTTGTAAATGCGCTGGTCCTGGTCCGTAGGAGAACCTTCGACCAGACTGGCCGCTGCAGCCAGGTATGTGTCTCCGTGAGACATTGCCAGCATGGAGTGTCGAGCGAGGGTGTCCAGCTGTTGCAAGGTACCTTGTGGTACCGTGGCAACCGGTGGGGCACGGACCCCCAAACGCTCCACATGGGCTTCCGCGGAAGGACCAGCCTCGGGAAAGGCAAGGTCATGTACCGGGAAAGACCCTTTTCTCCACGACGGTGGAGGTAACGGGAGACCCTGACCGGAGGCAGCCGTGAAGGCCTTCTCCAAAGAAGGCTTAATCCTGCGCAGCAAGGTTGATGCCGGGAAAGCCTTGTCGGACGTCTCGTCGTACACCTCGGAGAAACCCATGGAACCGTGGATTCCCCGCGGTATCGGCAGGGGCTTTGGCATGTCCTCGAAGAGGTCATAAACCATGGCCACGCGGTCCTTAACCGATAGCGGAAGCAACGGTTCGGGGGAAGGACCGGTAACCACGGCAGCGGAACCCGCGGCCACCGAAGAGGCCGGGGACGGAACAGCCAGCGGCCTATCTTGCGATAAGGCCGCCAGCTTGGAGTCCACAAGTTTCGACAACAATGCGGCGATGGAATCCCCAGACAGCCCGAGGGCCGCAAGGGGATCCGCCGCAGCCGAGGAGGTGGTACCCGCACGGGGACCCCGACCGGACGAACCGGCCACCACAGGGGTGGAGACGGACTGTACGTACAGCCGGTAACGCTCAAACTCCGCAGGCCCCAGACCTTCGCACAGGGTGCACCGGGTGTCCCCGCAAGGAACCCTGCACCGCAGGTAACGATCGTGGGGATCCCGGGACGACAAAAACTTTCTGCACACCCCGCAACTCCGAGGAGCAGGGGTAGAGGGGGTGGAGACTGGGGACATATCCATGTCAGACAATGTTTGTTTGCTATAAACAAAGAACAAAACATGGTTACAACGCACGCACCACAATGATTCACAAACGAGCATTTTCACAAGAAAATAAACGAGCAATGTGAACATATAACATACACATATAACTTTTATTAAAGACATAAGTTATGTTAACCCCCAAAACATACAAGAACAGGGGAAACGTAAAACACAACGTGCATACGCGAACCCCGCAAGTATATAGAAAAAAGGGCGGGAAAATTATAACCAAGCATAGCTACCGCAACGCCCCATAAAAGCACAGTTTATTAGAGAATAATCGATAATAAATATCACCAAATATTCAAGGAACGCTTCAGCAGGAGGAATACACGTCTTGCTACGCAGACGAAGGAGACAAGAGTGTAGGGTGTAACATGGCAGCTAGGTGGCTACGCACGTGCTGCATGAGGTAATTGAGATCTCTGTGGTAGATTTCGCTATAGCAGCAGTTGTGGGAGGCAACAGCCTCGGTATAACAGTGGTAACGTATTACTTAATGTAATTTGTCATCAAAGAATATCAGAGGTTGGGTGAATGAGTGAGTGGACCTAATGTCTCCAAAAGTCACAATATGACAGGGGGTAGAACAAGAGAACTTTTAGAGTCTGATGTTAGCCCTGGTCTATGACATGATGAAGCAATGTTTTACCCAAACATCCCCCAGTGTCCTAAGGAATGTTAGTTACTCACATGGTTGATGAGGAAGACTCCCCTTCCCCGCGAGGAAGCAACAGGTTTTACAATCCAGTGACCCTTTTCTCTAAGAAATGCAGCTGAAACAAGAAGACGTCGGCCAAATAAATCTTTAATATTCCAAATGACATAATGATGCCAGTGCCAAAGAACAGTGTCGCTAATAATTCAAAACTGGCTCCAAACAAACATACTTCCCCTGTAATTACTGTTTCAATAAAACAGCTTGAGCAAACGTCAATGATGTTAGGACAGGTCTTCAAAATAGGTGTTGGACATGTTCTTACCACAGAAATCCTGGTATTCTCCTGGAAGAACAAAGCTGTTGGGGATGAAGTCAAAATGTCTCTGTCCCTGAAACATAGCAACCCAGCCATCAGGCTCTGCTGCAGTGGGGGACAGTGTGTGGAGACAGGTATGCAGGTAAGGTGGGTGAATTGAGTGGAGACAGGTATGTAGGTGGGGTGGGTGAATTGAGTGAATTGAGTGGAGACAGGTATGTAGGTGAGGTGTGTGAATTGAGTGAATTGAGTGAATTGAGTGGAGAGAGGTATGTAGGTGAGGTGGGTGAGGTGTGTGAATTGAGTGGAGACAGGTATGTAGGTGAGGTGTGTGAATTGAGTGGAGACAGGTATGTAGGTGAGGTGGGTGAATTGAGTGGAGACAAGTATGTAGATGAGGTGGGTGAGGTGTGTAGAGACAGGTATGTAGGTGAGGTGTGTGAATTGAGTGGAGACAGGTATGTAGTCGAGGTAGGTGAATTGAGTGGAGACAGGTATGTGGGTGAGGTGGGTGAATTGAGTGGAGACAAGTATGTAGATGAGGTGGGTGAATTGAGTGGAGACAGGTATGTAGGTGAGGTGGGTGAGGTGGGTGAATTGAGTGGAGACAGGTATGTAGGTGAGGTGGGTGAGGTGGGTGAATTGAGTGGAGACAGGTATGTAGGTGAGGTGGGTGAATTGAGTGGAGACAAGTATGTAGATGAGGTGGGTGAATTGAGTGGAGACAGGTATGCAGGTGAGGTGTGTGAATTGAGTGAATTGAGTGGAGACAGGTATGTAGGTGAGGTGTGTGAATTGAGTGGAGACAGGTATGTAGGTGAGGTGGGTGAATTGAGTGGAGACAGGTATGTGGGTGAGGTAGGTGAATTGAGTGGAGACAGGTATGTAGGTGAGGTGGGTGAGGTGGGTCAATTGAGTGGAGAGAGGTATGTAGGTGAGGTGGGTGAGGTGGGTCAATTGAGTGGAGAGAGGTAAGTAGGTGAGGAAGGTGAGATGGGTGGATTGAGTGGAGACAAGTATGCGGGTGAGGTGTGTGGACACAGGTATGCAGGTGAGGTGGGTGAAATGGGTGAATTGTGTGGAGACAAGTATGCAGATGAGTTGGGTGGAGAAAGGTTTGTAGGTGAGGTGGGTGAATTGAGTGGAGACAGGTATGTAGGTGAGTGAAGTTGGTGAGGTAGGTGAATTGAGTGGAGACAGGTGTGCAGGTGAGGTGGGTGAGGTGTGTGGAGACAGGTATGTAGGTGAGGTGGGTGAATTGAGTGGAGACAGATATATAGGGGTGTGAGACAGGTATATATGTTGGGTGGGTGAGGTGAATGAGGAGAGACAGGTATATAGGTTAGGTAGGTGAGGTGAATGAGGTGAGATGAGACAGGTATATAGATTAGGTGGGTGAGAAGAATGAGGTGAGACAGGTATATAGATTAGGTAGGTGAGGTGAATGAGGTGAGGTGAGATGAGACAGGTATATAGGTTAGGTGGGTGAGGTGAATGAGGTGAGATGAGACAGGTATATAGGTTAGGTGGGTGAGGTGAATGAAGTGAGATGAGACAGGTATATAGGTTAGGTGGGTGAGGTGAATGAGGTGAGATGAGACAGGTATAGTTTAGGTGGGTGAGGTGAATGAGGTGAGATGAGACAGGTATATCAGTTAGGTGGGTGAGTGAGTGAGTGAGTTGGGTTTAACGCCGCTTTTAACAGTATTCCAGTCATATCACGGCGTGTCAGCTTAATGTTGGAGGAAAGCCTGAAGTGATGCAGGTCTCAGACGTATACCACTTCGGTGAAACCCATGAGCTCGGGTATGGTGCTGACAAACCTAGAAACATAATGGTGACGAACGGGGATTCGAACCCACAATCATAGGTTTCAGGCGTGTCCAAGGGACGCAACTCTGCACAGCGAATCCCGGCGCCTTAGACAACTGGGCCACCCGTTCCCCGTTAGGTGGGTGAGGTGAATGAGGTGAGATGAGACAGGTATATAGGTTAGGTGGGTGAGGTGAATGAGGTGAGATGAGACAGGTATATAGGGGTGTGAGACATATACAGGAGTGTGAGACAGGTATATAGGGGTGTGAGACAGGTATATAGGGGTGTGAGACGGGTATATAGAGGTGTGAGACAGGTATATAGGGGTGTGAGACAGGTATATAGGGGTGTGAGACAGGTATATAGGGGTGTGAGACAGATATACAGGGGTGTGAGACGGGTATATAGGGGTGTGAGACGGGTATATAGGGGTGTGAGACGGGTATATAGGGGTGTGAGACAGGTATATAGGGGTGGGAGACAGGTATATAGGGGTGGGAGACAGATTTAAAGGGGCGAAAAACAGGTATATAGGGGTATATACTGCTGTAGCGCTGGGCACTCACCTTTATCTGCTGCATTCTCTGAACATTCTTAAACAGTCGGTCTTTCCGTGTTAACTCATAAGATCTGGAAATGTTATAGCAAATCATTACAATAATAGATTCATTGTCTCTGACTTAGTATATTTTCCACCATATACACAACAAAAGATATGATTAGACTAACAAAGCTTGATTGATTATGAAACTGTTATACTTTTGAAATGAAATTCCAGTGATACATTCAACTAGCAACCATTGAACGCTCACCCCAAAAGTGTATTGATTAAAAATATTTCCCTGAATGATGACACAGCAATCTTTATTCGTACATCTTCAATTTACTCTTTAAAAAACACAATTATCTCACTGACCTGGGGAAATGGTTGATCTTCTGGAACTCGGTCATGCTGCGGAGCGTGAATGGTTTAAGATGGGCGTTGGTCCACAGCAGGTTGAAGTCAGAACTGTTGGGGTGGACCTGTCGGGATTCACTCACACACTGTACATTCTTCTATAACTAGGGCAGGTCACAATTACAAGTGATTGGCTTTGAAAAATACTGGTACTTATTCCCTGATACTATGTACAAGCTGTGGAAATGGCCATATTGCAGTCTCATTAGAATCATATCTTAGTGCTTGTTACCACTACACATAGATATGAGGACATCCCGCGTTAGAACAACCTTTCATCCGACCAATCAGAGAGTCGCTTTCGAGATTGCGAAAGTGACAGTCCAAATGTGTTTTCTAATCATGCAACTCTCAAAGGACCAACATGGGGCATTCCGAACAACAGCAGTACAGCCTATCAAAGGGATAAACATTTGAAACGTGAGAGACCTTCCCTACCTTGGAGAGAGTACTGCAATACAATCTCAGACATCTATTAGACATTCCAGAATTTTCTCTTGTACAGTTTTCAAAAATTGAATATCAAACTTTGTCAAAATATATTTTCACAGCGCAGTCGTCAGTTTGAAATTAGTACTGTAAAGTTCAAGAAAGCTACTTTCTGATTTGTGGATGTTGACTGGACTTCAGTCATTTCATTGGTTGGTTCTGATTTGCAAAAGCTCTTTCTGGCGTTGGGACGTCCTCAGATCTTTGTGTAGCGGTAGCGAGAACTACAATCTGATTTTAAGGAGACTGAGCTGTGTGGATGACAGACTGCATCAAAGCATTAGTTGATGTAGAATCAGTGTCAGTGTAGGTCAGAAGGTCGCAAACCTCCCGAGAGACAAGTCATGATAGTTCCTGTTGCTGCTGATGTCTACAGCTGTACAGATAAACTATGATGTTTGAGTCCATGCTTGTGAAAATCTCGGATTTATACTTCCTATACTGAATATGACAAATGCAAAGCTTCTTGCTAACTATTAAAATTATAGATACAGAAAAATAAACAGGTTTGAATCAGTGATCTATATATGTATACCATGCTATAACAATATCACAACTAATTCTTACCTCATGAAAACCATGGGAGGTGAGAATGTTTCGGACAATCTTGCACTCGGTTGTCCCAAATTTAAATGCCAAGTGATATCGCTCTGTAAACAATCGCATACATCGGAATTAATTACATAGGATACAAGTGTGTAATAAACACATGACAAACATATCACTTTATTACAAATAGCTTGACATTATAATATCTAATAACTTTACTGATGAGTTGATATTTATATTAAACTGTGAACATGATTTCAACAAATGATGACATAGACACATCAACAAGCTATTGGGATCACTGTTTCTGCTACGTGAGTTTTACGTAACAAGCTGGAGCTAGCAACAGTACCTCCTATAGTCTTGAGATCTGGCTTTTTCTGCATGACACCTTCAACTTTGAACACAATCACCGGAGTCTTTCTGCCAAACCCTGTCCACACCACATTAGAGGAGTCGGACCTGGAGCCACAACAACCAACATTGGCAAACATCAGGAATCATTGAATTACTCTTATCATGCTTAACAATGATGAACAACTGAAAGACAATATATTCAGGGCAAATCAGAGAATAAACTCCACCATGCACTGATAGAGTGTGCCAAGCATTACGGTTTATCCAACAGGACACTTCCTTGTGCTCAATACAATTCAAACAGGGAATCCATTCATATTTTGGAGAGACACATAAGTAAACTATTGTGTATGATTTTGCTATGGCAATATTACCAAAACTCTAAATCCTGAGGTGCATGAAGTATTTATCTCGACTTATGATGGTGATGTAACTTACTTCTGCAGCCAAAGATTGAGAACACTTCCATGTTAAACAGACCCTAGAGGCTGAAGCATTACAGGATGGAGACTTGGAGACATACCCTTTGTTCTTATCCTCCTCCTCTTCATCTGTTTCATAGTCCGAGTCATGTTCACTTCTTTCCTCGCCATCACTTTGTTCGGAAGGGGTCAGTGACCCTGTGTCCGAGTCTGTGGCCTTGGCAGCCATCATGCACCACCCTTGTGTGTTGACCCAGACTAGTTGCTAGTGCACATACGCACTGGTGATGGGCACAACCCCATCTAACCCAACTGTTTCCACCCGGAGGACAAGGAATCCTGGAGAAAGATAACTAGAAAGATAACTAGAATAATATATAGTATTTGGTTCACTGAAATTCTACTCAACAATTAGCCATGATAGTATGATGGTGCCACTAATTGGTACCTGCCAAAACCTTTTAGAGCAACTATAGGTTCATGCATGGATTACCAAAGTGCTCCATTGCAGTGTTAGAAATTAAAACAAAAACATTCATTGGACACATCACTGTGACATCAGCATCATCCCGAGGCCAGAGTGCCCATTAGACTTTTTATGAAATCTTGTTTCCACCCTTACCACATCAAGCCCACTTTCCTGTGCTAAATATGATTGGACTATCTCACATATCGATAGTCCAATCAGACGGCATTTCACAAAATCAACATCCACGACTGTACACCTTCGCATGAAAGTGATTACCCCTGCCTGTCTTTGTTAACACGAATGTGTCTTTTTGATCTTTTAAACCTCCAAACGATAACCTATGTTTTTGTGTTAGGGATAAAATCATGAATGTTTTCATTAACTGATTGACTAGGTCCATTGCTATGGTAGTCATCATCTTTGTGAAGCTATACCAGATAAGAACAGCGATCTGATTGGATAAATCACATTTTCATTACAAGGGGCACAACTCGTGATCTACGTGAGGAGGCGCCAGAGTCGAGTCAAGAAAAGTGACCTTGATGTGGCAAGGGTAGAAACTAGGCTTTGATACAGGCTAGTGGACATGCTTGCCTAGGGAAGATGCATAATCATTTGATAAGGTAGGGGTGTTCCAAACATAAATACATAATTGATGATTGATCTCTTTCTCTATTTCAATGCCCGATTGAGGAGAAAATGCTATTTTCATATCAAATTGTAAACCTCAGTGTTCAAACAACCAGTTCAATGGGTAAACATTCTTAACATCAACACATTCATCACTGTCTTTGAAATAACTTGTATTTGAGCACCTCCAGATTAAAGTCATAATTAATCGTACAAATGTTTGCAGTGCATAAACATTTTTTGCTAAAATTCTTTGAGATGATGTACATTTCATGAAGAGTTCGAAATTAACATGAGTCTGCTCGTTGGAGACAGGAACATGTAAACTTGACAAACATGGAATACAAACATGCTAAATGCACGGTATGATTCATTGGGATTCATAAATTGAAAAAAAGGTAATATCAATCTCCATGAAAAGAAAGGGTCCGAACATTTGGCTATCGAGCTCACAACGTGACAGACATTGACATATTTGAAGGTGGATCAAAGCATAAAAGGGCAAGTAAAAAAAACATTATTGCATTTTGTTTTAGAATATCAATTGTCCTAAATGTATCAAGTCAATTTCCAAAGGTAAAACAATTCATAACATCAGTAAAAATTATTTAAATATCAAAGTTAACGTGCTGAAATCACACGCTCCGTAACCAGTTGCCAAAACAAACATATCTTGGGGTGTGGCTTAAAGGTACCGACACAGCAGTGATGACAAGGTTTTCATTAGCTGATGTGTGATTGACAAATCAACAAAACTACAACATAAACAATTTTTTTCACGTTCATACTTATTGACAAGTGGTTGTAATACAAATATTGTTAACATTCTACATCATCTACATGCTCTTTCAAACATGTACGTCTGTTGTAAGTATATGTTTAGGTATGCAGTTAATATTGCCACAATAGGGTTGCTCTTTGCAAGTCAGTCCAGCTGGGAAATAAATAAACAAGATTTGAGAACAGGTAGGTCTCATAGCCTAATTGTTATTTTCTGTGAATATTTCATTTATTTTATTGTTTTAACTTTACACTAGATATAAGTGAAGTCTATATTACATCAAGTTTGTAATGATGAATGCTACAAAGTTGGGTGTCTCGAAATGTGTGAATGTAGGAGTTGACCTATTTTTAGCTTGATAGTTTACAGTAACCATAGACACACAATTCAATATGGCGGTTGCTGTACCGGAAGCTTAATTTCGTACATAAAAACAGAACAAACTATGACATAACAACCATGAAAAGTAAAAGGATATTTTTTAAATGACTTCAAAGATGCACATGCATAAGTAGTCGCATGTATGCCTTCAGATTCTCGGTATTTCTACCGGTGACCCACGGCGTTATAAAGCGGGAAGACCACAAATTTGTTTCGCTGTCTACAAAAGTAAACACTTAGATCAGTCACAAAAACACAACAGATTCTGAACATACCTTTATGAGAAATTATCGCACATAACTCTTTTAACTCGGAATGTACGGCAAATTCGGGCTATTAACATGAAAAACCTGTCAAAACAGCATTACATACTTACGACTGGTGAAATCATAGAGCTTGACAGAACACGCGCACTGCCAACTTCCGGGTATGATGGGAAAACATGGCGGCGCCCGTGATTCAGAAGTTTAGACCGAGAGTCGTCTCACAAACTGGCTTAAAATGCACTGCATCCATAATCTTTTTTCACGGTTCTGGTGAGCCCTATGTTCGACTATAGTTTTAGTGATTTTAAGTGTTTTAATTGTCCGGGTTTTCCGTTAACTTAAGAATACAATCTCTGTAGCCTGAGTGTTTATCAGCGGGGAACGCAAATCTTTAGCATCCTGTTGAAGCTCGGCGGTCTTCTGTAATGTACTGATAACTAATTGGTTTATGGATCTCTTGGCCCTGATAAACAAGAAAAAAGTAGAACATAAATTTTTGAAAATACTCTAATTTAATTCGTCAAAAAACGTTCATATGACCCATTAGACAACGTTCTCCTCAAAGGCTTCGTGTACTAGTCTACTTAGTAGCATTCAACAACAACACCTTGCCTAATGATACAATGCCGTTTAGCACCTCCTTGTATAAGCTGTACCCGTGTTCTAGTCTGTTATAATCCTGATAATATGGCTGGAATATCGCCTGAACTAGACTTGATTGTATCCAATCTGTTATCATTTTTTTCTTGAAGATTATATTAAGTTCTGTTTCCACTTGAAGTATTTGTTTCATAGGTCCTCTCCAGCCGACAACATGTGTCGTATATAATAGGAGTGACTTTTACATGGGGCTATTTTCACTAATGTGATAGTATTGCAAAAGTACCCCACATTATTGCAATAGTATAGTAATAGTTGTCAACTATTCCATAATATTGTGGTAGTAGTAAACCTACTTCAAGGCTTGATAATTATTTTAATCAATGTTGTAGAAATAAATATAATATTGCACACAATGTCAAAGTCGGCCATTTTCCTCCCTGTCACTACTCAAACCAAAGGGAAATAAGTCTCATCTGATATCATAATCCTTGCTAATCAACACACCGCATGATTGCAATCTGACTGTAGTTTTGAGTTGTTTGACACATGTCCTGACTTTTGAGACTATCGATTGTTATGCATAGTATCAAAAATACCATCAGCGTTTTTAAATTCCAGTTGTTTAAGTACAATTGTAGGGCAAAGAATTGCAATACATTGATAGTTTGCTATATCATTACACTCATATTGTATGTTATTATGCCTAAAAGTGAGACTGACCAATTAGATAGCAAAACTAGGAACCCCATATGAGCCCATAGACCGTCAGTAAAAATCCAAGATGGTTGTTACTGACCTAATATGAGACTGTATACCGTCAGTAACAACCTTTATGGATTTTTGTGATGTGCCAAGAGATTACCTTTAAAGAAACCACATTTGTGATTTTATTAATACAAATTATAGAGAAGAAAAGCTCACAACGGAGGTCACTGATTTTAGCCTATCGTTAGAGAAAGCGGACTGCTAGTTACAGTGGCCCGTAGATTTCTGATAAAATGCAGGCATTTTTATGATAATTCTATCCATTTTAGCCATAATACTTGTTTAAACGTTCACATTTAGTGCATAATATATTCCAGTGTTAATGTTTGTATTTACAGTAAAGCATTGTAGCGGAAACATGTACTGATCCTGTAATTTATACTGGTTGTAAGTGGGAGTTTTCATTTTGACATGACATGTGCCATAAAGATACAAGATAGTGTAAACTTTCAGCATAATAAATTTGTTCTGGTGATGTTATTGCAAAATAGTTTTCTGTTTTCATCCTGACTCTGATTCCTTGCCTCTTCAGGTGACACAGGACGAGGTATTGAAGAATGGTTGGGGTCTCTGTGTGGAGGACAGTTCAACTTCCCCCACATCAGAACTGTGTTTCCAACAGCGCCAATGAGGTAACCATGGTGACAAGGGTTTTCTACAGATCTGCAGAACCATATTTAATATCTTCTTTCTACTATCATATCTTCCATTTGTTGATACTAAGTCGGAACAAACATGGGAATAAAATATTCCTGTTGGGATTGGAGTGAGCTGGGGATATGTGTCTCATCATATTGATTGTCAACAGGTTTCTAGTGATCAGTCAGGGGTAGACTCCAGAAGTTAAATGGGGCAGGGCTGTCGTCTAGTGGTTAAAGTGTTCGCTCGTCATGCCAAAGACTCAGATGGGTACAATGTGTGAAGCCCATTTCTGGTGTCCCTCGTGTGATATGCTGGAATATTACTAAAAGCAGTGTAAAACCATATTCACTCACTCACTCCAGAAAGTTTAATAATTTTGGATTAGTGATATATGAAACAAAGGTAACTACATTTTGGGGAGAAATTACTAGTCAACCAGTACTTGCAGTTTGTCACAGACTCAGAGTAGCAGATTAAAAACTGTGGGCTCTGTTAATAGAGTGTACTTGGAAGTAATGTTTTATGGATTGAGTTAACATGCAGTGATTACCCTAAAAACTCCCCATGCAGATATCACTGGAGTTGTCTGAGTTTGTAGAACTCCTGTGAAATCTTGTTTTTTAAGACCATGCAGCTATGCAGGAGGATCACGTATGCACATGTGGTTTGACCGGCTGGCAGTGTCTCCACACGTGGCCGAACACGACTCGGTGCATGAAGTCTGTCACGAGATATCACACCTTATAGATGCAGAGGTTCAGGCCGGAATTCCCAAACACAGAATTCTACTGGGTAACACATGTTTACAATCGACCACATGCTATTTCTACAGCATCTGTTTGTTTGCGATGCTGCTTATTTTTAGAGTCAAATTACCTGCCTTTGTTTCCGGTGACTGAGTCAATTCATAAACACAATATGACACACACAGCTATGTCATACTACTATTTGTGTAAAATGCCCACTAGGTATTTGTGCAATGTTGTACTTTTCACAATAGTTGCATTCATTCCTTGTATATGGTGAATTTGTCTTGAAATAATATTAAAACACCTTGTATTGAAGAAATGATATAACACACTGGCTCAAGTAAGAATAAAACACCTTGTCTTGAAGTAAAAATAAAACACCTTGTCTTGAAGTAAGAATAAAACACCGTGTCTTGAAGTAAGAGTAAAACACCTTGTCTTGAAGTAAGAATAAGACACCTTGTGAAATGTTTCCAGGTGGATTTTCTAATGGGGGCTGTTTGTCTCTTCACCTCGGCTACCGGTTCCACAGAGATGTAGCTGGCATCTTCAACCTCTCCAGCTTCCTCCAGACAGAATCATCTGTATATAAGGTAGGGCTGGGACGATACAGCAACTGTGCGATGCAGTACGTATCACAATACCTTGCATGTGCTCTTATCAGGGGTGCATAAGCCATCTTATTATAGACAGGATGGCCAAATACCTGGTACACTAACAAATTGCTGTTGGGGGTGTCAAGTATGCCGCAATGGGTGAAAATATGTACCTTTTTCACTTGTAATTAGTTTTTGGTGTAACATTTATTACTAAATCATAAGGTAGTGTTTGGAATTGGTCAAAATATCAAGATTGATCATTTGCTTTAAAAGGCAAACTGAAAACATGATGTGTGTAAAGTATTACAGACAACACAGCAGTCCTGAATGACAAGGACAAAGTATGTGACAGAATCAGCCAAATGTTGAGATTCTGCAGTCTACAAACCTTAGGCTTACCAAAATCAAACTTCATGTTACAAGTTTCGAAACATGCTTTCCAATAATTTGAATTTTTTACTTATCCTGCATTACTCCTTAATGCATATTACTGCTTGTTCTTGACAGAGAAAAGAGCTGTGTGAGGGTCTTTGCGTGAAGAAGTTGCTCCAACTAGCTGAGAAGCCAGCCCATCACGCAGCTCCCACGTGACTAAAGGAAGTGACGTCACGGATCCTCATATTACTCTTGTCACTTGATGAGAGAAGACCTGTTTTTTGTTGTAACATAAACTGATTCAAACCCTCATGTGTTTGCTATCTGAGTTAATGTTTTTTGTCTTTGTGTTGTGCCTACGGTTTGTATTTTGTACATTCTTTGTATGATAAACATGTGCATAACGTTATTAGACACTTGCTGGCGTTTTCTCAAAAGAAAACATAATGCCAGGTGTCTTGTTGTTCCAAGTAGCCATCTTGAATATTTTACATAGCCAGCAGTTAGTGAACTGGTTTGCGTTCTATATTCTTTTTGCTTGGTACCCCACGATTGGCGTATCCTCGCAAGTATTGTTGGTTTTGTTGTATGTTGTCTTACATTTGTTGTAATATTTGTTTCATAAACCCACACAGTGGGATAAACAAATTATAGCATACATACTCGGGCGGGGACGCATTGTGATTTTAAACTGCTTCATTGCAGATATAATGCCCTCCTGCTCAAAGTGCTGGCGTAATATGTCGGCGTGGGATCCCCACCCCATGTGCCTTAATTGTACATCTCAATGCCTCCAGGGTCCCCGATGTAAAGACTGTTTACTGCTTTCACCCACAGCTTTCAGTCAGTACCTCCGTGTGTGTAAAAAACACAGAACACAGCAGGCCAGGAAACACCGGCGCACGATGTCAGACCATCTCGGCCATCTCGGATGACTACCCCTCGACCTCAACTGCTACCTTGATGTCGGACCCCACGGTCGCAGTCTCAATCTAGAGCACTTTGACGACCACAACAGCGTCTATCCTTACGGTGACGACCACCTTGACGCCCGGCGTGGCGCTCACATACCAGACGGCACCTTTACTATCCCCCGGACAGACGCTTGATCTCCTACAGGATGGGGCGCACACCTGGAGGTCGTCTCGGGGCTGTGGTCCGCCAATCAGCGTCTATGGCACATCAACAACCTCGAACTGGAGGCGATTATCTTGGCCCTCAGACACGCCCGGCTCTATCGTATGGTGCCTTCGTAACCAAGGAACGACTCATTAGACTTTGCTCCTTCAACAGACGTTCCGATTGTTTCACCTGTAATTCAAGGTCCACCACATCCCGGGCTGCCAAAACATCCTAGCGGATGCCCTACCTCGGCCAGGCAAAGTGGCTCCCACAGAGTGGAAACTTCACCCAGACGCCTTCGCTCTTGTTTGTCGAGACCACAGTCTCCCCAACATAGACATATTCGCCACCAGCCAGAACTACCAGATCCCGACCTACATATCTCCGGTGCCGGATCCACTGGCTTGGGCAGTCGACACTTTCAGTGTCCGCTGGGAAGGACTAAAAGCGTACGCTTTTCCGCCACCTGTTCTCCTTCCCAAAGTCGTCCAGAAGATCAGATGGACATGGAACCTCGATCTGACTTTGGTCGCACCCTGGTGGCCAGCAAGGGCTTGGTTCGTCGACCTCAGAGAGCTGTCCGACGCCAACCCACTACCACTCCCAGATTGGCCAAATCTGCTGATCCACCCTCACAGCAGACAGCCACACCCAGGACCAGACAGGTTATGTCTACACGTCTGGTCCATTTACAGAGAGCACTGAACCAAAGGCTACTCTACATAAGCTCAAGGGCAGTACCGTCATGACCTACCTTGTGGCGCTCAACTCCGTCCTGGCAGTTCCGAAAGTTTGACGCATGACGAAAATCCCGGAACTCCAGGCAATGGTCCGCTCATTCATACTGGAAGACCAAAAGGGGAAGTTCCTTCCCCAAGCTTGGGACTTGAACGTCATTTTCACACCTCGCTGAGAGACGCGCCTTTCGAGGCACTGGAAAAGTCGTCATTCTGCAATCTGACGAAAAAGACGTTCTTCCTACTGGCGCTCGCCACAGCAGCCCGTGTCAGTGAGCTACACACCCTTGACATCCCGCGGATCCGCTTTGAGCAGGGAGCACACGGAAGGTGCATCTGGGCCTGTACTGGGACTTCATTGCAAAGAATCAGCTCCCAGGTCAGCCCGATAGATCGTTTCTCATCCCCCCCCCCCTTTCATCGATTGTGGGCGCGGAAGATGAACTAGAGCTCCGCTGGGGGAATTGGAGGTTCCCATACATGGAGTGGTCACCCAAAGCCGACCACACAGCCAAGGATTGTCTAGGGAACAGAGTAAAAGATGAAAGTCCACATCTGAAGGTATGCCCGCCTCCGGTTCCGTCCGATAAAGATGCATTAAGGAGTAATGCAGGATAAGTAAAAAATCTAGTAAAATCCTAGATATTTTTTATATCTGTATACTTATCCTGCATTACTGCGTCTCAAGGGACCCACCCATCGCAGATCTACTTCCCCACCATGCCTTCCGATGTTTCGGACTCAAGAGTAATGTGAGGATCCATTACGTCACTTCCTTTGGTCACGTGGGAGCTGCGTGATGGGCTGGTCTCTCAGCTAGTTGGAGCAACTTCTTCAAGCAAAGACGTTCACACAGCTCTTTTCTCTGTCAAGAACAAGCAGTAATACCGTATTCGACCCAATAAGCGCCCCCGCCCCCCCCGAAAATTTATATAGTAATTATTTCGTTTTAAATGAAAATTGTCCGGGAACCAAAAGTTGTATCTGAAACTATTTTTTTTATCAGGAATAATATATTCCAATATCTTGTTAATTTAGATGCAGCTTTTACTAAACATATTTAAAATAATAATAACCCTAAGCGAAGCAGCTGATCGCTATTGCCGGGTATTATTTTTTACATGGAACCAGTCTGACCAGTCACCGTCAAGGCTCCCGTGCACGTGATCGCGGGAATTACGTTTTGACATAGAATCGTCCAACAAAAACAAATATGACTTTTAACGATTCAAAGTATGGCATTTATGACATATGTATCCATTCTCTGTCAACCTAAGTTCGTTTCAAGGCGTCAATAGCAGTAATCTGACCGTGGTTGCTGTTAATAACGGTGAGTTGTGCGATCTTCCGATCGCTTCACTCACGATTTCGCCGAAATTAATTAAAACAATATTTAAAGGTATATTGAATAAAATTAATGAAATAAGTTACAAACAAAAGTCCAGATATTCAAAGAACACTTTTTATAGCCAGACAGTGTAATGACATGAATAATTTGCGAACTTCAGTATGGATTTGTTGACATGGTATTTCCGGTGTAACGTGCTCACAGTAATGTCTTTCCATGGGGGGAAAAACATCAAAACTCATTAATTTGTGTATAATGCGCACCCCCTTCTACACAGCTGTGGAAAAAAAGAAAATACGGTAAGGCTTACTGATGAATTTACGCCAATTTGACCTGAATTGTCCCCAATAAGCGCCCACCCTTTCTGTCTTTTTTAAAGCGCCCTGGGCGCTTAATGGGTCGAATACGGTATGCATTAAGGAGTAATGCAGGATAAGTATACAAATATAAAAAATATCTAGGATTTTACTAGTTTAGGCACAAATTAAAATAAAAGCTATCTTATCAGCCGTTGGCACAGTTTCAAAAGTAACTATGGCAACAATTCCAGCATCCATGTATCAGCATAATGTCTTGATTGTCCAGTGCATTATGCCACCACACAATGGAGCACCCTGAACCCATTCACTACTCTAGCCTGACACTCCATCTTTTTCACCACCTACATGGCGGCACGGTACTTCTATTGCTCAGGACCTTGAAAACAGCAGCGGATCAAAATGTCTCTTCTAAATGAGAGTTTTGGCCAGATCTACATAACACATTGTGGCCTCCCATGAGCCATTCTACAACTCAAAAGAACTTAACCGATGGCCATGACAGATTAAATATAGTTATATGAAAAAATCGTGTTTATAACTTCTATTGATTATTATATATTGTCGAATCAGAAGAATGTTTAATGAATGATCTTTCAGCTGAAAAATATGTTTTTGTCTTTGAAACAGCTACAAAATGAAACTGGGAGCAAATGATTCCATGGTATTGATCATTATTGAAAGGAGATAATGTAAACAATGGAAGATGTCAGGTGGTCTGTTTGTCTTCCATAGGCCTTGCAGAAGGATGCATCTCAGTTACCTCCCCTGTTTCAATGCCACGGTAAGGAGGACCCCTTGGTGGACTACACATGGGGGGAGAGTACATGGGACCGCCTGAAAGAGCTTGGGGTGAAGGGGGAGTTCCACGGCATCGAGGGACTCGACCATCAGATGAGCATCAGAGAGATCCAGATGCTGAGTAAGTGGATTACAGACAGGGTACCTGAAGATGGCGGCGCTGCTCAACTATAGACACAGCAGGACTTGCTTCACGAAGAATCCATCAAGCTGACAGTAGAGATGCGTCTTACCCTGCTCTAGTCAGCCCTGGAGTCCGGGGTAATGGAAGGACAGGAATGGATCTGGAATGTAGCCTGTGGTTCACTGTCCATGGCGGCTACATGATATAACACGTTGTCAAGTTTACCAAACGTTTTGGAAATAATCTCTATAAGGGAATGTAAGCGAATTTCAAATGTAAGGATCTCGCCAAACCCAACAACAACATTCTTTCGCTTGCGCAGTGGAATGGCCCCAGTGTTTTGCCAATGGTAATACCTTTGCTATATCTGAACACGCATGCATGTAAGACAGATGTTTGATTTTTTTTGCTAAGATGTGAAGGAGCATTGTAGGAGTTATACACTACCCAGGAAACCATTCACTGAAATAAGTAGTTTTGTCAAATGGTCTATGCTGCCACATATCATTGTGTGTATCCGACTGCAGTGGAATTTCAGTATGCAGGATTTGATTTATAACGTTTTTTTGTCATCAGTATTGCAATCCTAGGTCACAGCCAGTATATGAACCGCTGTTTCTTCAAACAAGGTGTAGTGTTGTGCTCATTGCTGAATTAGATGTTTGAAGAATTGCAACTGTTAACCAGAAATAGTCACCTTTGTGTCAGTGGTTGTTTTGTTGTTATGTTTATGTATGTGATCTTCAGAGTATTGAAGTGGTGTTCTACTTTACTTTAGTTAACAGTGCAATAAACAGCTGGTGAGTGCTTTGTATTTCCACTGTTGTTCCACTCTGCAGTCAGATTGTTTGTCCATCACTTATAAACCTTTTACATGTTTGACACCTACTCTGAAACCATATTGCCTTTGAAGCTGAAGCAATGATGATCACAGGATTAGTGTCTCGAAAATTTGCTCACAGAAATCCTTTCTGTAAGGAATGACAGCCATTGAAAATGTATCAGAAAATTCAAGTGTGATTCAGAACATTGTGGTTCTCTGTGTTGTGTTAAGGCAAATATTACATCATTTAGAGGAGATTATCTGCTCTACCATAACTATGCTGTTAGACACATTGTGGCCATCTCGACAACATTAACATGTTTTTTTCTTCGTATATATTATCAAGATGTTTTCCAGGTGAATGATATATAATGGTGTGATGGTGCATGATCAGGTTATCCTGTATAATATTGCATGACTGATAAAGGTGGATGTGGACTGGGATATGGGAAAGATGGTGATGTGTTATTTTTGTTATACTTATATGGTTATACTATATTTTACAATCTGAAAATAAATTTTATATATAACTGTATGTTGCTGTCTTATTTGTTCATCCCTAGTTGGCTTGTGCCAGAAAGCCTTGATTGTGGGTTCGAATCTCAGCTTGAGTTTGATTCCTGGTTTGTCTGCACCATATACATTGTTGTGGATGTCACCACTGAGGTAAACATGGATGAACTGCATCACTCAAACATCAGACTGACACTGAAATACATCTCAAGTTCACTCACTTGTTCATTCATGCCAGACAATTGTAGTTAACGCACAGTAGCTTCAAGCTGCTTGTTAACTAGCTTTGTAGGTATTATTATTTACAAAATGGACCAGAACGGCTGTGCACAGTGTCAGTCAACACTTACAGTACTAATCAAGCAACAAGAACTGGTAAGTTGAGGGTTAAACTTCTAGAACACCCGTGTTGATTCCAGGTTTAGAATTGGTAATTGTCTTTCATACAGACCCTGAAACAAATATGTCCAATACAGCCCATGCAAGTCTATAATATTTGCCAGGTCTAGATTACTGCAGTTTCTGAAAATGAAGAAAGTCTGGTCTCCTTTTTATTATAATTTTAAAGTTAATTTGAAAACTTTTTTTCTCTAAAATGTGTTCATTTCTGAGACAAGGTCTAATTCGTCCAGGTAACCAGGGCCTGGAAAATATAAGCAGGGGAAAATACTTATTTGGAAAAATATTCCCAGGAATAACTTTCCACTGGAAATATCCAGTTACATATACGCATGACTGCTACCGGATCAAGAGGTGAAAACATCCCTTAAACTGAAGCAACAACTGACCAGACCATGAACACGCCCCCTAAACTAAAGCATTAACTGACCAGACGAAGAACGCCCCCTAAACTAAAGCATTAACTGATCAATGAACACGCCCCCTAAACTAAAGCATTAACTGACCAGACGATGAACACGCCCCCTAAACTGAAGCTTTAACTGACCAGACGAAGAACACGCCCCCTAAACTAAAGCTTTAACTGACCAGACGAAGAACACGCCCCCTAAACTAAAGCTTTAACTGACCAGACGATGAACACGCCCCCTAAACTAAAGCATTAACTGACCAGACGATGAACGCGCCCCCTAAACTTAAGCTTTAACTGACCAGACGATGAACACGCCCCCTAAACTAAAGCATTAACTGTCCAGACGATGAACACGTCCCCTAAACTAAAGCATTACAACTGACCAGACGATGAACACGCCCCTAAACTAAAGCATTAACTGACCAGACGATGAACACGCCCCCTAAACTAAAGCATTAACTGTCCAGGCGATGAACACGCCCCCTAATCTAAAGCATTACAACTGACCAGACGATGAACACGCCCCCTACACTAAAGCATTAACTGTCCAGACGATGAACACGCCCCCTAAACTAAAGCATTAGCTGTCCAGACGATGAACACGCCCCCTAAACTAAAGCATTAACTGACCAGACGATGAACACGCCCCCTAAACTAAAGCATTAACTGTCCAGACGATGAACACGCCCCCTAAACTAAAGCATTACAACTGTCCAGACGATGAACACGCCCCCTAAACTAAAGCATTATAACTGACCAGACGATGAACACGCCCCCTAAACTAAAGCATTAACTGTCCAGACGATGAACACGCCCCCTTAACTCTAACATCAACTAACCAGGGGATGAATACGCCCCCTTAACTCTAACATCAACTAACCAGGGGATGAACACGCCCCCTAAACTCTGACATCAACTAACCAGGGTATGAACACGCCCCCTTAACTCTAACATCAACTAACCAGGGGATGAACACGCCCCCTAAACTCTGACATCAACTAACCAGGGGATGAATACGCCCTGTTAGAAGTATATCCCATCGTTTCACATTTCTAGTCTTGATGGAGGCCTTAATTTCGCACGTAAACAAGCATTACGTGTTCCTTCTCCCAAAACCAAATCTTTACTCATACATGGATCTCCCTCTGTAGGTTTCCAGCAGTCTCTTCTCTTTAGCAGTTCCGGTAGAAATATTGAATACATAAATCGTATCTATTCTTGTACAAAACACAGAAACAAAATTATATTGCTGATTAAAGAATTCTTTAAATTCTGTCCGATATCAGCGCTCATATACATACAAAAATCTGATCTGTAAACGCTTCGCTTTAACAAGGGAATCTCTCCTGAAACTCTTACATCAACTGCACCTTTAACCCACAGGACCATGTAACTACTATTGATAACACACTCGCAGACGAGGCTGAAGGTCCTGTGTTTAATCACACTCCGTTTTCACACATGCCATACAGAAATTACGCTATAGATTTAATCATCGTAGATGTACGTCTTTTAGCTAACCATCATCAAAGTCCCTTAACATAAAGATCAAAACGATTTACTGAAAAGCAAATCACAAACTAATGAAGTTTCTTTGCGCTGTACCCCTCGATATTTTCTGTAGTGAGTGAGTATATTTCAGTAGAGAGGCCACCGGCCCATTATACAATAGCAGGCGCCAGATAATACAAGTGATATACATAGTGAAACAATTGAATTATTGCATACATTTGAAAAAAAATCGTCGTTTCTTTAAAGCAAGAAAAATATATTTAGCTAATTTATTAATAACATGTTCATTTTGGCAAGACATAAGAGTGCAAAATCTATCAAATGAAGGTTGTGAATGGTAATACTTAGGTATAAGACTATTGCTCAGATCTGAGTAAAATTGACATTCAATGCAAAAATGATACTCAGTTTCAATTACACGGACTACACAAAATGAACATAAGCGTTCATCTCTAGAAAGACCAATTTTTCTACCTTCTTCAAGCATTAGGTTATGGCTAGAACAACGGAAAAAACTAAGAGCAAATTGATATACTCTAACAGGTATTGATGTTAAATGTCTTTCTAATACAATGCATGGTTTAATTTGTGAATACATTGTAAGTTTGGAAATGTTTTTAATTTACTTAACCAAGTTTGCTGATCTATATCTATACATCTTTGCTTAAAACAAACAATAAACTTATTTACATTTGGAACATCTTGATTACACCAGACAGAACCAAAACCATATGATGATAATAATTGTTTTACATGAAAAGCCAAACATTCAATACCTTTATCCGCCAAGGACACTTGATAATCATAAACATGTTTCAAAATAGGATTATCAGGCTGAAATATCAATCTAGTCCAATATTTAATAATTTTCATATATTGGTTTACTTTAAGTGAATAACGACCTATCTGCCCCCTTGCAACAATATTATCTGTAGTGGTATGCACTATTATCACAAATAGTTACCTCCCTTTGAAATGATTGGTTGACAACAAAATAGTTTACATATGGCGACCGAGGCGTTCTGAAAGAACCGTAACGCAGTTACTTCAAAATGTCATCTCAAACAGAAGTGCCGGGGGTAAATAATGCCGTGGAGAAGCTTCAGGAACTTGGTGAGGGAATGATATTTATTTTGGAATGATGCTACTATAGCAGAAAGGTCGTAGAGACTGGTAATTGTAGATCCATGCTTCACAAGAATCTAACGTAGAACTTACAATAATTCCCTGAAATCTAATTGTTGAAAGTAGAATTTTATAGTGCTTGATGATAATTTGATAACCTATCGGCCGTTTTACCTCTAGATATCACAGTATGCTGCATACTATGCATATCGAAGTAGAAGTAGAATACAAAGCTAAATAATATCAGATGTCATGCCCCTTTTTTGGTTTGACTTATTTTCATAAAGCATTAGATTAAAGGAATCGATTTCAATTGCACCCCTCAAAGTATAATAAGAAAGAACCAAATTGGCAATGGTGAAGCAGGATTTGACTCGATCTAGTATTTTGAGGTGTAATATTAAAAAAAATTACTCCCTATTATAAAATTTGATGCATAACATTTGACCTATTTCATTGACTTGTGTCATACAGATTTTACATAAATACCTTCAATTTTTTGTATTCATGGATTTTGCGACAAGTATTAATGATAATAAATAATATTTTTGTTGTTGCAGGAGATCGAATGAGATCAGAACAATTTGGATTTCTTAACAGTGATGTTAGCAATATAGATAAAGTTATTGAAGCACTTCATGAGCTGGTAAGTATCAATTTCAGATATGAATTTAATTTCACTAGTCAGTGTTATTGTACATTGTATAATTTGCTAGATTAGACAAAGTCAAAGATCAGGTATGTGTATATGTTACAGTCAACATGTAAAATCAGGGTGTGTGGGTAGGTAGGGTGGTTGGGTAGGTAGGTAGGTACGTACGTACGTATGTAGCAATTTTCAGATAAAACGTTAGTCATCTTTTTGACATGATTGACTGCATCACCTACAGCGTGAACATCTATGTTTGTTTTTCAGTGTGGAAATTGTCTTTATGTTTATATAATGCAGACATATTTACATCTATATCTGTTATTGAATAAATCTTGAAGGCTGTTGGTATGAAGTATTTAAGCTTTACATGTAGAGGGCTACAACAACAATCATGTTGTTGACTGCATTGTAGGAACAAGAGCGCAAACAGCTTCATGATGAACTGGAGACAGAAACTATCAAAGCCAGTGTTAATCGTCACAAGTTACAATTCCTGCCTGCTGAAATCAAAGAAGAAATTATGGGTGAGTTTGATGTACATGCTTTTGTTATATCTCCGCCTGGCATTGTGATCACTTGTTGACAACTCAGATCAACTCAAACTTCAACAAACACTTCGTATCAGTCAAAGTAGTCTTTACTACAACATCCCCATGTGACAAGTCCACCTCCAATGGCTATCTTCACTTACATCATCAACCACCTCACCACAGTACCTGGAACTTACCAAGTTTAGAATACTGACACTATTAAAATGACTGCTCACGAATCCATGGATGTCGCCATGGTAGGTCATGTGACTTTACTACACTAGCTCCTTACACGCAATACAAACTCCAGGCATCACATACAACTTTGCACATATAACACTTATAGTTAGAAATCTTAGATGAGACTAGGTGATATGATGGGATTATTTCAAAGATAAATAAATGACCTTTGTGATCTTTGTGTGATACGGCCAATATATGCTTTGATATTTTACATGATGGCTGATTGTCATATATATATCAACATGTTTTATGTCTATAATAACTAAACAAAGCCATTATAAGATATATTTTTTATTTGCAGTTGCGGTCAACTCTGCCCGTCAGTCCAATGCGAAAGCCCAACAGGAACTGCAGGACAAGCTGGACAACATCAACACGAACATCGTGTATCAGGGCGAGCGCCAACGGGAGCTGGAGAAGGAAAACTCCATATTGCAGTAGGTTCCCAGCGATGTGTGTCACTACTGTCTGTCGGCATGCATTTCTGCTATTTTATCCTTCACCTTGGAGAATTCATTGAGAGCTCAAGTCTTGTAGTTTTCTAACTAGTATTTACTGTACACAGCAATCTTAACGACACAACTGTCATAGGTTTATGTGTGAGTTTCAGTAGTTTTTACTGAATTGTGAACTTTTTAAACCGATACTATCTCACAATTTGCATTTTTTTCTTTCTGCTTTCGATCCTGTGTGGAAAATTGTCGAACAAAGTTTCCAACTTCTATAAACAATTCACCTGAACACACCCAACATCACCATTGTTACTACCTAAACAAATGGATCATGCACATTCTTCTCGTGCATAGCGACCTACACGACTTGTGCTTACCTATGCCATATCTTTCTCTTTCTAACTGCTCTGGGTGTGACTTTTCCAGTGAGAGAATTTGGTTGGTTTTTTTCTTGCATCCAACAATCTTCCAAGGCATGTAGTGTTGTGTGTATCTGTCTGAAAACATGGATGAACCGGGTCGTGCACTACCGGAAAAATAATCTTTCAGTGTCTATCTACATAAATGTCGCTAAGAAAGTCGGATCGTCTTTCAAAATGTAAGGACCTGGAAAAAACTCCATGGGGTTCTTCCAAGGCAAAGAAAACACCTACTAAGAATGTCAAGAAATTGGTGAAGCAACCTACCCCTTCCATGGTCCTTGAACCTCTTGCATCAACTGTACCAGTACTCTTGGTGGATGACGACAGCGGACTAGACGTCCCATTTCCGGCCTCCCACCTTGGATCTTAACATAATCCTTTGTCACTTTGGTCGATTATGAAACACTGGATGGCAAAGAGTTCAAGTTAATCACTTACAAGACCGTTTTCTTGGCCCTTGCAACTGCTGCACATGTTAGCAAGATTAATGCTTTGAATGTTAACAGAATCTCGTTTGAATGGTCAGAGAACAGGATGGTTTTACAAAGTCGCTGGGATTTCATAGTGAAGAACAGTCGCTTATACCATGGCCTTACATAGCAACTGTTCTCTCTCTGCCATTATGGAAGGCTGTTTTTGGAAGTCAGACACAGTCATCACTTCCCACTATGTCCGTGACATCTCCGTTACAGACGTCCAGGGCCTCCATCAAGTTGGGTCCCATGGTCCTGACACAGCAGCTATCTACTGCAAAACAGTGCAGATACTCGAGGCATACACCCGATCTTGTTCATTGTTCTAAGCCTGATGTATATACAGAATCAAATCTTGGTGTTTTTTTCATTTCTGTGTTATTACTAATTATTTAAGTTTCGGGCTCCATGACGGAGTACCCAGCTGGAGGGGGGACTTGCTCGTGTGTAGAGACTTCTGTCTTCATCTAGGAAGTCTCTGCAAGGAGTAGATATTTTCCACATGTTTTACCTGATCCCATGCTGTCACGTCTGATTCTCGTATCGAGATCGTATCACCATCTTTGGTGTGTTTTCCCCTTTGCGAGTCATTGTTGTTTATGACGGTAGGCAGTTTGTTAAATGTTATATAATTTTTTAATTTGAAGTTTACACGATATACGGCTTTTCCATTGGATGAGAAGTCAGTCACATGACCACGAAATTGACGTTCATAAGTGTATGAACGATACAATTTGACGTTCATACGTTTTTCACAAGACTGTGTTCTTGAAATGACGTAAACACTGACGGACTACTTCCACATTCCTGGGGAAACCCCTGGGAATTCCCTAGCACGAAAACATACATAAGGTTTTCTTTCTGATCTTTTAGAACCTTTAATCTTGGTCTCAGCATGTCAGTATGCATTGAGAAATGTCAGAGAGCTTGACTGCATGATTATTCACGAATATCCTTGCTACGGCCCACATTTAAACTATCGTAGTATAGACTCAATCCGTGTCTAGGCTGACAGTGACTGTCTCCAGCAATCTATGAATTAGTGTAGATAATCTCCGACGTTCATACAGTTTGGCCCTGACTCTGTGAAGGTTCATACTCCAATGAACTCACACAAAATGAAGGTCAATTCTTAAATTTATTTCACTGTTTAGAACCAGCTTCCTTGTGCACATCTCACGGTTGTATAGTATAATACAGGCTTGGGCTATCTGCTCACCACCTTCCAAATGTTGGATAAATGCATGGTATTTTCTAATAATTTTTTTTATTTCTATACTTATCCTATCTCACAGCTATTTGCCCATCCGACCATCCCTGCATCTCAACTCCTGTAGCCTGTTAGCTCTGATGAAAGTGAGTGAGTTGGGTTTAACGCCGCTTTTAACAGTATTCCAGTTATATCGCGGCGTTCTGATGAAAGGGAATGATATGGCAGGGGTAAGCACATGATCAGGTCATGTGAATCGCTATGCACAAGGAGTGTGATCCATTTGTATGGGTAGTGACCATGGTGATGCTGGGTGTGTTCTTAGATGCTGGAAACACAAGCACATATCCACATACCGTATTCGACGCAATAATTGCCCAGGGCGCTCTCAAAATTAGAAATAGGGGGCTCTTATTAGAATATTATTTTGGTGAAAAAAACAGAGTTGAAAGATAAATTTCGTGGTTTATGCTGACAGCCTGAAATGTTTATGTACGACAGATATATTTTCCAGAATTTAATTGCCAATAATTAAGGGTGCATATAACAGACGAGTGCTTATTATTCGCGAAAAAATAAGTCTTGTGTACATTGATCAATCGGAAGGGGTGCCATTTGGGATTGTTCACTAGCCAATATATTAGCAAATATCGCCGTGGGCGCTTATTAGAGCGGGGCGCTTATTACGTCGAATACGGTAGGTTTGAAAGAAGAAATGCACAGTGTGAGATAGGATAGGTATAAAAGTTAACAATTTTTTGGAAAATTTCCATTTTTTTCCGGCTGTTTGTACTTCAGGCTTGCCAGAAACCCATGATCGTGGTTTAGAATCCCAAGTCCCCCTGATCATGCCACCTGTGCTCATGGGTTTCACCAAAGGCTAAGACCTGCATTACTTCGGGCACACGAAACAGACACACCGTGATATAACTGAAATACTGTTCATGGTGGTATTAATCCCAACCCGCTGACTGACTCAATCACTTCCCCGCTGATGGAACAGAAATGACTATGATAAAGTGCCAACAACTGAGACTGTGTTATCTTGTGATTGTTTATGTCATGTGTCAGTTGTGTTTTCCAGCCCCGAGAGAGAGTTGGTTCGTCAGCAGCATGAGGAAATCATCTCACAGCTGAACCAGAGGATGGCAGAGAAAGCCAGGTGAGACCCAAGTCAAACAGACACCTCCGGTCACTCAGACACCTCTGGTCACTCAGCCACATCTTGTCATTTAGTGCCAATCATATCTTCAAATATAACTTTGAAAACCAAGGATTTATTTATTTCAGAATTTTGGAATGATTTTGGGGGCATGGTTACAGTGTAACATGGATAACTCTTTAATTACTTGTGTCAGATCACTTTTATGTTTCCTTCAGTTGTCAACAGTTTAATGTATCCGCGTGACACGAGCTTTGCCATTTGGAGACGGTGATCGAAATGCCAACTTTGTGATGTCAGGCTATGTCTAGGTTGTAGAGGGAAGTTAATCTTACATCATGTCATACATCATGAAATCATGCATCTAATGCATTTAACTTTCAGCATGCAGATTGCTTTGAATGAGACCAGAGACAAAGTTCGCCAGGCCAATCAGAATGTATGTATTTGGGTGACGATTGTATACATACTGTTGATGATCATAATTACGAAACTCTAGAATGCTCTTGAAAATGTTATAAGACTAAAGTTGTGTGAAATCATCACTCAGTTTGTAGACTAAACATGTGTACTGCCCTTTATCAGAGGTTATTTCCTACAAGGACATGGTTGTCCTAGGAGGACCTACACTTCATGGTGTTACTGAGTGTAAGTGTTTTGTACATGAAGGTTTGTAATTAGTTCTGTGCTGACCCGGTCCTCTGTGTAGATCGTGGACCTGGAGGACGGGATCCTGCAGCTGAAGGAGGACCTGATCCAGGAGAGGACGGAGGCCAGACACGAGAAGAAGAGACTGAAGAGAGCCGTGGTGAGTTGGCGGGACAGCGTACCTGTGACAGGTGGATGTGACAGGTTGATGTGACAGGTGGATGTGACAGGTTGATGTAGCATGTGGATGTGACCGTTGGATGTAATAGGTGGGTTTGACAGGTGTATGTGACAAGTGGATGTGACAGATGGATGTGACCAGTGGATGTGACAGATGCATGTGACAGGTGGATGTGATAGGTGGTCGTGACAAGTGGGTGTGACAGGTAGATGGGATAGGTGGATGTGACAGGTAGATGTGACAGGTAGATGTGACATGTGGATGTGACAGGTAGATGTGACATGTGGATGTGACAGGTGGATGTGACATGTAGATGTGACAGGTGGGTGTGACAGGTGGGTGTGACAGGTGGATGGTGTGACAGGGAGGTGTGACAGGTGGATGGTGTGACAGGGAGATGTGACAGGTGGATGTGACAGGTGGATGTGACAGGGAGATGTGACAGGTGGGTGTGACAGGTGGATGATGTGACAGATGGATGATGTAACAGGGAGGTGTGACAGGTGGATGGTGTGACAGGGAGATGTGACAGGTGGATGTGACAGGTGGATGTGACAGGTGGGTGTGACAGATGGATGATTTGACAGATGGATGATGTGACAGGGAGGTGTGACAGGTGGATAATGTGACAGGGAGATGTGACAGGTGGATGTGACAGGTGGGTGTGACAGGTGGATGATGTGACAGATGGATGATGTGACAGGGAGGTGTGACAGCTGGATAATGTGACAGGGAGATAAATGAAGTACAACTAACTCCACATGGGTACAGATAGAAGCACAACTATTTGAAAATGGGATGTCAAAGGTGATAACCCCGATGCTTGTGGTCCTGTGTGGGTTGTGCCCAAGACTGAGGTTTGTGTCTGTTCCAGGCTGACACAACAGAGAAGACCAGGGACCAGCGAGAACACAACATGGGCAAAAAGAAGTGAGTGATCCGATAAAAACACCACAGGAGCAATACACAGACCTTACATATCAGAGGGACGAGATATTCACTTCATGAGAACAAATACACATATAATATGTAAATTGACAATTGAGATGCCAGTTGTTGCCTGGGATGTAAGTAGGATGTAGATGTCTACTGCATCAGTCCCCACACAGGCCTGCACGTGTAGGCAACATCAGTGGGCTGGCTGTCAGTGCCAGCTTCCTCCGCCGTGTGCTGTACTGTCCCTGTGTGTTTCAGAGAACTGGACGTGTACCATGAGCTGCTGTTTGACAGTGAGGGGAAGCTGGACGCACTCAGGAAGGTGACGACCTCACACAGCCAGCTTGGCCAAATTAGTCGTGTTTATTTTTTAAAAGATTACCGTATTCGACGTAATAAGCGTCCAGGGCGCTCTCAAAATTAGAAATAGGGGGCTCTGATAAGAATATTATTTTGGTGGAAAAAAACAGAGTAGAAAGATAAATTTCATGGTTATGCTGACAGCCTGAAATGTTTATGTACGACAGATATATTTTTCCAGAATTTTATTGCCCATATTTAAGGGTGCATATAGCACACGAGTGCGTATTATACGCAAATAAATTAGTCTTGTGTACATTGATCAATCAGAAGGGGTGCTAATTGGGATTGTTCACCAACCAATATATCAGCAAATGTCACCGTGGGTGCTTATTAGAGCGGGGCCCTTATTACGTCGAATACGGTAATTATATATCTGTAAGCACTAGTGTTACATTTGATTTATGTAAAGTAGGTGAACGGGTATTCTGACAATGTTTATGAGTCTAAAACTTAAGTTCTTTTGGACTTAGGATTATGAGTTGATTTGGTTTCACTGTGTAGAGAAATAGGTCATTGTATTTTTGAGAATTCTGTAAGTTCAACACAAAAACTCAGCAATATTTCAGCTATTTGATGGCAGCTTGTAAACAATCGAATCTTGACCAAGTGATTTAAACAGTATTTTATTTCCATTAATGTTCAGATTGTACATTAAATAGCATTACAAAATGGAAAAAGGATAAGCAAACAGGCCAAAAAGGCCTATATTAATGCTTCTCCTAATATTGTACATTATACATGTAGATTGTAATGAAGTCTATAGAGCAGACATTAAGGAATAACACAACATGAAATAAAATGGAAAGCAAGATACCAAATGCATTTTATATTCTTAAGTTGACACAAAACTTACCTAAAACGGTTTGTTTCAATGATGTAATTGTGAACTGATTTTATAATGTATTCATTGTCTGAGGAAGATGAATCTTCATTGCCGTGGAGTATAGTATGTATGCTGAGCTGGTTAACAAAAAAGTATTTATCAATTCTAAACTTGGCATAGCGTGGACAAGATAGAAAAAAGTGGAAAGCATCTTCTCTATTTAGGCCACATGGACAGATGGGATTATCAATCAGAAATCTATCAAATAAATGTGATTTTAAATCACTACAACCTAGCCTAAGTCTAGATAAAATCACCTGACATTGCCGCTGGCCATAACTAGCAAACGATGTAAAATTTGCAGTAAGCTTATATTCTCTAGAAATTAATTGCTTAAACCGAGATAAGGAATCTACATTTCTAATATTAATATCAAGTGCATTCCAAGCTTGTATAACAGATGGCAAAAAAGATCGATTATACTGGGATAAGCGTCCTGCACTGGTCTGGAAGTCATTAGAAGTACGAAGGTTATATCCAGTTATGCTGGATATAATAGGTGGGACCCATAAAGATAGATATTTAGGAGTTAGCCCATTGACCATTTTGTAAAATATACATAATTTATGGTAATGTCGTCTGTCGGACAGTGAGCATAAACCCGTTTCCCCATAAAGTTTTTTGTGACTGGTTCCTCGTACTACTCCACATATGGTTCGTAGAGCATCCAAGTGTAATTTTTCTAATCTTGACCAAGTCATTTGTATTTTGATAATTCAGTATGTTTGTTTGTTTGTTGTTTAACGCCACATTCAGCAATATTACAGCTATATGATGGCAGTCAGTAAAAAATGGAGACTAGACCAGACTATCCAGTGATCATACTGTGTGATACGATGACAAGCCATCAACTAAATCACCAATCCTGACCACCTGATCCATTTGGTCGCCTCCTACAACCAGTATAGGTTGCTGCGGACCCATTCTAACCCAGACTCCCCACGGGGATAAGTCAGAAGTAATACTATGAAATCATTAGATTTGAAGGAAGGTTTCCCTGCAACTGTTGTGGCCTGCTGCAGAGTATTCGTCGGTTTGAGACGACCAAGTCCCGCCTGGAGGAGGAGGAGAACAACCTCAGCACCCGACTGTCCAAGCAGATGAAGACAAACAAGGCGCTGCAGGCCAAGGGGTAGGAATGATTCACTCTCTCACCATCCCCTACTGCAGACACTCCAAGCTGGAACTCTGTACTTAAAGGAGCACCTCCATGGTCTAGTGGTAGAGTGTCCACCCGGACAGGGGAAGGTCAGGGTTCAAAGATGGTACTTGTTGTTACCCTGTCTGGCGCTCAGCATTAAGGGGCCACAACAAGGACTGGGCGGCTTGGAGTCAGTATACTCTGTCTGAGTGGCGTAGTCATGTTAAACTGCAGCATGGTATCTCAGTGGGCTAGCACTCCAAAATCGGCATCAGTCTGATTAGTACAAGCAGCCACACACACACACGTGCATGCATGTTGCTATATAAGTGCAATAATCTTGAACACAACATTAAACCGCATTTCATCTCACCTCACCTTAAAGATCCTTCAGGTCTTTCATAGGCATTTAGAAGTTGAATCCATGAATATGATAACACTATTGTTTATGGATAACTTTAGTCTTTGTAACGAGGTTTCAGGGCTGCTTCCTGCCCCTTTATCAGGTGAATGTAGAGTGAGCTTATTGAGTTAATATAGATACAAGCTGTTTACACCAGGTAGGATTATGTACAAACATAAAGCCAATGGTATTGAGGAGAGAGAAGCCAGTTAATTGTAATGATTGTATAGTGATGGGGCTGGTGTAGTGATGGGGCTGGTGCGATAACACGGAACTAGCGTAACTTTCTCTGTTAATGTTGTGTTTCTATATTTGGATTTCAATACATGTAGTTCCTGAAGCTTCTTGTTATCCAGAGAAAAGTGTCCTGTATTAAAGATCCTTAAACTAACCCTACAGTGAACTGAAACAGTTCCATTATAACCCTGAAATTCATGTGGACGATCTCTTTATTATGTAATGGAGGGCAACTAATTAACGTTCTTCCCGAGCCATGTGTTGTAGTCCCGGCACAGATTCAGCCCAGACACCTCGGAGATGTATGTGTTGTAGTCCCGGGAAATGGCCTGGTACAGATTCAGCCCAGACACCTCGGGGATGTATGTGTTGAAGTCCCAGTAATGGCCCGGTACAGATTCAGACCAGACACCTCGGGGATGTATTGTTGTAGTCCCGGGTAATGGCCCGGTACAGATTCAGCCCAGACACCTCGGGGATGTATGTGTTGAAGTCCCAGTAATGGCCCGGTACAGATTCAGACCAGACACCTCGGGGATGTATTGTTGTAGTCCCGGGTAATGGCCCGGTACAGATTCAGCCCAGACACCTCGGGGATGTATGTGTTGTAGTCCCGGGTAATGGCCCAGTACAGATTCAGCCCAGACACCTCAGGGATGTATGTGTTATAGTCCCGGGTAATGGCCCGGTACAGATTCAGCCCAGACACCTTGGGGATGTATGTGTTATAGTCCCGGGTAATGGCCCGGTACAGATTCAGCCCACACACCTCGGGGATGTATGTGTTATAGTCCCGGGTAATGGCCCGGTACAGATTCAGCCCAGACACCTCGGGGATGTATGTGTTATAGTCCCGGGTAATGGCCCGGTACAGATTCAGCCCACACACCTCGGGGATGTATGTGTTATAGTCCCGGGTAATGGCCCGGTACAGATTCAGCCCAGACACCTCGGGGATGTATGTGTTATAGTCCCGGGTAATGGCCCGGTACAGATTCAGCCCAGACACCTCGGGGATGTATGTGTTATAGTCCCGGGTAATGGCCCGGTACAGATTCAGCCCACACACCTCGGGGATGTATGTGTTATAGTCCCGGGTAATGGCCCGGTACAGATTCAGCCCAGACACCTCGGGGATGTATGTGTTATAGTCCCGGGTAATGGCCCGGTACAGATTCAGCCCAGACACCTCGGGGATGTATGTGTTGTAGTCCCGGGTAATGGCCCGGTACAGATTCAGCCCAGACACCTTGGGGATGTATGTGTTATAGTCCCGGGTAGTGGCCTGGTACAGATTCAGCCCAGACACCTCGGGGATGTATGTGTTGACACTTGTGTGAAGGACAGCAGGAGAGATAGAGACTTGTGAGTAAGGTGGAAGAGATGTCCTTGTTGTGATGTTGGTGTTGATGTTTTCCAGGGAGAAGATTGTTAAGGACAGTGAGGAGGAGCAGAAGGGGTTTGCTGAAGATGAGAAGAAACTAGCGAGCAAGATAGAGCAGGTTTGTAGGAAGCTGGTTGATTAAGCTGTGTAAGTCTGTGCCATGAAGGGCACCAAGCAGCCACACGCTGTGGTGTTCAAACCATCACATGATGTTGTTGAAATAATCCATGAGATTTTTATGTGTCCCACTTATTGTCACATCTTGTTGATTTGTGTGAAACTGCTTGTTTCCAGTTTGACGGAGAGGTTGGGGAAGAAGCAGAGAGACTGAAGGAGCTGGAGATGGAGAAGATGGACCTACAAGCTAGTGAGTAGCAGCACCTGTACGTGGGACCATCTCCTCCTGGACGTCTCCTCCAAACACTCCTCCTCTAAACAGGCCTCCCCCAAACACTCCTCCTCGAAACACTCCTCCATCAAACACTCCTCCTCTAAACATACCTCCTCCAAACACGCCTTCCCCAAACACTCCTCCACCAAACACTCCTCCTCCAAACACGCCTTCCCCAAACACGCCTTCCCCAAACACTCCTCCCCCAAACACTCCTCCTCCAGTACTCCTCCATACACTCCTCCAAACACTTTCCTCCAAACACTCGTACAAACACCCCTCCTACAAACATGCCTCCTACAAACTCTCCTCCTACAAACGCTCCTCCTACAAAAACCCTCCTACAAACATGCCTCCTACAAACACTCCTCCTACAAACACCCCTCCTACAAACACTCCTCCTACAAACACCCCTCCTACAAACGCTCCTCCTACAAACACCCCTCCTACAAACACTCCTCCTACAAACACTCCTCCTACAAACACTCCTCCTACAAACATGCCTCCTACAAACGCTCCTCCTACAAACGCTCCTCCTACAAAAACTCCTCCTACAAACACTCCTCCTACAAACGCTCCTCCTACAAACACTCCTCCTACAAACACTCCTCCTACAAACACCCCTCCTACAAACACTCCTCCTACAAACACTGCTCCTCCAAACACGCCTCCCCCAAACACTCCTCCTCAATACACTCCTCCTCCAAACACTCCTCCTCCAAACGCTCCTCCTACAAACACCCCTCCTACAAACACTCCTCCTACAAACACTCCTCCTACAAACACTCCTCCTACAAACATGCCTCCTACAAACACTCCTCCTACAAACGCTCCTCCTATAAAAACTCCTCCTACAAACACTCCTCCTCCAAACAGCCCTCCTACAAACACTCCTCCTACAAACACTCCTCCTACAAACACTGCTCCTCCAAATACGCCTCCCCCAAACACTCCTCCTCAATACACTTCTCCTCCAAACACTCCTCCTCCAAACACTCCTCCTACAAACGCTCCTCCTACAAACACTCCTCCTACAAACACTCCTCCTACAAACGCTCCTCCTAGAAACATGCCTGCTACAAACACTCCTCCTACAAACGCTCCTCCTACAAAAACTCCTCCTACAAATGCGCCTCCTTCAAACATGCCTCCTACAAACACTCCTCCTACAAACGCTCCTCTTACAAAAACTCCTACAAACACTCCTCCTACAAACGCTCCTCCTACAAACACTCCTCCTACAAACACTCCTCCAACAAACACCCCTCCTACAAATGCTCCTCCTACAAACATGCCTCCTACAAACACTGCTCCTACAAACGCTCCTTCTACAAACACTCCTCCTGCAAACACTCCTTCTACAAACACCCCTCCTACAAACACTCCTCCTACAAACGCTCCTGCTACAAACACTGCTCCTCCAAACACGCCTCCCTCAAACACTCCTCCTCAATACACTCCTCCTCCAAACACTCCTCCTCCAAACACTCCTCCTACAAACACTGCTCCTCCAAATACGCCTCCCCCAAACACTCCTCCTCAATACACTTCTCCTCCAAACACTCCTCCTCCAAACACTCCTCCTACAAACGCTCCTCCTACAAACACTGCTCCTACAAACACTCCTCCTACAAACGCTCCTCCTAGAAACATGCCTCCTACAAACACTCCTCCTACAAACGCTCCTCCTACAAAAACTCCTCCTACAAATGCGCCTCCTTCAAACATGCCTCCTACAAACACTCCTCCTACAAACGCTCCTCTTACAAAAACTCCTACAAACACTCCTCCTACAAATGCTCCTCCTACAAACACTCCTCCTACAAACACTCCTCCAACAAACACCCCTCCTACAAATGCTCCTCCTACAAACATGCCTCCTACAAACACTGCTCCTACAAACGCTCCTTCTACAAACACTCCTCCTGCAAACACTGCTCCTACAAACACCCCTCCTACAAACACTCCTCCTACAAACGCTCCTGCTACAAACACTGCTCCTCCAAACACGCCTCCCTCAAACACTCCTCCTCAATACACTCCTCCTCCAAACACTCCTCCTCCAAACACTCCTCCTACAAACGCTCCTCCTACAAACACTCCTCCTACAAACACTCCTCCTACAAACACTCCTCCTACAAACGCTCCTCCTACAAACATGCCTCCTACAAACACTCCTCCTACAAACACTCCTCCTACAAAAACTCCTCCTACAAACACCCCTCCTACAAACACTCCTCCTACAAACGCTCCTCCTACAAACACTCCTCCTACAAACGCTCCTTCTACAAACATGCCTCCTACAAACACTCCTCCTACAAACGCTCCTCCTACAAAAACTCCTACAAACACCCCTCCTACAAACACTCCTCCTACAAATGCTCCTCCTACAAACACTCCTCCTACAAACACCCCTCCTACAAACACTCCTCCTACAAACACTGCTCCTACAAACACTCCTCCTACAAACACTCCTCCTACAAACACCCCTCCTACAAACACTCCTCCTACGAACACTCCTCCTACAAACACTCCTCCTACAAACACACCTACAAACACTCCTCCTACAAACGCTCCTCCTACAAACTCTCCTCCTACAAACACTCCTCCTACAAACGCTCCTCCTACAAACTCTCCTCCTACAAACACTCCTCCTACAAACACCCCCGTCTGTGATATATTCATGTGTATATCACATTAGAACATTAGCAGGTGCCCCTGTCTGTGATATGTTCATGTGTATATCACATTAGAACATTAGCAGGTGCCACTATTTAGGATTTCTTCATGAATACATCTGTTTAGTTTGGAGTATTTCTCATTGCCAGACCTGAGGGAGAAACAAGCAAAGGGGAAAGCAGACGCAGCCCGGGTTGGAGAACTGGATATACTGTGAGTAGTGTGTATTAGGTTGATATTGTCTGAGTAGTGTGTATTGGGTGGACACAATCTGAGAAGTGTGTATTGGTTGGACATACTGTGAGTAGTGTTTATCAGGTGGACATACGGTGAGTAGTGTGTATTAGGTGGACATACTGTGAGTAATGTGTATTAGGTGGACATACTGTGAGTAGTGTGTATAAGGTGGACATACAGTGAGTAGTGTGTATTAGGTGGACATAGTGTGAGTAGTGTGTATTAGGTGATATACTGTGAGTAGTGTGTATAAGTGGACAAAGTGTGAGTAGTGTGTATTCAGTGATATACTGTAATTATCCCGCGATATGCCAAGGAGAGGCACGAGCCACCGAGCCATCGAGCCGTGGATGCCCGTGCCTATAATAAAAACACAAGATGAGATTGGGTTAAATGGCCGAGGGTGTGCAGGTACTAGTGGGCTACTAAGCTGCTAGTTGTGTATACCAAAATGCTACTGTTGCCATGGCCACTGCATGTCCAACGGCGATTTGCAGCTAGCGCTGCTGGCCTGAGACTGCTACCGCTGTCCGGCCCCCACGGTAGCATATTTAAACGCTACCATTGCTTGGCAACTACCACGCTGCCAAAAGCAGCTACCGCTGCTGGCCTAAGTCAGACTACCGCTGCCCGGCCCCAGGTAGCCGACCAAAGCAGATCCCACTGCCTTGCCCCATTAGCAAAACCATTGTGCGACTACCACCGCGGACCCAACTGTCAGCTACCGCTTTACAAGAAGACTTCCGCCGCCGGGCCCATATACGTGGCAATTGTTTGCCCCAACGTATGTTATTTTACGATTCCCCAGCTGAAAAGTCGGGAAAGACAAGGTTCCCACTGAGAAGCAGGAAACCCCGGAAAGGTTCCCGCTGAAAAGCAGGTAGCCTTAAGCACGAGTATTAATTTGGAAGCAAGTTAATTTGTTACTAGCAGTGTAGCCCACAAGAACCCCACCACAAAGCACCAGAGTGCTACCCCACACCCACGGCCACGCGATATGCGGAGATAGCATTGTTGCCCAGCTTGCCTATGTACTGAAAAGAAACACTAACCTGTGGAGATAATATCCTTACTGGCGCAAAACAAGCGCCAGGAAAGCGATTAGATAGAGCAAAACACGTGTGTACTTGAAGAGAGACTATGGATGGACTATAACAAAGGCGGGATGATGCTTGCGCGGGATTATTCCCCGGGCACGGTGCAGGGTGGTGACCCGGGGGTGATTGAGTTACAAGGGGTGATTGGGTTACGGGCGTAATTAGCCAATGGTTTGGATACCCGCGATAAAGTCATTTAGCAGTTAGTACTAAATGTAAGTATTGTGTATTAGGTGATATACTGTGATTATTGTGTATTAGGTGGACATACTGTAAGTTTTGTGTATTAGGTGATATACTGTGAGTAGTGTGTATTCGGTGATATACTGTGAGTAGTGTGTATTAGGTGATATACTGTGACTAGTGTGTATTAGGTGATATACTGTGAGTATTGTGTATTAGGTGATATACTGTGAGTAGTGTGTATTAGGTGGACAAACTGTGAGTATTGTGTATTAGGTGATATACTGTGAGTAGTTTGTATTAGGTGATATACTGTGAGTAGTGTGTATTGGGTGATATACTGTGAGAAGTGTGTTTTGAGTGATATACTGTGAGTATTGTGTATTAGGTGGTATACTGTGAGTATTGTGTATTCGGTGATATACTGTGAGTAGTGTGTATTGAGTGATATACTGTGGGTATTGTGTATTAGGTGATATACTGTGAGAAGTGTGTATTGAGTAATATACTGTGAGTATTGTGTATTAGGTGGTATACTGTGAGTATTGTGTATTCGGTGATATACTGTGAGAAGTGTGTATTGAGTGATATACTGTGAGTATTGTGTATTAGGTGATATACTGTGAGAAGTGTGTATTGAGTGATATACTGTGAGTATTGTGTATTAGGTGGTATACTGTGAGTATTGTGTATTAGGGGATATACTGTGAGTATTGTGTATTGGGTGAAATACTGTGAGAAGTGTGTATTACGTGATATACTGTGAGTAGTTGTAGTTTGTATGGTAGAAAATCCATTATCAAAATACTTACAGTTTTATGTTTCAATTTGTTTGAAGATTACAGACAGCAAAGCAAAACTTGGCCCTGAAAGCTGAGGAGGTCGGTCGCATGCAGGCGGAGAACATAGACATGACCGAGGAGATGGAGACACTGGGAGAATCTCACAAGTACGTCCTACCAGCAGGGCTAGATGGGCGGAGTGTCCCCACCCCCATTTAGAAACATACAAACAAGTCATTTGTAGATTTCAACTAACATAATATGTTGTATGCACCCCTCCTTTTTCAAATAACTATATCGGAACTTGTACGTGGCCCAATATCTACCTCTATGTTGTAGCCATGGGTCATTGTGAACAGATGCTAAATCCCTAAAATCTCTGTGTAGTCGGGGTCAGTCATCGTTAACTGCTCCACTGAAACAAACATGATATACACTGTTTCCAGTGTGGGCTAATTAATGACAAAACTAACAATCAGGCAAGTGTTACCACGGAGTGTCTTTCTGCTTATCACAATATGCTGCACATGATTTCCAAGCTTCACACGTTAATCCTGCACAAGACAAACGGTGCATCTCGAGTCCTGGATCTATGACATCACATGTGATGTGTTCATAACTGTCGGTTCACACAACATACCAGTATGTTCGTTTGTGTATCGAACCAATCTGGTATCTCTTGAATATTAGTAATTCTTCATATCTTAACCAACAAATATGGTATTTGCATTTCTTTTGGTGGTGAGTATTCAATTTGTTCAGTAGGCAATTCCAGTGGTGTATGGATTGAACCGTCCCATTTAAGTTGGCCCGTAGTTGTCCACGGAGCAGCAAGTTGTAGGTAGTGACTGTACTGTGTTGTGTGACAGGGCCGTGGTGGCGCAGCTCAGCAAGCAGCTCGAGGAGTTCAGGGAGATGCTCAACAACGAGAAGAAGGACAGGTAACTGTTCACTGGGTGGGATGGGGTGGGTGTGGTGGTGGGGTGGGGTGCGTGTGGATGTGGTGTTGGATGGGGTGGGTGGTGGGGTGGGATGGGTGTGGATGTGGTGTTGGATGGGGTGGGTGGTGGGGTGGGATGGAGTTGGATGGGTGGTGGGTGTAGTTGATGTAGCTGTGTGGATGATGATGGTGTTGACATATGTGTTGATGTAGCTGTGTGGATGATGATGGTGTTCACATGTGTGTTGATGTAGTTGTGTGGATAATGATAGTGTTGACATGTGTGTTGATGTAGTTGTGTGGATGATGATAGTGTTCACATGTGTGTTGATGTAGTTGTGTGGATGATGATGGTGTTGACATGTGTGTTGATGTAGTTGTGTGGATGATGATGGTGTTGACATGTGTGTTGATGTAGTTGTGTGGATGATGATGGTGTTGACATGTGTGTTGATGTAGTTGTGTGGATGATGATTGTGACATGTGTGTTGATGTAGTTGTGTGGATGATGATGGTGTTGACATGCATGTTGATGTAGTTGTGTGTATGATGATGGTGTTCACATGTGTGTTGATGTAGTTGTGTGGATGATGATGGTGTTGACATGCATGTTGATGTAGTTGTGTGGATGATGATGGTGTTGACATGTGTGTTGATGTAGTTGTGTGGATGATGATGGTGTTGACATGCATGTTGATGTAGCTGTGTGGATGATAGTGTTGACATGTGTGTTGATGTAGTTGTGTTGATGATGATGGTGTTGACATGCATGTTGATGTAGTTGTGTGTATGATGATGGTGTTGACATGTGTGTTGATGTAGTTGTGTGGATGATGATGGTGTTGACATGTGTGTTGATGTAGCTGTGTGGATGATGATGGTGTTCACATGTGTGTTGATGTAGTTGTGTTGATGATGATGGTGTTGACATGCATGTTGATGTAGTTGTGTGGATGATGATGGTGTTGATATGTGTGTTGATGTAGTTGTGTGGATGATGTAGTTGTGTGGATGATGATGGTGTTGACATGTGTGTTGATGTAGTTGTGTGGATGATGATGGTGTTCACATGCATGTTGATGTAGCTGTGTGGATGATGATGGTGTTGACATGCATGTTGATGTAGCTGTGTGGATGATGATGGTGTTGACATGTGTGTTGATGTAGTTGTGTGGATGATGTAGTTGTGTGGATGATGATGGTGTTGACATGTGTGTTGATGTAGTTGTGTGGATGATGATGGTGTTCACATGTGTGTTGATGTAGCTGTGTGGATGATGATGGTGTTGACATGCATGTTGATGTAGCTGTAGGAAGATAGTTTGACTCCATGTGCTGGTATGGAACTACACAATGAGAACACCTGATCCCGATCGTGTCCTCAGGTTGAACATGCAGGGCCAGAAGGACAATGTACAGAAGGACCTGGAAGACTTCAAGACAGAACAGCAGCGATTCATGCAGTCTGTCAACCAGAAGATCCAGGAGGGCAAGACCAAACATGTGGCGCTTGCTAACGAGGTAAGCTGTGGCACCAGACAGAGGAACTGTCAATGAATTCCGACGTACTTAATGACAGATTGATGTGTACTTCGCTATGATGTTCAGACACACTGTGTTGTTGTTCGACGCCTCACTCAGTTATATTCCAGACATATGACAATAATGTCAATAATCAAGTCTAGACCAGACAACCCAGGGATTGATTTTGTGAACAGTGATCCACACCATTGGGTACGATGACATACCATCAACAAAGTCACCAAGTCTGACCACCCATCCATTTGGTTGTTTCTTCCAACCAACAAAGGATGCTGGGGTCCTGTTCTCATCCAGTATCCCCACGGGGAGTTCAGACAAGGAGGTGGTGTGTCACGTTGTGTTGAACTTTCATATTCTGTGTTGGTTACAGGGTGCCCAGATTCAGAAGGACATACGGAAAGATGAGGAGGAGATTCACAAAATGCAAGCGGAACTGGGCACGCTGGAAGCGAAGTATAAAGACATGTTCTCAGCCATGCATGCAAAGAAAACAACAATGGAGGTAAGGTCAAGGCCAGGTCAGATAGGGCCAACATTTTTGCACATCTTCTCAAAAACATGTCAGCAATCATGTCCTGATGACAGAAATACATCATACGATTATAGTTTTTATAGTTTATTATACAAACATGTTGGTTTCATCTTTTATACTATAAAGAAAAATATGTAACATACTTGCAGTTTGATCAGTAGATCAGTGTAGCAGCCAGCACTGGATGGGAGTTGTCCTCATTCATTATCATTTATAGGTCACGTGTATCATACATGACAAAAAGTGTTCTTGTGACAAACTTGAGTCAGGTCATTTATGTCTTGAATTCTCTACCCGCAACCTCACGTCAGCCATTTTGAATACAGAATGTAGATCAACATTAGTTTGAATTAGTGTTAGATGGCGGCTAGAATTTGCTTAGTTATTTTAAAATTATAGATGACTGTGGTATATACACAAATCATGTATAATATTAACAGAATGTGAGCTTTGGAGTTTTGATACACTTCATACAACTAGTAGTCCCTGTAGGCTGAAGGTGATGTAGTCCCCAGTAAGCATGAAAGTGATATAGTCCCCACTAGGCTGAAGGTGATGTAGTCCCCTGTAGGCTGAAGGTGATGTAGTCCCCTGTAGGCTGAAGGTGATGTAGTCCCCACTAGGCTGAAGGTGATTTAGTCCCCTGTTGGCTGAAGGTGATGTAGTCCCCAGTAACCATGAAGGTGATGTAGTCCCCAGTAGGCTGAAGGTGATGTAGTCCCCTGTAGACTGAAGGTGATTTAGTCCCCACTAGGCTGAAGGTGATGTAGTCCCCTGTTGGCTGAAGGTGATGTAGTCCCCAGTAGGCTAAAGGTGATTTAATCCCCAGTAGGCTGAAGGTGATGTAGTCCCCTGTAGGCTGAAGGTGATTTAGTCCCCAGTAGGCTGAAGGTGATGTAGTCCCCTGTTGGCTGAAGGTGATGTAGTCCCCAGTAGGCTGAAGGTGATTTAATCCCCAGTAGGCTGAAGGTGATGTAGTCCCCTGTAGGCTGAAGGTGATGTAGTCCCCTGTAGGCTGAAGGTGATGTAGTCCCCAGTAGGCTGAAGGTGATGTAGTCCCCTGTTGGCTGAAGGTGATGTAGTCCCCAGTAACCATGAAGGTGATGTAGTCCCCAGTAGGCTGAAGGTGATGTAGTCCCCTGTAGGCAGAAGGTGATGTAGTCCCCTGTAGGCTGAAGGTGATGTAGTCCCCACTAGGCTGAAGGTGATGTAGTCCCCTGTTGGCTGAAGGTAAAGTAGTCCCCGGTAGGCTGAAGGTGATGTAGTCCCCAGTAGGCTGAAGGTGATGTAGTCCCCACTAGGCAGAAGGTGATGTAGTCCCCTGTAGGCTGAAGGTGATGTAGTCCCCTGTAGACTGAAGGTGATTTAGTCCCCTGTAGGCTGAAGGTGATGTAGTCCCCAGTAGGATGAAGGTGATGTAGTCCCCAGTAGGCAGAAGGTGATGTAGTCCCCTGTAGGCTGAAGATGATGTAGTCCCCTGTAGGCTGAAGGTGATTTCGTCCCCTGTAGGCCGAAGGTGATGTAGTCCCCTGTTGGCTGAAGGTAAAGTAGTCCCCTGTAGGCTGAAGTCGATGTAGCCCCCTGTAGGCTGAAGGTGATGCAGTCCCCTGTAGGCCGAAGGTGATGTAGTCCCCTGTTGGCTGAAGGTAAAGTAGTCCCCTGTAGGCTGAAGGTGATGTAGTCCCCAGTAGGCTGAAGGTGATGTAGTGATACACATACGTAGTGTTCTCAGGATAAAACAACTGCTGAAGTCAGGGATGCATCGACACAGGTAAGTCAGACTTTGTACATGTGGGTGTATACAACTTCAGCTATGTGTGTCATCAGTGTGTCGGGTATATTTCATGTAGGTGGGTGTATACAACTTCAGCTATGTGTGTCATCAGGGTGTGGGGTATATTTCATGTAGGTGGGTGTATACAACTTCAGCTATGTGTGTCATCAGGGTGTCGGGTATATTTCTTGTGGGTTGGTGTATACAACTTCAGCTATGTGTGTCATCAGTGTGTCTGGTATATTTCATGTGGGTGGGTGTATACATCTTCAGCTATGTGTGTCATCAGGGTGTCGGGTATATTTCATGTAGGTGGGTGTATACAACTTCAGCTATGTGTGTCATCAGGGTGTGGGGTATATTTCATGTGGGTGGGTGTATACAACTTCAGCTATGTGTGTCATCAGTGTGTCGGGTATATTTCATGTAGGTGGGTGTATACAACTTCAGCTATGTGTGTCATCAGGGTGTGGGGTATATTTCATGTGGGTGGGTGTATACAACTTCAGCTATGTGTGTCATCAGGGTGTGGGGTATATTTCATGTAGGTGGGTGTATACAACTTCAGCTATGTGTGTCATCAGTGTGTCGGGTATATTTCATGTAGGTGTGTGTATACAACTTCAGCTATGTGTGTCATCAGGGTGTCAGGTATATTTCATATGGGTGGGTGTATACAACTTCAGCTATGTGTGTCATCAGGGTGTGGGGTATATTTCATGTAGGTGGGTGTATACAACTTCAGCTATGTGTGTCATCAGGGTGTGGGGTATATTTCATGTGGGTGGGTGTATACATCTTCAGCTATGTGTGTCATCAGGGTGTGGGGTATATTTCATGTAGGTGGGTGTATACAACTTCAGCTATGTGTGTCATCAGTGTGTCGGGTATATTTCATGTGGGTGGGTGTATACAACTTCAGCTATGTGTGTCATCAGGGTGTCGGGTATATTTCATGTGGGTGGGTGTATACATCTTCAGCTATGTGTGTCATCAGGGTGTCGGGTATATTTCATGTAGGTGGGTGTATACAACTTCAGCTATGTGTGTCATCAGGGTGTGGGGTATATTTCATGTGTGTGGGTGTATACATCTTCAGCTATGTGTGTCATCAGGGTGTGGGGTATATTTCATGTGGGTGGGTGTATACAACTTCAGCTATGTGTGTCATCAGTGTGTCGGGTATATTTCATGTGGGTGGGTGTATACAACTTCAGCTATGTGTGTCATCAGGGTGTGGGGTATATTTCATGTGGGTGGGTGTATACAACTTCAGCTATGTGTGTCATCAGGGTGTGGGGTATATTTCATGTAGGTGGGTGTATACAACTTCAGCTATGTGTGTCATCAGGGTGTGGGGTATATTTCATGTAGGTGGGTGTATACAACTTCAGCTATGTGTGTCATCAGTGTGTCGGGTATATTTCATGTAGGTGTGTGTATACAACTTCAGCTATGTGTGTCATCAGGGTGTGGGGTATATTTCATGTGGGTGGGTGTATACAACTTCAGCTATGTGTGTCATCAGGGTGTGGGGTATATTTCATGTAGGTGGGTGTATACAACTTCAGCTATGTGTGTCATCAGGGTGTCGGGTATATTTCATGTAGGTGGGTGTATACAACTTCAGCTATGTGTGTCATCAGTGTGTCGGGTATATTTCATGTGGGTGGGTGTATACAACTTCAGCTATGTGTGTCATCAGTGTGTCGGGTATATTTCATGTAGGTGGGTGTATACAACTTCAGCTATGTGTGTCATCAGTGTGTCGGGTATATTTCATGTAGGTGTGTGTATACAACTTCAGCTATGTGTGTCATCAGGGTGTGGGGTATATTTCATGTGGGTGGGTGTATACATCTTCAGCTATGTGTGTCATCAGGGTGTGGGGTATATTTCATGTGGGTGGGTGTATACATCTTCAGCTATGTGTGTCATCAGTGTGTTTGGTATATTTCATGTGGGTGGGTGTATACAACTTCAGCTATGTGTGTCATCAGTGTGTCGGGTATATTTCTTGTGGGTTGGTGTATACAAATTCAGCTATGTGTGTCATCAGGGTGTCGGGTATATTTCATGTGGGTGGGTGTATACAACTTCAGCTATGTGTGTCATCAGTGTGTCGGGTATATTTCATGTAGGTGGGTATATACAACTTCAGCTATGTGTGTCATCAGTGTGTCGGGTATATTTCATGTAGGTGTGTGTATACAACTTCAGCTATGTGTGTCATCAGTGTGTCGGGTATATTTCATGTAGGTGGGTGTATACATCTTCAGCTATGTGTGTCATCAGGGTGTCGGGTATATTTAATGTGGGTGGGTGTATACAACTTCAGCTATGTGTGTCATCAGGGTGTGGGGTATATTTCATGTAGGTGGGTGTATACAACTTCAGCTATGTGTGTCATCAGTGTGTCGGGTATATTTCATGTGGGTGGGTGTATACAACTTCAGCTATGTGTGTCATCAGGGTGTGGGGTATATTTCATGTGGGTGGGTGTATACATCTTCAGCTATGTGTGTCATCAGGGTGTGGGGTATATTTCATGTGGGTGGGTGTATACATCTTCAGCTATGTGTGTCATCAGGGTGTGGGGTATATTTCATGTGTGTGGGTGTATACATCTTCAGCTATGTGTGTCATCAGGGTGTGGGGTATATTTCATGTAGGTGGGTGTATACATCTTCAGCTATGTGTGTCATCAGGGTGTGGGGTATATTTCATGTGGGTGGGTGTATACAACTTCAGCTATGTGTGTCATCAGTGTGTCGGGTATATTTCATGTAGGTGGGTGTATACAACTTCAGCTATGTGTGTCATCAGGGTGTGGGGTATATTTCATGTGGGTGGGTGTATACAACTTCAGCTATGTGTGTCATCAGGGTGTGGGGTATATTTCATGTAGGTGGGTGTATACAACTTCAGCTATGTGTGTCATCAGGGTGTGGGGTATATTTCATGTAGGTGGGTGTATACAACTTCAGCTATGTGTGTCATCAGTGTGTCGGGTATATTTCATGTAGGTGTGTGTATACAACTTCAGCTATGTGTGTCATCAGGGTGTCGGGTATATTTCATGTAGGTGGGTGTATACAACTTCAGCTATGTGTGTCATCAGTGTGTCGGGTATATTTCATGTGGTGGGTGTATACAACTTCAGCTATGTGTGTCATCAGTGTGTCGGGTATATTTCATGTAGGTGTGTGTATACAACTTCAGCTATGTGTGTCATCAGTGTGTCGGGTATATTTCATGTAGGTGTGTGTATACAACTTCAGCTATGTGTGTCATCAGGGTGTGGGGTATATTTCATGTGGGTGGGTGTATACATCTTCAGCTATGTGTGTCATCAGGGTGTGGGGTATATTTCATGTGGGTGGGTGTATACATCTTCAGCTATGTGTGTCATCAGTGTGTTTGGTATATTTCATGTGGGTGGGTGTATACAACTTCAGCTATGTGTGTCATCAGTGTGTCGGGTATATTTCTTGTGGGTTGGTGTATACAACTTCAGCTATGTGTGTCATCAGGGTGTGGGGTATATTTCATGTGGGTGGGTGTATACAACTTCAGCTATGTGTGTCATCAGTGTGTCGGGTATATTTCATGTAGGTGGGTATATACAACTTCAGCTATGTGTGTCATCAGTGTGTCGGGTATATTTCATGTAGGTGTGTGTATACAACTTCAGCTATGTGTGTCATCAGTGTGTCGGGTATATTTCATGTAGGTGGGTGTATACATCTTCAGCTATGTGTGTCATCAGGGTGTCGGGTATATTTCATGTGGGTGGGTGTATACAACTTCAGCTATGTGTGTCATCAGGGTGTGGGGTATATTTCATGTAGGTGGGTGTATACAACTTCAGCTATGTGTGTCATCAGTGTGTCGGGTATATTTCATGTGGGTGGGTGTATACAACTTCAGCTATGTGTGTCATCAGGGTGTGGGGTATATTTCATGTGGGTGGGTGTATACATCTTCAGCTATGTGTGTCATCAGGGTGTGGGGTATATTTCATGTGGGTGGGTGTATACATCTTCAGCTATGTGTGTCATCAGGGTGTGGGGTATATTTCATGTGTGTGGGTGTATACATCTTCAGCTATGTGTGTCATCAGGGTGTGGGGTATATTTCATGTGGGTGGGTGTATACATCTTCAGCTATGTGTGTCATCAGGGTGTGGGGTATATTTCATGTAGGTGGGTGTATACAACTTCAGCTATGTGTGTCATCAGTGTGTCGGGTATATTTCATGTGGGTGGGTGTATACAACTTCAGCTATGTGTGTCATCAGGGTGTGGGGTATATTTCATGTGGGTGGGTGTATACATCTTCAGCTATGTGTGTCATCAGGGTGTGGGGTATATTTCATGTGGGTGGGTGTATACATCTTCAGCTATGTGTGTCATCAGGGTGTGGGGTATATTTCATGTGTGTGGGTGTATACATCTTCAGCTATGTGTGTCATCAGGGTGTGGGGTATATTTCATGTGGGTGGGTGTATACATCTTCAGCTATGTGTGTCATCAGGGTGTGGGGTATATTTCATGTGGGTGGGTGTATACAACTTCAGCTATGTGTGTCATCAGGGTGTCGGGTATATTTCATGTGGGTGGGTGTATACAACTTCAGCTATGTGTGTCATCAGGGTGTTGGGTATATTTCATGTGGGTGGGTGTATACATCTTCAGCTATGTGTGTCATCAGGGTGTGGGGTATATTTCATGTGGGTGGGTGTATACATCTTCAGCTATGTGTGTCATCAGGGTGTGGGGTATATTTCATGTGGGTGGGTGTATACAGCTTCAGCTATGTGTGTCGTCAGGGTGTTGGGTATATTTCATGTGGGTGGGTGTATACAACTTCAGCTATATGTGTCATTAGGGTGTCGGTTATATTTCGGGTGTGGCTGTTTAGGTAGAGAGGTGAGTACATGGGACAAGTCAAGCCTTACAACAACTGTTGAGGAATAATGGAGGGGGTCTCTCTTTCTCTATAACAAGTCTTGGGTCTGTTCTCAATGTCTAACATGCTTTGTAAAATAATCGGAGTTTGAATCATTTTCTTGATCTTTTTTTCTCAAACCGAAGTTTGAAATAAAATTGACTTGACAAAGGGATTCTGCATTAATTATCTAATAAGTTTGGTCAATATTTATCACAATAATTTTGATGTATTTGATGTTATTTCTTCTCCTGACTCTGTTATTGTGGACATCCATGGCATCATGACATTGCAGCATACCATTCTAGAGCGGCATACCATTCCAGAGCGGCATACCTTACTAGAGCGGCATACCATTCCAGAGTGGCATAGAGCGGCATACCATTCCAGAGTGGCATACCTTACTAGAGTGGCATACCATACTAGAGCGGGATACCATTCCAGAGGGGCATACCATAGTAGATTGGCATACCATTCCAGAGCGGCATACCATTACAGAGTTGCATACCATTCCAGAGTGGCATACCATTCCAGAGTGGCATACCATTCCAGAGCGGCATACCATTCCAGAGCGGCGTACCATTCCAGAGTGGCGTACCATTCCAGAGCGGCGTACCATTCCAGAGCGGCATACCATTCCAGAGTGGCATACCATTCCAGAGTGGCATACCATTCTTGAGCGGCATACCATTACAGAGTTGCATACCATTCAAGAGCGGCATAAAATTCCAGAGTGGCATACCATTCCAGAGTGGCATACCATTCCAGAGCGGCGTACCATTCCAGAGCGGCATACCATTCCAGAGTGGCATACCATTCCAGAGTGGCATACCATTCTAGACGGCATACCATTCCAGAGTGGCATACCATTCTTGAGCGGCATAACATTCTAGAGTTGCAAACCTTACTAGAGTGTCATGCCATTCCAGAGCGGCGTACCATTCAAGAGCGTCGTACCATTCCAGAGTGGCATACCATTCCAGAGTGGCATACCATTCTAGAGCGGCATACCATTACAGAGTGGCATACCATTCTAGAGTGGCATACCATTCCAGAGTGGCATACCATTCCAGAGCGGCATGCCATTCCAGAGTGGCATACCATTCTAGAGTGGCATACCATTCCAGAGTGGCATACCATTCTAGAGCGGCATACCATTCCAGAGTGGCATACCATTCTAGAGCGGCATACCATTCCAGAGTGGCATACCATTCTAGAGTGGCATACCATTCCAGAGCGGCATACCATTCTAGAGTGGCATACTTTTCTAGAGTGGCATAACATTCTAGAGTTGCATACCTTACTAGAGTGTCATGCCATTCCAGAGCGACGTACCATTCCAGAGCGGCATACCATTCTAGAGTGGCATACCATTCCAGAGTGGCATACCATTCTAGAGTGGCATACTTTTCTAGAGCGGAATACCATTCTAGAGCGGCATACCATTACAGAGTTGCATACCATTCTTGAGTGGCATACTTTCCTAGAGCAGAATACCATTCTAGAGCGGCATACCATTCTAGAGCGGCATACCATTCCAGAATGGCATACCATTCTAGAGCGGCATACCATTACAGAGTGGCATACCATTCTAGAGTGGCATACTTTTCTAGAGCGGCATTCCATTGTAGAGCGGTGTACCATTCTAGAGTGGCTCACCAGAGCGCTATACCACTGTACATACCTAGGTGAACCTGCAATATTGATGCTGAGTATATTTTCATTCAAATGTATTCAATAATTGAGGCAAGAGGCAGGTTTAGTTTTCATGTATATTTTGTGAACAAGCTGATGAAGACAGGTATCTGTGTTCACCCACTGTTGACAGAGAGGAAGCAGGGATGCTGTGGTAAACAACATGAAGATAGAAGGGAAACACATTGTTATTTCTTCATCTGTTTGTTGTTTAACGCCACACTCAGGAATATTCCGACTCAGCAGTCTGTAAGTAATCAAGTCTGGACCAGACAATCCAGTGAATGACATCAGGAGCATCGATCCATGCATTTGGATACTAATTGCATGGATTGATGCTCATGATGTCAATCACAAGCTTGTCTGGCTCTTCATCTGTAGGTACTTGGGGACAATCAAATAATGTCAGGCGATTTATTTTCATAAAAGTATCTAGACTATAGGTTAGTGAGGCAAACAGGAAAGAAAATCGGATAATGTATTATTGCCTAATGAAGATACTACTGTTACTGAAATTCTATACATGTTGCCTGTTTTGTATACCAATAGCAGTGTACATTGCAAGATGACTTTTATCAAGTATTAGTTGGGATGTATGTAAACACGGACTGTCCGTACCTTGTACTGATACACCCCCTTGTACTGATACGCCCCCTTGTACTGATACACCCCCTTGTACTGATACACCCCCTTGTACTGATACACCCCCTTGTACTGATGCACCCCCTTGTACTGATACACCCCCTTGTACTGATACACCTCCTGATACACCCCCTTGTACTGATACACCCCCTTGTACTGATACACCCCCTTGTACACCCCCTTGTACTGATACACGCCCTTGTACTGATACACCCCTTGTACTGATACACCCCTTGTACTGATACATCCCCTGATACACCCCCTTGTACTGATACACCCCCTTGTACTGATACACCCCCTTGTACTGATACACCTCCTGTATACCAGACACCAGCACAGTTCTATGAAGAAGGCAAGGACCTGAGGGTAAGATGGTGGCCAGGTGACAGTGGTGTATTGTATACAGCAGGACACGGTTGGGAGCATTTAAACACAGCAATTAACATTATGTAACACTACTGTAACATCACTGTAACATCACTGTAACATCACTATAATATCACTGTAACACTACTGTGACACTACCAAAACAAAAACTTAAATAACAGCAAGAACAGGAATGGACATTAAGACGGAAGTGATTGTATAAAGGTTGTATGGTACATAAAACAGGGATACCTTAGAGTTATAACATGAATATCATACAGGTGTAACACTAATATATATACAGTAAACTATGTTTATAACAAACACGCTTATAACGAACTGGCGGATATAACGAACTGGTTTTTGGTCCCAGCGATTTGCTGTATTTATGCTTATAATGAACTACGGTTATAACAAACTAAAATTTGTAGTCTCTTTGAGTTCGTTATAACCATAGTTTACTGTATATCATACAGGTATAACCCAATTACATACTGTACAGGTATAACACTGGTATATATATCATACACGTATAACACTTATCTATATATCGTATAGGTATGACACTAATCTATATCATTCAAGTATAAGACAATTTATTTAACATAGAGGTATATCATAAAGGTATACAACACAAATATTATTTCGTACAGGTATGACAAATATATCGTACAGTTATAACAAATATATCGTTCAGGTATAACAAATATATCTTACAGGTATAACAAATATATCATTCCGGTTTAACACATATCGTACAGGAATAACAAATATTTCGTTCAGGTATAACAAATATATCGTTCAGGTATAACAAATATATTGAAAAGGAATAACAAATATATTGTTCAGGTATAACACATATATCGTACAGGAATAACAAATATATCGTTCAGGTATAACAAATATATCGTACAGGTATAACACTAATCTAAATATCTTACAGATATAATACAAATATATATTTTGTAAAGGTATAACAGAAATATATTGTAAATGTATAACAGAAATATATTGTAAATGTATAGCGCCAATGTATATATCATATGGTATAACAAATATATATATCATACAGGTATAACATAAATGACTGGGTGGTTTTTCATCAAGGGAAATGAACAGATAGAAAGCAATACTCTTTCCTTGATCAAGGTAGAGACCCTATATCTATATATGTCACACAAAGCTACAGGTGTAACACAAAGATACTGGTGTAACACAAAGGTACAGGCGTAACACAAAGGTACAGGCGTAACACAAAGGTACAGGCGTAACACAAAGGTAAAGCTGTAATACAAAGCTACAAGTGTTACAAAGCTACAGGTGTAACATAGTGATACAGGTGTAACACAAAGATACAGGTGTAACAAAAGTACAGGTGTAACATAGCAATACAGGTGGAACAAAGATACAGGTGTAACATAGTGATACACGTGTAACAAAGATATAGGTGTAACATAGTGATACGCGTGTAACAAAGATACAGGTGTAACAAGGATACAGAGATTCACTCACTCACTCTGTTACAGGAAGAGATAGTTTCCATGGAGACAGACCAAGTGAACAAGTCCAAGGAAGTGAGTGAGAAGATGCCAGTGTTTCAGCAGCTGGAGGTGACGTTTGAGGAGAGGTCAGAGGGCTACGACAAGATGAAGAAGGACGTTGTTGGTGAGATGGCAGGCAACTTGGATGGAAATTCGTACCTAACCTCTAAGTTATTAACATTTCCCATCGGGGACCGGATGTGGATGAAATTATTATGAATCCTAATTTTTCCTTTATGCTGACACGCCAATTTGTTGTTTGATTGTGTTCCATGTTTGCAAAGAGGCCAACAGCAATGTGATGACATATGATCATGAACTGATTGTCACAAACAATTGAGGAGGATGTTCCTCTTTGTCACACATGATTTTATGTAGCATTGTTTCAGCAATGTCCAATGTTGTGATTGACATGATGAATGTCGAATGTTGAGATTGACTTGATGAATCTGTGTTGTGATTGACTTGATGAATGTGCTGTGTTGTGATTGCCATGATGAATGTCCTGTATTATGTTTGACTTGATGGATGTCCAATGTTGTGATTGGCTTGATGACTGTGCTCTGTTGTGATTGACTTGATGAATGTCCTGTGTTATGATTAACATGGTGAATGTCCTGTGTTATGATTGAATTTGATGAATGTCCTGTGTTATGATTAACATGATGAATGTCCTGGGTTATGATTAACATGGTGAATGTCCTGTGTTGTGATTGACTTGATGAATGTCCTGTGTTATGATTAACATGGTGAATGTCCTGTGTTGTGATTGACTTGATGAATGTCCTGGGTTATGATTAACATGGTGAATGTCCTGGGTTATGATTAACATGGTGAATGTCCTGTGTTGTGATTGACTTATGAATGTCCTGTGTTGTGATTGACTTGATGAATGTCCTGTGTTATGATTAACATGGTGAATGTCCTGTGTTATGATTGAATTTGATGAATGTCCTGTGTTATGATTAACATGATGAATGTCCTGGGTTATGATTAACATGGTGAATGTCCTGTGTTGTGATTGACTTGATGAATGTCCTGGGTTATGATTAACATGGTGAATGTCCTGTGTTGTGATTGACTTGATGAATGTCCTGGGTTATGATTAACATGGTGAATGTCCTGGGTTATGATTAACATGGTGAATGTCCTGTGTTGTGATTGACTTGATGAATGTCCTGTGTTGTGATTGACTTGATGAATGTCCTGGGTTATGATTTACATGGTGAATGTCCTGTGTTGTGATTGACTTGATGAATGTCCTGGGTTATGATTAACATGGTGAATGTCCTGTGTTGTGTTTGACTTGATGAATGTCCTGGGTTATGATTAACATGGTGAATGTCCTGGGTTATGATTAACATGGTGAATGACCTCTTTTATTATTGACTTGATGAATGTCTGGTGTTGTGATTGACTTGATGAATTATGTCTCCCCCAGAATGGAGGGAGACATATTGTTTTTGGCACGGTTCTCGTCGGCGTCGGCGTCGGCGTCGGCGTCGGCGTTCCCACCGTTTCCAGACCATAAATCAGAAACCGTTTAATATTTTTTCGCGAAACTTTTTATACACATTAACCCAGCACTGAAGTGGTGCCTTTTGCTATTTAGAGATTTTTGACATTTTTATTTTTTCTCGTTTCCATGGAGATAACTTGAACATAGACTCTGAATGGGGGTAAGCTTGGTTTCCGGACCATAACTCGGAAACCGTTTAATATTTTTTCGCGAAACTTTGTATACACATTAACCCAGCACTGAAGTGGTGCCTTTTGCTATTTAGAGATTTTTGACATTTTTATTTTTTCTCGTTTCCATGGAGATAACTTGAACATAGACTCTGAATGGGGGTAAGCTTGGTTTCCGGACCATAACTCGGAAACCGTTTAATATTTTTTCGCGAAACTTTGTATACACATTAACCCAGCACTGAAGTGGTGCCTTTTGCTATTTAGAGATTTTTGACATTTTTATTTTTTCTCGTTTCCATGGAGATAACTTGAACATAGACTCTGAATGGGGGTAAGCTTGGTTTCCGGACCATAACTCGGAAACCGTTTAATATTTTTTCGCGAAACTTTGTATACACATTAACCCAGCACTGAAGTGGTGCCTTTTGCTATTTAGAGATTTTTGACATTTTTATTTTTTCTCGTTTCCATGGAGATAACTTGAACATAGACTCTGAATGGGGGTAAGCTTGGTTTCCGGACCATAACTCGGAAACCGTTTAATATTTTTTCGCGAAACTTTGTATACACATTAACCCAGCACTGAAGTGGTGCCTTTTGCTATTTAGAGATTTTTGACATTTTTATTTTTTCTCGTTTCCATGGAGATAACTTGAACATAGACTCTGAATGGGGGTAAGCTTGGTTTCCGGACCATAACTCGGAAACCGTTTAATATTTTTTCGCTAAACTTTGTATACACATTAACCCAGCACTGAAGTGGTGCCTTTTGCTATTTAGAGATTTTTGACATTTTTATTTTTTCTCGTTTCCATGGAGATAACTTGAACATAGACTCTGAATGGGGGTAAGCTTGGTTTCCGGACCATAACTCGGAAACCGTTTAATATTTTTTCGCGAAACTTTGTATACACATTAACCCAGCACTGAAGTGGTGCCTTTTGCTATTTAGAGATTTTTGACATTTTTATTTTTTCTCGTTTCCATGGAGATAACTTGAACATAGACTCTGAATGGGGGTAAGCTTGGTTTCCGGACCATAACTCGGAAACCGTTTAATATTTTTTCGCGAAACTTTGTATACACGTTAACCCAGCACTGAAGTGGTGCCTTTTGCTATTTAGAGATTTTTGACATTTTTATTTTTTCTCGTTTCCATGGAGATAACTTGAACATAGACTCTGAATGGGGGTAAGCTTGGTTTCCGGACCATACTCAGAAACCGTTTAATATTTTTTCGCTAAACTTTGTATACACATTAACCCAGCACTGAAGTGGTGCCTTTTGCTATTTAGAGATTTTTGACATTTTTTTTTTTTCTAGTTTCCATGGAGATAACTTGAACATAGACTTTGAATGGGGGTAAGCTTGGTTTCCGGACCATAACTCAGAAACCGTTTAATATTTCAACATTGACCTCAATACAAACAAAGCGCAACCTCTTCTGCAAGAACCCTTCACGCAGCTGATTGAAGTGTCCACTACCAGGAAAGAAACTGTTATTGACCATATTTATGTCAAGGATCTTTCACATCAGAGAGCTGGTGTGGTGCCTTGCTATTACAGTTTCCATGACATCACATATGTCATTGTGTAGAAGACCTGCAGAGTCAGATACACGGGCAATAACATCACAGAGACTTTCCTTTGTGCCATATAACATTGCTACATCATTTCTGATATGTTGGGGATATTAATATATTTGTGTCCAAACTCTATTAGTACTTTAAGTGGATTTTCTACAAATACTTCAGTAACAAGAAAACTGTGCGACTTAGATGACTACACTGTCAGGTGGGTAAATGATTGAGGGATTAGTGGTGTTGATTAGACGCTGAAGTGGTGCCCATTAGTTGTTTGAAATTTCTAGGAGTTCTATTTTTGTCTCTGTTATTTAGTAATGGAGGGTGGGAATGAAGAGATGGGGTTTAACGTGAAGTAAACGAATAATGGGGGTTAGGGGAGTGGGGGGAGACATATGTTTTTACGAGTAAAAACACTTTCTAGTTGTCCTCTGTTATGATTGACGTGATGATGTCTCGGGTTGTGATTGACTTGACGAATGTCTGGTGTTGTGATTGACTTGATGAATATCCTGTGTTATGATTGACTTGATGAATATCCTGTGTTATGATTGACTTGATGAATGTCTTGGGTTGTGATTGACTTGATGAATATCCTGTTATGATTGACTTGATGAATATCCTGTGTTTTGATTGACTTGATGAATGTCCTGTGTTGTTATTGACATGATGAATGTCCTGTGTTGTGATTGACTTGATGACACTCCTGTGTTGTGATTGACTTGATGAATGTCTTGTGTGCTTCAGCCTTTAAGAACAAGAAGATGAGCTTAGAAGATGCAATAGTGAAGAGCAAGCGAGACAAAGAGGACATGGGGGCCCCCCAGGTGAGTACACATGTGATGTACACAGAATACACTGTCACCTGGATTAACCAATAGATCAAGTCATCTGTAGAGACAAGAGGAGTTCCAGTATGAGACCACAGTGTCACCTGGATTGATCAATAGATCAAGTCATCTGTAGAGACAAGAGGAGATCCAGTATGAGACCTCAGTGTCACCTGGATTGACCAATAGATCAAGTCATCTGTAGAGACAAGGGGAGATCCAGTATGAGACCACAGTGTCACCTGGATTGACCAATAGATCAAGTCATCTGTAGAGACAAGAGGAGCTCCAGTATGAGACCACAGTGTCACCTGGATTGACCAATAGATCAAGTCATCTGTAGAGACAAGGGGAGATCCAGTATGAGACCACAGTGGCACCTGGATTAACCAATAGATCAAGTCATCTGTAGAGACAAGGGGAGATCCAGTATGAGACCACAGTGTCACCTGGATTAACCAATAGATCAAGTCATCTGTAGAGACAAGAGGAGTTCCAGTATGAGACCACAGTGTCACCTGGATTGACCAATAGATCAAGTCATCTGTAGAGACAAGGGGAGATCCAGTATGAGACCACAGTGTCACCTGGATTGACCAATAGATCAAGTCATCTGTAGAGACAAGGGGAGCTCCAGTATGAGACCACAGTGTCACCTGGATTGACCAATAGATCAAGTCATCTGTAGAGACAAGGGGAGATCCAGCATGAGACCACAGTGTCTCCTGGATTGACCAATAGATCAAGTCATCTGTGGTGACAAGGGGAGATCCAGTATGAGACCACAGTGTCACCTGGATTGACCAATAGATCAAGTCATCTGTAGAGACAAGGGGAGATCCAGTATGAGACCACAGTGTCACCTGGATTAACCAATAGATCAAGTCATCTGTAGAGACAAGAGGAGATCCAGTATGAGACCACAGTGTCACCTGGATTAACCAATAGATCAAGTCATCTGTAGAGACAAGGGGAGATCCAGTATGAGACCACAGTGTCACCTGGATTAACCAATAGATCAAGTCATCTGTAGAGACAAGGGGAGATCTAGTATGAGACCACAGTGGCACCTGGATTAACCAATAGATCAAGTCATCTGTAGAGACAAGGGGAGCTCCAGTATGAGACCACAGTGGCACCTGGATTAACCAATAGATCAAGTCATCTGTAGAGACAAGAGGAGATCCAGTATGAGACCACAGTGTCACCTGGATTAACCAATAGATCAAGTCATCTGTAGACACAAGAGGAGATCTAGTATGAGACCACAGTGGCACCTGGATTGATCAATAGATCAAGTCATCTGTAGAGACAAGAGGAGATCCAGTATGAGACCTCAGTGTCACCTGGATTGACCAATAGATCAAGTCATCTGTAGAGACAAGGGGAGATCCAGTATGAGACCACAGTGTCACCTGGATTAACCAATAGATCAAGTCAGCTGTAGAGACAAGGGGAGATCCAGTATGAGACCACAGTGTCACCTGGATTAACCAATAGATCAAGTCATCTGTAGAGACAAGGGGAGATCTAGTATGAGACCACAGTGGCACCTGGATTAACCAATAGATCAAGTCATCTGTAGAGACAAGGGGAGCTCCAGTATGAGACCACAATGTCACCTGGATTAACCAATAGATCAAGTCATCTGTAGAGACAAGGGGAGATCCAGTATGAGACCACAGTGTCACCTGGATTAACCAATAGATCAAGTCATCTGTAGAGACAAGAGGAGATCCAGTATGAGACCACAGTGTCACCTGGATTAACCAATAGATCAAGTCATCTGTAGACACAAGAGGAGATCTAGTATGAGACCACAGTGGCACCTGGATTGATCAATAGATCAAGTCATCTGTAGAGACAAGAGGAGATCCAGTATGAGACCTCAGTGTCACCTGGATTGACCAATAGATCAAGTCATCTGTAGAGACAAGGGGAGATCCAGTATGAGACCACAGTGTCACCTGGATTAACCAATAGATCAAGTCAACTGTAGAGACAAGGGGAGATCCAGTATGAGACCACAGTGTCACCTGGATTAACCAATAGATCAAGTCATCTGTAGAGACAAGGGGAGATCTAGTATGAGACCACAGTGGCACCTGGATTAACCAATAGATCAAGTCATCTGTAGAGACAAGGGGAGCTCCAGTATGAGACCACAATGTCACCTGGATTAACCAATAGATCAAGTCATCTGTAGAGACAAGGGGAGATCCAGTATGAGACCACAGTGTCACCTGGATTAACCAATAGATCAAGTCATCTGTAGAGACAAGGGGAGATCCAGTATGAGACCACAGTGGCACCTGGATTAACCAATAGATCAAGTCATCTGTAGAGACAAGGGGAGATCTAGTATAAGACCACAGTGTCACCTGGATTAACCAATAGATCAAGTCATCTGTAGACACAAGAGGAGATCCAGTATGAGACCACAGTGTCACCTGGATTAACCAATAGATCAAGTCATCTGTAGAGACAAGGGGAGATCCAGTATGAGACCACAGTGTCACCTGGATTAACCAATAGATCACGTCATCTGTAGAGACAAGGGGAGATCCAGTATGAGACCACAGTGTCATCTGGATTGACCAATAGATCACGTCATCTGTAGAGACAAGGGGAGATCCAGTATGAGACCACAGTGTCTCCTGGATTGACCAATACATCAAGTCATCTGTAGAGACAAGGGGAGCTCCAGTATGAGACCACAGTGTCACCTGGATTAACCAATAGATCAAGTCATCTGTAGAGACAAGGGGAGATCCAGTATGAGACCACAGTGTCACCTGGATTAACCAATAGATCAAGTCATCTGTAGAGACAAGGGGAGCTCCAGTATGAGACAACAGTGTCACCTGGATTGACCAATAGATCAAGTCATCTGTAGAGACAAGGGGAGCTCCAGTATGAGAAAACAGTGTCACTTGGATTAACCAATAGATCAAGTCATCTGTAGAGACAAGGGGAGCTCCAGTATGAGTCCACAGTGTCACCTGGATTAACCAATAGATCAAGTCATCTGTAGAGACAAGGGGAGCTCCAGTATGAGACCACAGTGTCACCTGGATTAACCAATAGATCAAGTCATCTGTAGACACAAGAGGAGCTCCAGTATGAGACCACAGTGTCACCTGGATTAACCAATAGATCAAGTCATCTGTAGACACAAGGGGAGATCTAGTATGAGACCACAGTGTCACCTGGATTAACCAATAGATCAAGTCATCTGTAGACACAAGAGGAGATCCAGTATGAGACCACAGTGTCACCTGGATTAACCAATAGATCAAGTCATCTGTAGACACAATGGGAGATCTAGTATGAGACCACAATGTCACCTGGATTAACCAATAGATCACGTCATCTGTAGACACAAGAGGAGATCCAGTATGAGACCACAGTGTCACCTGGATTAACCAATAGATCAAGTCATCTGTAGAGACAAGGGGAGATCCAGTATGAGACCACAGTGTCACCTGGATTAACCAATAGATCAAGTCATCTGTAGAGACAAGAGGAGATCCAGTATGAGACCACAGTGTCACCTGGATTAACCAATAGATCAAGTCATCTGTAGAGACAAGAGGAGCTCCAGTATGAGACCACAGTGTCACCTGGATTAACCAATAGATCACGTCATCTGTAGAGACAAGGGGAGATCCAGTATGAGACCACAGTGTCACCTGGATTAACCAATAGATCACGTTATCTGTAGAGACAAGGGGAGATCCAGTATGAGACCACAGTGTCACCTGGATTAACCAATAGATCAAGTCATCTGTAGAGACAAGGGGAGATCCAGTATGAGACCACAGTGTCACCTGGACTTAACCAATAGATCAAGTCAGCTGTAGAGACAAGGGGAGATCCAGTATGAGACCACAGTGTCACCTGGATTGACCAATAGATCAAGTCATCTGTAGAGACAAGGGGAGCTCCAGTATGAGTCCACAGTGTCACCTGGATTAACCAATAGATCAAGTCATCTGTAGACACAAGAGGAGATCCAGTATGAGACCACAGTGTCACCTGGATTAACCAATAGATCAAGTCATCTGTAGAGACAAGGGGAGATCCAGTATGAGACCACAGTGTCACCTGGATAAACCAATAGATCAAGTCATTATTTGACTGTACATGTAGTTTGTACTCCACTATTAATAAAGATATTTTTATCTCATCACGGTACACAAAAATTATTCTCATAATATGTCAAGTATATTTTAGTTTTATATCTGAAATATCTGATTATCCCAGTAAACAATTGAGTGATATATTTGATTGTTGAGGAATAGGACAGCTTAGTCTGTAGCTTTAGGTAAATTGATGTCTGGATTCAAATGTCACATTGAGGATGATGAAAACAAGGACAGATGGTTGACATCACTGTATAGCTCTAGTTGACAAGCTACAATGCAGCTGATGACTGTGTACAGATGGTTGACATGACTGTATAGCTCTAGTTGACTAGCTACAATGCAGCTGATGACTGTGTACAGATGGTTGACATCACTGTATAGCTCTAGTTGACTAGCTACAATGCAGCTGATGACTGTGTACAGATGGTTGACATCACTGTATAGCTCTAGTTGACTAGCTACAATGCAGCTGATGACTGTGTACAGATGGTTGACATGACTGTATAGCTCTAGTTGACTAGCTACAATGCAGCTGATGACTGTGTACAGATGAAGCTGCGGGAAGACCTGAAGCAGCTGCGGGCGGAGTTCCTGACGCAGATGAAGACTCACTGCCAGCTGATGCAGGGCACCGAGGAACAGATCTACCGGGAGGGCAGCAAGCTGAAGAAAGTCATGGAGGAAAACCACAGGTTTCAGGAGGTGAGTGGTGGTTAACAGGTTTCAGGAGGTGAGTGGTGAGTCACAGGTTTCAGGAGGTGAGTGGTGAGTCATGGGTTTCAGGAGGTGAGTGGTGAGTCACAGGTTTCAGGAGGTAGGTGGTGAGTCACAGGTTTCAGGAGGTGAGTGGTGAGTCAGAGGTTTCAGGAAGTGAGTGGTGAGTCAGAGGTTTCAGGTGGTGAGTGGTGAGTCAGAGGTTTCAGGAGGTGAGTGGTGAGTCACAGGTTTCAGGAGGTGAGTGGTGAGTCATAGGTTTCAGGAGGTGAGTGGTGAGTCAGAGGTTTCAGGAGGTGAGTGGTGAGTCAGAGGTTTCAGGAGGTGAGTGGTGAGTCACAGGTTTCAGGAGGTGAGTGGTGAGTCAGGTTTCAGGAGGTGAGTGGTGAGTCATGGGTTTCAGGAGGTGATTGGTGAGTCAGAGGTTTCAGGAGGTGAGTGGTGAGTCAGAGGTTTCAGGAGGTGAGTGGTGAGTCATGGGTTTCAGGAGGTGATTGGTGAGTCAGAGGTTTCAGGAGGTGAGTGGTGAGTCAGAGGTTTCAGGAGGTGAGTGGTGAGTCACAGGTTTCAGGAGGTGAGTGGTGAGTCACAGGTTTCAAGAAGTGATTGGTGAGTCACAGGTTTCAGGAGATGAGTGGTGAGTCACCGACTTGTCCTAGTTATGAACCAATGTTTATCAACACCATACCCAGGCTAATGAGTTGTAAATGTGATCTGTATGACCTCACATTAAGCTGTATCAAAACTTTTCACAATCCTGTAAAACCCAACTGACTTAACTGACCACTGACTACCTGTCTGTAGAGTTGCAAGAAGCTGGAGGCTGACATTGTGGACATCCAGTCTCAGATGGAGATCAACGAGGAGGCCACAGTGCGGCTACAGAAAGAACTTGTCCAGTCTAAAGGTAGGGACTCAAGATCACATCAGTCTGTCCACTGCTGGAATGGGGGAGAGGGGTGTGAGGTCAGTGCTGGGGTAGGGGTGAGGTGTTTGAGGTTAGTGCTGGGGTGGGGGAGAGGATTTTTAGGTCACTGCTGGGGTGGGGGATAGGTGTGAGGTCACTGTTAGGTTGGGGGTGAGGAGTGTGAGGTCACTGCTGGTTGGGGGAGGGAGGTGAGGTCACTGTTAGGTTGGGGGTGAGGAGTGTGAGGTCACTGCTGGCTGGGGGTGAGGAGTGTTTGGTCACTGCTGGGGTGGGGGTGAGGTGTGTGAGGTCACTGCATGGGTAGGGGGTGAGGAGTGTAAGGTCACTGCTGGTTGGGGGAGAGTTGTGAGGTCACTGCTGGTTGGGGGAGACGTGTGAGGTCACTGTTAGGTTGGGGGATGAGGAGAGTGAGGTCACTGCTGGTTATGGGAGAGGTGTGTGCGGTCACTGCTGGGGGGGGTGCGAGGTGTGAGGTCACTGCTGGGGTGTGTGAAGTCACTGTTGAGGTGGAGGAGTGCGAGTCGGTACACGGACAGGGTGTGTGAATGTTGGCGAAATGGTTTACATATAACAGTTGAGCAATCTAAGTAGAAATGAGGCATTAGGGAGGAATGATCTGTCTTAAAAGAGTAGATGACAGGAAATAAATGAAAACATAATTTTACTCGTGGAAGGGAACCCATCCACTTTCAGTGTGTACTTGAGGATGATTTTGACCACTAGTTTCAAACTGTTGACTTCTATTCTAGTTCTAGTGTGGTGACTCCACATAACAAACACTGTCAGTCTTTAGAACAGTTTATATAGTTCATAAGGTTGGCGTGCACATTTGCTGATCACCGGAATGATCGCCATGCGGTTACAAGAGGGAGCATTGTATGAGAATGTTCGATGTATATTAGGGAGCGGAATCTATTACATCTAGATATGTTTACGACGCAGTAGTTTTGCAGAGGGGATGGTTATAAATACAGTTTTTTTCAATTTAATGATCTCAGATTTAGAACATTGTGGTAACAAGACGCAACTGTGAGTGTGATGTGTGTTACAGAGGCCCTGGTGAACAGCTGGGAGGCAGACAAGACCATGCAGGAGGTACGACTGGCTATCTATGTACAGACACAAGCCATGGCTTCTCTCACACATACTCTTGTCACATGGAGCAGGAAGCCTCTGGTTCTGTCAGTGCTCCCTGGATGACAGTTTTGCTCTGAACATTAACCTAGGCGGATGTCGTGTTTGTTTGCTTTGTGATGTAGGTCATGATGATGACGTGTAACAGGAGGAAATCTGAAACTTATGACAGAGATTACTATAGATACTCCTAAAACAGTACATTGATGCAATGTACATTTTCATAGCCCCATAACTCGTATTTTTTAAATGAAGCCAGAAAAGCATTTTTCAAGCATTTCTGACAGTAATTTAACTATTTGTGTCACCCAAATTGTTCATGTGAGACTCAAGATAACCTATAACTGATCATGTCACCCAAATTGTTTATGTGAGACCCAGGATAACCTGTAACTGTTTGTGTCACCCAAGTTGTTTATGTGAGACCCAAGATAACCTATAACTGATCATGTCACCCAAGTTGTTTATGTGAGACCCAAGATAACCTGTAACTGTTTGTGTCACCCCAAGTTGTTTATGTGAGACCCAAGATAACCTATAACTGATCATGTCACCCAAGTTGTTTATGTGAGACCCAAGATAACCTATAACTGTTTGTGTAGCCCAAGCTGTTTATGTGAGACCCAGGATAACCTATAACTGTTTGTGTCACCCAAGTTGTTTATGTGAGACCCAAGATAACCTATAACTGATCATGTCACCCAAGTTATTTATGTGAGACCCAAGATAACCTATAACTGATCATGTCACCCAAGTTGTTTATGTGAGACCCAAGATAACCTATAACTGTTCATGTCACCCAAGTTGTTTATGTGAGACCCAAGATAACCTGTAACTGTTTGTGTCACCCCAAGTTGTTTATGTGAGACCCAAGATAACCTATAACTGATCATGTCACCCAAGTTGTTTATGTGAGACCCAAGATAACCTATAACTGTTTGTGTCACCCAAGTTGTTTATGTGAGACCCAAGATAACCTATAACTGTTTGTGTCACCCAAGTTGTTTATGTGAGACCCAAGATAACCTGTAACTGTTTGTGTCACCCAAGTTGTGTATGTGAGACCCATGATAACCTATCTTGTGTGATGCCCCAGTTGTTTGCTGACCGAGACAAGGACACAGTCGAAGCGTTCGGACGTCTGCTGGAGAAGACCGAGAACCGAGAGACCACCATCTCCGACGTGACAGGGCGACTGACTGACGAGCTCAGCGTTCTGGCCAACTTCCTGGACAATGTGTCCAGCCGCCGACCGCGAGGTGGGTGTTGGTCCTGATGCTGCAAGACTCTGCACGTTGTAGAGCGGCACTGTCTAACTGTTGTCAGATCCTAAACATGTAGGTTGCAGGCCAGTTTACACAAAGTCTATCAAAGTGTCGTGTTTGTGAGAGGTCTGTGTTGAACCAGGCATGGTGCAGTGGCTGGTCCACACTCTCCCGTACTGTTTCAATACATGTACCTTTGTTTCATTGATGCATTGCTTGTTTGTTTGTAGTTTAACGCCACACTCAGCAATATTCCAGCTATGTTATGGCGGTCTGTAAATAATCGAGACAGGAGCAGACAATTCAGTGATTGGCATCATGAGCATCAATTCACGCAATTGGGATACGATGACATGCATCAACCAAGTCAATGAGCCTGACCTCCTGATCCAATTAATCGCATGGGTTGCTGAAGACCTATTCTAACTCGGATTTTCATGGGTCCTGAGATAGCGCATGACATACACTGATTTACTTGCGAACTAAAACACGACATGGTATGAGAGCGACTTTGTGTAACCAGGCCAAAGTGCACATAGATATCTGATTGTTTCGAGTAATATCTCTCTATGTATTTTCACCTTGAACAAGTGTAACACTTTGGAATATTTCACTAAAATATGTTGATCTGATCTGACAGTCTCATGCACGCGAGGAGCACTTTCACTGTAGTATAGAATAACTAGTACCTGCATACTGACAGTCCTCTTTACATGTGTCTGTGTGTAAACTTGTGATGTGTATGCATATTTATGTACACACAATGACAGTTCTCCTCTGTGTGTGTCAGTTCTCTCTGTATGTGTGTGACTGTGTGTGTCTGTCTCTGTGTGACTGTATGTGTGTGTGTGTGTGTGTGTGTGTGTGTGTGTGTGTGTGTGTGTGTGTGTGAGTTCTCTCTGTATGTGTGTGACTGTGTGTGTCTGTCTCTGTGTGTGTGACTGTATGTGTCTGTGTGTGTGTGTCAGTTCTCTCTGTATGTGTGTGACTGTGTGTGTCTGTCTCTGTGTGTGTGACTGTATGTGTCTCTGTGTGTGTGTGTGTGTGTGTGTGTGTGTGTGTCAGTTCTCTCTGTATGTGTGTGACTCTGTGTGTGTGTCTCTCTCACTGTGTGTCTGTCTATGTGTGTGTGACTGTGTGTGTCTGTGTGTGTGTGTGTGTGTGTGTCAGTTCTCTCTGTATGTGTGTGACTGTGTGTGTGTGTCTCTCTCTCTCCCTCTGTGTGACTGTGTGTTTCTGTCTCTGTGTGTGTCCATCTGTGTGTGTGTCTGTGTATGGTTGTGCAGGTGCGTGTGGGTGCATGTGCTGACAGTAGTCCTCCCTTCATGTGCACGTGTATGAGCATGCTACCCTGCACCAGCTGCATGTGTGTTGCATGCACCTCCTACTAATGTCCTTCTTGTGCACTAACAACAGGAAAACAGCGAGTCTCCAGGTAACGTACACTTGACGCTTGTGTTTGCTCACTTTGTGTTTATTGGTTACTCTTTATGGATAAACATTCTCATTGTCTGTTTATTGGTGTGTTGATTCACCTTGCAACTCTTTGATTCTGTTACCGTATAAACACCTTGATTCTGTTAATATATACAACACCTTGATTCTGTTACTATAAAAACAATGGGTAAGTCATTGCTATACGAGACTGTGGGCCATCAAGACTCGACTATGTTTATTCCTAGAGAGGGAGAGTGTGGTGAAGGTGTTTGTTTAATCACGCTTTAGGGACCGACCATTTGTTATTCTTGGGAGTTACTGGGATTTTTTTGACCAAAAAACTGGCCTCAAGTGGGATGTCCTGGCAAAAATGTGTTGTGAAAAGAGTGAGAGAGTTGGGTTTAACGCCGCTTATAACAATATTCCAGTTATATCGCGGCGTGTCAGCTTAATGTGGGAGGAAAGCCCGAAGTGATGCAGGTCTCAGACATTTACCACTTCGGTGAAACCCACGAGGACGGGTATGGTGCTGACAAACCTAGAAACATAATCGGGGCGAACCGGGATTCGAACCCACAATCATAGGTTTCTGGCGTGCCCAAGGGACGCAACTCTGCACAGCGAATCGCGGCACCTTAGACGACTGGGCCACCCACGCCCCCTGTTGTGAAAAGAAAATTGTTTGGCTCCTGTTTTTGTAAAGTAAGTCTTGGAGAACAATGTCTTTAAAATATTTTGTTTCTAACAAAAATCCCAGCCCACAGCCCACAGCCCACAGCCCACACACCCCAGTCCGTCCCCACCCCTTAGAATAATAGATGGTCTGTCCCCTAACCGGCTGAAGGTGTAAAGGTCTCTGATCTGTAGAATGATGATTCCTCCGTTGGCCATGTCTGGCATTCTCCTGCTACTCCTCCTGTTACAGCGTGTCCATGTTGATTGTCTTACATTGTAATCAGCAGAACAACAGCTGTTACAAGGTGTAAATAGTCGTTTCCATACCGGCAGTATTACAGCTGTATGCAAGTATTAATAGTTGTTTCCATACCAACAGTATTACAGCTGTATGCAAGTGTTAATAGTCGTTTCCATACCAGCAGTATTACAGCTGTATGCAAGTGTTACCGGTAATAGTCATTTCTATACCAGCAGTATTACAGCTGTATGCAAGTGTTAATAGTCGTTTCTTTACCAGCAGTATTACAGCTGTATGCAAGTGTTAATAGTTGTTTCCATACCAGCAGTATTACAGCTGTATGAAGGGGTTAATAGTTGTTTCCATACCAACAGTACAATAGCTGTTTGCAAGTGTTAATAGTTGTTTCTATACCGGCAGTATTACAGCTGTATGCAAGTGTTAATAGTCATTTCTATACCAGCAGTATTACAGCTGTATGCAAGTGTTAATAGTTGTTTCTATACCAGCAGTATTACAGCTCTATGAAAGTGTTAATAGTCGTTTCTATACCAGCAGTATTACAGCTGTATGCAAGTGTTAATAGTCGTTTCTCTACCAGCAGTATTACAGCTGTATGCAAGTGTTAATAGTCATTTCTATACCAGCAGTATTACAGCTGTATGCAAGTGTTAATAGTCGTTTCCATACCGGCAGTATTACAGCTGTATGCAAGTGTTAATAGTCGTTTCTATACCAGCAGTATTACAGCTGTATGAAAGTGTTAATAGTCGTTTCTATACCAGCAGTATTACAGCTGTATGCAAGTGTTAATAGTCGTTTCTATACCAGCAGTATTACAGCTGTATGCAAGTGTTAATAGTCGTTTCTATACCAGCAGTATTACAGCTGTATGCAAGTGTTAATAGTTGTTTCCATACCTGCAGTATTACAGCTGTATGCAAGTGTTAATACTTGTTTCCATACCAGTCAGCAACTTTGACCACCTGATCCAGGCACCAAGCTGTTCTGGGACAAAATGTATTATAGTCTGGGTCCATACAGGATTACAGTTTTTCTACAAACTTTGAAATAATATGAATTGAAATAAAAAATTGAAAAAAACAGCCTCTTGTAAAACTATTTTAACACCAATTAATCATTGAAGTAACATTGAAGTGACATTGAAGTAACATTGAAGTAACATTTTGGGTGATGAAGAAGTTTGTTTGTAATGGATGAGCCAGTTGGTTGAGATGTCATATTTATTCACTAATATGCTACCTGCAGAAATATGGGGATGGTGAAATGAGTTTAATTCATACGGCTATTAGTGACAGGTCTGACATCTTTCAGGCCTATTTAAGCAGCCCCATGTCAATCTTTAAGATTTAGGCAGAATTTGACAGCTCCCGCCGCCACTGCCACTGCCATTACTGCTCTTTGTAGTTGAATCCATCCTGTTCTTAGACATCAGGGTCATAGTGAAGGTCATTTTCAAAGTAGGTCTGCCATTTTCACTAAAATGGTGTTACATGCAGATATTTTAAAGTTTTTTTTGTAGTGGTTAAATACTTATGTACGACAAGTGAAGACAAGGAATAAAGAAGTGTCATGTATTGATGTTCTTCCAACTTCTAAATGCCCGTCTTATGAAAACAGTAGTAGGTCATCATGACCTACTTTCAATGCGAGCACATGCTATATTTGTGTTTGAGGCTGTAGAAGACATACATCTCCACACACGGGATATAATGGTATGTGACAGGAAATACTGGTTAAGGGGCTGCTTGTTTTGGAAACAGTTTTCTAGTTATTGTCAAACAATGTTTCCCTCGGATTGAGGTGCCTCTCCTGAACAAGTGTCCCTTGATATTCTGTTGGTGGTATATCTACAAGTATGTGAGAAGTACTCACTCAAAAGTTGACAAATTGTCTTCTTAATCTTTAACAGTTTTCCTTCCAGTTTGGATGTTTGTACAATTGATATGTTCGGTTTCTTTACATCCTCATGTTCATCTAACATTTGTTTAATTCACAGGACCAATCTCAACGTAACAAATACTTATATCACACTCCTTTTCACAATATTTCATAAATCTTTTCATATATCATCTTGGGCATACATGTATTTTGATGAAAGATAAATGGTTACATTTTCTTGTCTGTCCTCAAATGTTTATCAATATTGTCGGTATTATTGATCAATTGATTTGTTCAGAAAAAGTCACATTATTTACATGTTAAACTTGTAATAGATTAGGAATTTGCCAACAACATGCCCCATTAATTTGTCTTCACTTATTGGTACTCTTCTACCTCTTGTCATCTCTGTCATGATATGGCTGAAAAACTGCCAATGTGACCTTGAATAATATCTCACTCACTCACTTGTCATCACTGTGTGACCCTAAACATGCATTACAGAAACGAGAAGTGGCCAGCGACCAAGCAAATCCTCCGCCCGGAGACCCGCGACGGGCAGCACACACCGAGCTCGCAGCGCAGTCGAAGCAGTAGCCGCTGCAAACCACGCGTCACCTGGGACACCTCACCCCCCGAGTCTCGACCTGAGAGCCAGTCGCCAGTCAAACACAGAGAAAAGTCTGACCTCTCGACCAACCACGTCCGGGTCAAGACCTGCCTCTAAGAGCATGACCGACATCAGAACCCCACGGTCTACCAGGGCTGTGGCAACACCCAAGTCCTCCAAGTCATGAACACTTTTATGTGTATACTGAAGCCAAGCTGTGATGTACTATATAATATTATAAGATTTTAATTGTGTTGCTTTGTTGCCAATATTTGATATTAATACATCATGCCACTACTACAGACTTTTTCATTGTTTGAAATCCAGTCATTTGTGAAACAAGTCAATGAAAACAGGCAAATATCATGGACACTGTGATCATGAAACATCTGGAATCTAGTTACCACAGACAACAAATGGGCTTCACACATTGTACCCATGTGGGGAATCGAACAATGACGTCACAATCAAAAGTTACAACCAATCCCACTGAAGTTGCATGATAAATAGTATCTCACTCTCTCGTGTCTTTTGATATAAAATATATCAACACTTGTCGATAAAATTTTCCAACTCCTTGGCAAACCTCAGAGTTTTATCAACTCATGATGATGTGTTTCATATCAAGAGACACTCATATATCAGGTGAGATTCAATATCCTGACTAGTAACCTTCGACATCAGTTAGGCATCAATATTCTTTTCAAATGAGCCGCAATTTTTGATATTTTTATACTAACTGTTTAAGTCATGTACACGGATGATGAATGTGTGAGAAGACTGTTGTGTATTTCAAGTAGGTTTAACGCCGCTTTTAACATTATTCCACTGCGTGTCAGCTTAATGTGGGAGGAAAGCCCGAAGTGATGCAGGTCTCAGACATTTACAACTTCCGTGAAACCTACGTGCACAGGTATGGTGCTGACAAACCTAGAAACAATCGGAGCGAACCCACAATCATAGGTTTCTGGTGTGCCCAAGAGACGCAACTCTGCAGAGGGAATCATGGCGCCTAAGACGACTGGGCCACCCGTGCCCCCAGAAAAAAAGAAACGATGAACGATGAAACAATAATAGCCTCATCTGGATGCTCTTCAAGTAGTTGCTACAACACATGACACACTCAACACATATTTTCCATCATTTATTGCGTTCAGTATATAAATACTTTATGTTACAATAATGACCTACTTTGTGATGTAAAGAATACCAGACATACATGACTTGAATTCATTTGTTCCCAAAGTCTGAAATGTGACAACACAGTCAAGTTAAAGAAGTGTCTCAACACGAAGAGATAGAAAGCAGATATAGGTGGCGCTACAATGTCTGCTCCAAACATCTCAGATCGTTTGCCTGTATGCTAGTTTACATGATCCCACGTATAAATATAATCTTGGAGTCAATCACAGCTGATGGTGACATATATACAAAACATGATTCCCCCCCATCCCTCCCCACAACTTTTGTTTTTGTTTAATGCCACACTCAGCAATATTCCAGCTATATGACGCCAGCATTGAAATAATCCAGTCTGGACCAGGCAATCCAGTGATCAATATTTAAAGCAACATTCCTCACTGTTGGTGTATGATGATGACACAATCCATGTCACCCAACCTGACCACTCCTTCAGACCAGCATCAGTTCCTTGGGGACCTGTTCTAACCCGGAATCCCCACGTGGTCTGCCCACAAGAAGATACACTGGTCAGTATTACTGCTGATTGATGCATCTCAACAGGGTTCATCACTACTCTGACCAACTTCTCCAGCCACGCCCCATCCAGATAGTTTCTAAAATGAAGTGTATTTAAGATGGGCTTATCTCTGCCATAAATGCTGGACTTCTTATTGGATCATAAAACAAACACTTCCTTCTCTGCCAGACTTTTGTGAGGGTGATAAAGTCCATCTGAAGTCATGATGGAGTATCGTTAACAGTAGCAATAACTTGAAGACAACATCTCCACAATAAGCTGCAAGACTGCTTTGCAGCAAAATAATACTCTTCACTCTATCCCTGTCACTTCCTACAATAGCCACAACACAAGTGGACACCTGCACAGACAAATCCATCTTGCAATAATTCAATAACAACATAATATAGGTTGTAATCTGTTACCAAGAGGTAATGGACCAATCCCGAGACAGTTTCCCGCTAATCTTGACCTCCATAATTAGAGGGGAGGTAAACATGAGGATATACCTACACCTGCTGCGGTGTATTGAAACACAAGAAATACAACATGCTGGGAAAGAATGTCAACACTTATATATGCATATAATATTCAATGTTCTCACAGTGACTTGCAAAACATTCATGCATAATCCATTCTTGGAATCGGCAACACCACCGAGATGCCTACATACAAGAGTCATCTACAAAATACTGTTGTAGAAAATAAACCCCAACCAAACTATATAAATCATTCAGACATTGTAAGGAAGAGAACAGCATGAAAGCCATCTGGTGCCTGGTGTTCCAGCCGTGCCTGGTGTTCCAGCCGTGCCTAGTGTTCCAGCCATCTGGTGCCTCGTGTTCAGCCATCTGGTGCCTCGTGTTCAGCCATGCCTGGTGGTGTGCAGCAGCTCTCAAGATTTACACCACATCCAAAAGCTGATAATTAACTTGTGGACTGGCAATCAATTGCAAAAAACTGACATTGATGAGGATGACACGAGTCTGAGTGTGATGCTGGATGTGACACAGGTGTGTTGTTAAGCTGACAGTGTGATGCTGGATGTGACGCAGGTGTGTTGTTAAGCAGAGATTGTGATGCTGGATATGACGCACGTTTTGTTAAGCTGAGAGTGTGATGCTGGATGTGACGCAGGTGTGTTGTTAAGCAGAGATTGTGATGCTGGATATGACGCACGTTTTGTTAAGCTGAGAGTGTGATGCTGGATGTGACGCAGGTGTGTTGTTAAGCTGAGAGTGTGATGCTGGATGTGACGCAGGTGTTGTTAAACTGAGAGTGTGATGCTGGATGTGACGCAGGTGTGTTGTTAAGCTGAGAGTGTGATGCTGGATGTGACGCAGGTGTGTTGTTAAGCTGGCAGTGTAATGTTGGATGTGACGCAGGTGTGTTGTTAAGCAGAGATTGTGATGCTGGATGTGACGCAGGTGTTGTTAAGCTGAGAGTGTAATGTTGGATGTGACGCAGGTGTGTTGTTAAGCTGAGAGTGTGATGCTGGATGTGATGCAGGTGTGTTAAGCTGAGAGTGTGATGCTGGATGTGACGCAGGTGTGTTGTTAAGCTGACAGTGTGATGCTGGATGTGACGCAGGTGTGTTGTTAAGCTGAGAGTGTGATGTTGGATGTGATGCAGGTGTGTTGTTAAGCTGACAGTGTGATGCTGGATGTGACGCAGGTGTGTTGTTAAACTGAGAGTGTGATGCTGGATGTGACGCAGGTGTGTTGTTAAGCTGACAGCGTGATGCTGGATGGGACGCAGGTGTGTTGTTAAGCTGAGAGTGTGATGCTGGATGTGACGCAGGTGTGTTGTTAAGCTGAGTGTGTGATGCTGGATGTGACGCAGGTGTTGTTAAGCTGACAGTGTGATGCTGGATGTGACGCAGGTGTGTTGTTAAACTGAGTGAAAGCATGACGTGAATAATGTTGAGCAGCAGTGTGTCCTCACTGTCATGTGTAAGTATGAGTGCCGTGAGTAGACAGTGTACATCTGTCTATCTTGCCATGACAGCATAGCGAAATACAAACGTTATAAAACTGAATTTCATTACAAAATGACCCCAATTATTAGTTAACATGACCACATATTTAGTGCATCTCTGTAGTTGTTGGTTGGAGTTGGAAACTAGGTCAAATGAAGTTGGAAACTAGGTCAAATGAAGTTGGAAACTAGGTCAACTCATTTAAGACCCTCAGCTTGCCTTGGTAACATTTCTGGCAATAACACGATAACATGTACAAGTTGTCAGCTCTGCAACTGACGGAGGATCCCATGGTTTTACACACTACATGTTTGGTATGTTGTGTACATCACAGTCAGGACAAGTCAGGGATTCCAACCCATGTTCAGTGGAGTCTCCCATGCCCACAAGTGTACCCCACCCCACCATGTTCAGTGGAGTCTCCCATGCCCACAACTCTACATGACATGTGTACCCCACCCCATCCGGCCCCACCCCATCCGGCCCCACCCCCCGCCCCCAACCCCACCATGTTCAGTGGAGTCTCCCCTGCCCACAACTCTTCACGACATGTGTACCCCCCACCCCGCCCCCCACCCCACCATGTTCAGTGGAATCTCCCCTGCCCACAACTCTTCACGACATGTGTACACGACATGTGTACCCCCCACCCCACCCCCCACCCCACCATGTTCAGTGGAGTCTCCCCTGCCCACAACTCTACACAACATGTGTACCCCACCCCGCCCCCACCCCACCATGTTCAGTGGAGTCTCCCCTGCCCACAACTCTACACAACATGTGTACCCCACCCCGCCCCCACCCCACCATGTTCAGTGGAGTATCCCCTGCCCACAACTCTACACGACAAGTGTACCCCACCCCACCCCGCCCCCCACCCCACCATGTTCAGTGAAGTCTCCCCTGCCCACAACTCTACACGAGTACCATGAGAGCTGGCAGCTTGCCTCAGTAACTGTAGGCTCTCTGAGTTAAATGGTCACCCATTTCTAACAAATCCTTGTATAATACCAAGCATTCATGTACCTTCTTGACTTGACTGTACTCCGGCTTCCCTCGGTTCATATCAAAGGGAACATGTGGAAGAAAATCATTAATTTCTGATAAAAAAGGAGAACGAAAAATGTTCATTCCACTCATACATAAGATGTTTTATAATGATGCCATACAAAATACCATGAACAACTTATTAAAAATTATTACCAGCGTCAAGACATTTGTACAATTTTGATATCCATAATCAAATATTTCATAATATACAAATTACAAAGAAACATGAGCTGACGACAGCTTCACACAAATGTACCAGGAAACATTCTGACCACTTGCTTGGAGTAATAGTTAGTTGTATGTATATATATATATATGCATATATACAATGATTTTCTGCTATCAGTTATCAATTTCACAATACAAGAAAACAAGTGTGAAGTACATTTCAAGCTACCAATTCATTCTGGTTCATAATCCTGGTATTGTTTCCCTGTGGGTTCTCGGGTTTACTGCTGTGTGTAGATGTGTTGACAGAAACAACCAACAGCCAGGATATTCACTGTTCATGCTGTATGCTAGAGAATAAAAGTTCATATTCACTCTAGGAATTATTGATCATATTAACTGTGTACCAGAGATGGTGGGTCATATTCACTGTATGCAAAGAAAAAAAAGGATCATATTTCTGTGTGCCAGGGAATAAAAGATCTTATTCACTGTATTCCAAGGAATAAAATAGTTTCACAGTAACCCTCCACTCTATAGCAATCATAATCAAGCTGAGAAACAAATGTAGTCTTCGAGTCGGAAATATGTTCTGCTCTGAAATAGCTCTGTTCACATCTGTCCATTACAAGCTTAAGTTTGACTGTGTTCTTAGAGTGAAGACTTCCTGGTTGTAAGGCTACATGTCAGATAAAGGAGAGAGGATCGATCATCGACTGACGAAGCATTTGCTGTTACTATACAGACCGATGACTATGTACACTATATACAGGGGCCAGTCAGCAACATGCAACGCGGCTGAGGTCATTATCAAGTTTACAAGATGAGCACTTCCTCCGGGGCAACCCAGAGCTATAATGAGGCTGACTCCACGACACAGAGAGGTCAACACTGGGCTTCCTCTTTCAATGCTGTGATACAGTTCTTGAGTAACTGGACTTGAGCCTGGAAAACAATATGAAAAAACATGTAGTTTGTTTGTTTCTTGTTTGACGCCACACTCAGCAATATTCCAGCCATATGACGTCAGTCTGTAAATAATGGAGTCTGGACCAGACAATCCAGTGATTGACATCATGAGCATCAATCCACGCAACTGGAATACAATGACATGCATCAACCAAGTCAGCGGGGTTGAACACCCGATCCTGTTAGTTGCCTCTTACGACAAACAGTCACCTTTTACAGCAAGCCTGGGTTGCTGAAGATCTAGTCAACCCTGTATCTTCACGGGTCCAGACAGACATGACTTATGGTATGTGGAGAAGAGAAGCTAGCATCAGTCCTCAATGATAAAAAGGTAGTAAACTCCTGTAATTTTATGCTATATCCATCAGCAAAAAACAAGTGAAGAGGATTTAGTCGGTTATTTGGCCTGCATCGACAGCCAGAAATAGAGGAGCTTACAGGATCATTTGGGAAATTAATCCCTGGTTGTCAGTGTGATAAGTAAACACTGAACACCTTGCCTACCTAACAACCAGCTGTTTCCTAATTGTTCAGCCATTGTGATAAAGTGAGGCTGGTGCCGTTGCCGTTGATACTGAGCCTGGAATTCCATGGCTGTTCTGCACATAGAAATTATGCATCAACCATAACATGGTTTAAGTCCCTCTATATGTTTATTCTCTGTTACACTGTCCCTACTATATGTGCATGACGATCATGGATCATTGCACTTCTACACTTCCGACTGTCTACACGTCTGCTGGCCCCGAGTTCTCTCACCTTTGCATGTTTCATTTCCAACTCTGCTAAGTCCACCATGTTTTTCCTAAAATATGCTATTCTCCGTGTCTTAAACTCTGTTAATTCTGTAATAAACAACAGTAGCGTCATGACTTGTACAATAAAAACAAAGAACTGAAAGTTCATTCTGACACATGTTGGAAGAGTTCATTCTGACACATGTTGGAAGAGTTCATTCTGACACATGTTGGAAGAGTTCATTCTGACACATAAAGAAGAGTTCATTGTGACCAGGCCTCAAAGTTTAATTTTTTAACTAGTAGCCATATGGCTACGAGTACTTTTTTCCAGGTAGCCACTTGTAAAATTAACAAGACAAGCCAAAATTTTAGGTAGCCAAAAACATTTTTAAGAACTTTTATCAAATAACTATCATAATATTTTTACAAGTCATAGCACTTGAAATTGCTTGAAATTGTATATTAGTGGAAACTGTACATGATTTTTGTCATTTGTGTTATTCAAAGTTATAAGACATTGAAAGCTAATACTGGTATTGTACATGGTGTTACAGTTTCATTATGGAATGAATATTGTTCCAGGTTCACATAGCAACAAATGTGTGCAACTTAGCAGCAATTAGCAACAATTAAATAATTTATTTCCGACAAAAGGTGCTCATCAACATGAAAAAATACCTCCGTTTTCTAAGCTTCTAATGAATAACATGTTCCACGAAGACTGTCATATGACACACCGCAAAGATTGTATATTCATCTACATGATCATAACATACTATTGTATTGGATAAAAATTGGTTTGTAATGATGCTTTCTTGTCGAAATATGCTACAAGGTCTGTGATTGGTCAAATTTGAGCATGTGAGGCAGCCAATCAAACTACAGCTATGGTACTGTCCGCGTGTGTGTTGAATTTCAGATTTTGATGAAAGATTTTTGTTAAATCTTGTTATTCCTAACGTTATGAGGCAGGAAATTGTGATCTATATTAAAAATATGGACCTTCATGGATGTATCACGCTAGGTTATGAGCTGTGATAAAGAGTTTTCATGAATATATTTTGGCATTAAACATTGTGTCCAAGCTGAGAAATCGAGGTGACGAAAGTTGAGATGTCATTTGACATGGACATTTCATGCAATCGCAGGAAAAGATCGAAATAATAACTTCGATTTTACAACTTTTAGAAATATTTTTGTTGATTGTTATTTTACTTAGTATAATACAATTAAAGATTTGCTTGAAACGTCTTTATTTCGCTCTTTGACATGATCAATGTGGACCCGTTATCGAAGTGAACTGTGTGTCCGAGAATTATATTTTCAATAACAGGAAATAGTGGATATTTTTTTAATCTATCGATACAAAATTATAAATAGCAATGAAATACGAATTTCAGACATTGTGAAATGTGACAAATTTAATAAATGCTTGATATGACAGGTAGGTTCATAAAATAATATATACTATTTTGAGGTGACTACGGCTTGGCCGGCTTACCGACCTACAGTGTCTGGGGACTCGAGGCTTTGGTGTTGAAAGAGTTTACGTAACTGAATTCCTCGTAATGCTGCATTGAGATATGGGAATATTAATGAACGATGAGTACGGTAAATGCGTACCATTGGGACCGTGAAAACACTGGTAATCGTGAAAATAGCGTCACAAAATTAATGTCAATCAAATTATTTATGCTTGTGTCAAGGTAGATCTATGTGAAGCAATAGAATTTAGTCACCACAAGATATTTTTCAAGGTAGCCATTTGGCTACCTCTGAATTTTAGTCAGTAGACAAATTGAAATTTAGGTCGCATTGGCAACCGTTTTAGTCACAACTTTGAGGCCTGATGACACATGTTGGAAGAGTTCATTCTGACAGATGTTGGAAGAGTTCATTCTGACAGATGTTGGAAGAGTTCATTCTGACACATACCTTTCTTTGCCATCTCAGATATTTTTTCAAACTTCTTGCAACATATCTCCTGTGTTTTCTCAGCCTGAAGAACAAAGGGTGAACATGGGTAAGAGCTCAAAAACACCTCGCTTGCTGATACAACCTTCTTATGCTTTTACCAGACAATTAGCAGAATGGAACTACCAAAACAGTATGTGAGTGAGTGAGTTGGGTTTAATGCCGCTTTTAACAGTATTCCAGTCATATCGCGGCGTGTCAGCTTAATGTGGGAGGAAAGCCCGAAGTGATGCAGGTCTCAGACATTTACCACTTCAGTGAAACCCACGAGCACGGGTATGGTGCTGACAAACCTAGAAACATAATTGGGGCGAACCGGAATTCGAACCCACAATCATAGGTTTCTGGCGTGCCAAAGGGACACAACTCTGCACAGCAAATCGTGGCAACTTAGACGACTGGGCCACCCATGCCCCCCCCAAACAGTATGACCTGTACACAATGTACACTGAGAGTCATGAACGACCTGTACACAATGTACAGTGAGAGTCATGAACGACCTGTACACAATGTATAGTGAGAGTCATGAATGACCTGTACACAATGTACAGTGAGAGTCATGAATGACCTGTACACAATGTACAGTGAGTCATGAATGAAGTGTACACAATGTACAGTGAATCATGAATGACATGTATACAAGGTACAGTGAGAGTCATGAATGACCTGTACACAATGTACAGTGAGAGTCATGAATGACATGTACACAATGTACAGTGAGTCATGAATGATGTGTACACAATGTACAGTGAGAGTCATGAATGACATGTACACAGTGTACAGTGAGAGTCATGAATGACATGTAACAATGTACAGTGAGAGTCATGAATGATGTGTACACAATGTACAGTGAGTGTCATGAATGACATGTACACAATGTACAGTGAGAGTCATGAACGACGTGTACACAATGTACAGTGAGTCATGAATGACATGTACACAATGTACAGTGAGAGTCATGAATGATGTGTACACAATGTACAGTGAGTCGTGAATGACATGTACACAATGTACAGTGAGTGTCATGAATGATGTGTACACAATGTACAGTGAGTCATGAATGATGTGTACACAATGTACAGTGAGTCATGAATGACCTGTACACAATGTACAGTGAGAGTCATGAATGATGTGTACACAATGTACAGTGAGAGTCATGAATGATGTGTACACAAAGTACAGTGAGTGTCATGAATGACGTGTACACAATGTACAGTGAGAGTCATGAATGACATGTACACAATGTACAGTGAGAGTCATGAATGACGAGTACACAATGTACAGTGAGAGTCATGAATGACATGTACACAAGGTACAGTGAGTGTCATGAATGATGTGTACACAATGTACAGTGAGAGTCATGAATGACATGTACACAATGTACAGTGAGAGTCATGAATGATGTGAACACAATGTACAGTGAGTGTCATGAATGACATGTACACAATGTACACTGAGAGTCATGAATGACATGTACACAAGGTACAGTGAGTGTCATGAATGATGTGTACACAATGTACAGTGAGTGTCATGAATGACATGTACACAATGTACAGTGAGAGTCATGAACGACGTGTACACAATGTACAGTGAGTCATGAATGACATGTACACAATGTACAGTGAGAGTCATGAATGACGAGTACACAATGTACAGTGAGAGTCATGAATGACATGTACACAATGTAAAGTGAGTCATGAATGATGTGTACACAATGTACAGTGAGTCGTGAATGACATGTACACAATGTACAGTGAGTGTCATGAATGATGTGTACACAATGTACAGTGAGTCATGAATGATGTGTACACAATGTACAGTGAGAGTCATGAATGATGTGTACACAAAGTACAGTGAGTGTCATGAATGACGTGTACAAAATGTACAGTGAGAGTCATGAATGACATGTACACAATGTACAGTGAGAGTCATGAATGACGAGTACACAATGTACAGTGAGAGTCATGAATGACATGTACACAAGGTACAGTGAGTCATGAATGACGTGTACACAATGTACAGTGAATCATGAATGACATGTATACAAGGTACAGTGAGAGTCATGAATGACCTGTACACAATGTACAGTGAGAGTCATGAATGACATGTACACAATGTACAGTGAGTCATGAATGATGTGTACACAATGTACAGTGAGAGTCATGAATGACATGTACACAGTGTACAGTGAGAGTCATGAATGACATGTACACAATGTACAGTGAGAGTCATGAATGATGTGTACACAATGTACAGTGAGTGTCATGAATGACATGTACACAATGTACAGTGAGAGTCATGAACGACGTGTACACAATGTACAGTGAGTCATGAATGACATGTACACAATGTACAGTGAGAGTCATGAATGATGTGTACACAATGTACAGTGAGTCATGAATGATGTGTACACAATGTACAGTGAGTCGTGAATGACATGTACACAATGTACAGTGAGTGTCATGAATGATGTGTACACAATGTACAGTGAGTCATGAATGATGTGTACACAATGTACAGTGAGAGTCATGAATGACATGTACACAATGTACAGTGAGAGTCATGAATGACGAGTACACAATGTACAGTGAGAGTCATGAATGACATGTACACAAGGTACAGTGAGAGTCATGAATGACGAGTACACAATGTACAGTGAGAGTCATGAATGACATGTACACAAGGTACAGTGAGTGTCATGAATGATGTGTACACAATGTACAGTGAGAGTCATGAATGACATGTACACAATGTACAGTGAGAGTCATGAATGATGTGAACACAATGTACAGTGAGTGTCATGAATGACATGTACACAATGTACACTGAGAGTCATGAATGACATGTACACAAGGTACAGTGAGTGTCATGAATGATGTGTACACAATGTACAGTGAGTGTCATGAATGACGTGTACACAATGTACAGTGAGTGTCATGAATGACATGTACACAATGTACACTGAGAGTCATGAATGAGATGTACACAATGTACAGTGAGTGTCATGAACGACGTGTACACAATGTACAGTGAGTCATGAATGACATGTACACAATGTACATAGAGAGTCATGAACAACGTGAACACAATGTACATAGAGAGTCATGAACAACGTGAACACAATGTACAGTGAGAGTCATGAACAACGTGAACACAATGTACAGTGAGAGTCATGAACAACGTGAACACAATGTACATAGAGAGTCATGAACAACTTGAAAACAATGTACAGTGTCATGAACAACGTGAACACAATGTACAGTGAGAGTCATGAATGAGATGTACACAATGTACAGTGAGTGTCATGAACGACGTGTACACAATGTACAGTGAGTCATGAATGACATGTACACAATGTACATAGAGAGTCATGAATGACATGTACACAAGGTACAGTGAGTGTCATGAATGATGTGTACACAATGTACAGTGAGAGTCATGAATGACATGTACACAGTGTACAGTGAGAGTCATGAATGATGTGAACACAATGTACAGTGAGTGTCATGAATGACATGTACACTGAGAGTCATGAATGACATGTACACAATGTACAGTGAGTGTCATGAATGATGTGTACACAATGTACAGTGAGTGTCATGAATGACGTGTACACAATGTACAGTGAGTGTCATGAATGACATGTACACAATGTACAGTGAGAGTCATGAACGACGTGTACACAATGTACAGTGAGTCATGAATGACATGTACACAATGTACAGTGAGAGTCATGAATGATGTGTACACAATGTACAGTGAGTCATGAATGATGTGTACACAATGTACAGTGAGTCGTGAATGACATGTACACAATGTACAGTGAGAGTCATGAATGATGTGTACACAATGTACAGTGAGTCATGAATGATGTGTACACAATGTACAGTGAGAGTCATGAATGATGTGTACACAAAGTACAGTGAGTGTCATGAATGACGTGTACACAATGTACAGTGAGAGTCATGAATGACATGTACACAATGTACAGTGAGAGTCATGAATGACGAGTACACAATGTACAGTGAGAGTCATGAATGACATGTACACAATGTACAGTGAGTCATGAATGACGTGTACACAATGTACAGTGAATCATGAATGACATGTATACAAGGTACAGTGAGAGTCATGAATGACCTGTACACAATGTACAGTGAGAGTCATGAATGACATGTACACAATGTACAGTGAGTCATGAATGATGTGTACACAATGTACAGTGAGAGTCATGAATGACATGTACACAGTGTACAGTGAGTCATGAATGACATGTACACAATGTACAGTGAGAGTCATGAATGATGTGTACACAATGTACAGTGAGTGTCATGAATGACATGTACACAATGTACAGTGAGAGTCATGAACGACGTGTACACAATGTACAGTGAGTCATGAATGACATGTACACAATGTACAGTGAGAGTCATGAATGATGTGTACACAATGTACAGTGAGTCATGAATGATGTGTACACAATGTACAGTGAGTCGTGAATGACATGTACACAATGTACAGTGAGTGTCATGAATGATGTGTACACAATGTACAGTGAGTCATGAATGATGTGTACACAATGTACAGTGAGTCATGAATGACCTGTACACAATGTACAGTGAGAGTCATGAATGATGTGTACACAATGTACAGTGAGAGTCATGAATGATGTGTACACAAAGTACAGTGAGTGTCATGAATGACGTGTACACAATGTACAGTGAGAGTCATGAATGACATGTACACAATGTACAGTGAGAGTCATGAATGACGAGTACACAATGTACAGTGAGAGTCATGAATGACATGTACACAAGGTACAGTGAGTGTCATGAATGATGTGTACACAATGTACAGTGAGAGTCATGAATGACATGTACACAATGTACAGTGAGAGTCATGAATGATGTGAACACAATGTACAGTGAGTGTCATGAATGACATGTACACAATGTACATAGAGAGTCATGAATGACATGTACACAAGGTACAGTGAGTGTCATGAATGATGTGTACACAATGTACAGTGAGTGTCATGAATGACATGTACACAATGTACAGTGAGAGTCATGAACGGCGTGTACACAATGTACAGTGAGTCATGAATGACATGTACACAATGTACAGTGAGAGTCATGAATGATGTGTACACAATGTACAGTGAGTCATGAATGATGTGTACACAATGTACAGTGAGTCGTGAATGACATGTACACAATGTACAGTGAGTGTCATGAATGATGTGTACACAATGTACAGTGAGTCATGAATGATGTGTACACAATGTACAGTGAGAGTCATGAATGATGTGTACACAAAGTACAGTGAGTGTCATGAATGACGTGTACACAATGTACAGTGAGAGTCATGAATGACATGTACACAATGTACAGTGAGAGTCATGAATGACGAGTACACAATGTACAGTGAGAGTCATGAATGACATGTACACAAGGTACAGTGAGTGTCATGAATGATGTGTACACAATGTACAGTGAGTGTTATGAATGACGTGTACACAATGTACAGTGAGAGTCATGAATGATGTGAACACAATGTACAGTGAGTGTCATGAATGACATGTACACAATGTACACTGAGAGTCATGAATGAGATGTACACAATGTACAGTGAGTGTCATGAACGACGTGTACACAATGTACAGTGAGTGTCATGAATGATGTGTACACAATGTACATAGAGAGTCATGAACAACGTGAACACAATGTACAGTGAGAGTCATGAACAACGTGAACACAAGGTACAGTGAGAGTCATGAACAACGTGTACACAATGTACATAGAGAGTCATGAACAACGTGAACACAATGTACATAGAGAGTCATGAACAACGTGAACACAAGGTACAGTGAGAACACACCTGTTGGACTTCTTTGTTCTTGGTTCTGGCCTTCTCGAGTGCCTTGTTGGCGGCTTCGTAGTCAGCGAGTGAGCGTGTCCGGCGATACAAGAGGTCTTTAGCTGCTGAGGAGTCCCTCATGTAATACCGCAGTGTGTCACTCAACTTGAGGTCTTCGTCTGATGCTACTCGACCCTCCAGTTTCTGCAAGACACAGATATGTGTTAAAGTGAATTGGTGTCATCTTCAAACTAGAAAACATAATCTGCATTGTCAGGTTTGTATTTGCTCCGACAGCTGACGCAATCACATTAACATGAGTGAGTTGATTAGCTGAGTGGTTGAGTGGGTGAGTGGATTGTCTGGTCCAGACTCAATTATTTACACACTGCCGTCATATAGCTGGAAAATTGCTGAGTTTGGGGGTTAAACAAACAAAAACACAAACAACAAGGCTACTTACAGAATACTGAAACTCGTTGACTTTAACACAGTGCTGACATATATCCCACAATTGTATTAAGAGAATGCCACTAACATGTCTTTTATTATCAAATCAAATACCTACAGACGAAGAGCCAGACAATCTCGTGATTGACATCATGAGCATCAATCCACACAATTCACATCCCAAATGCATGGATCAATGCTCATGGTGTTAATTACTGGATTGTCTGGTCCAGACTCGATAAATTACAGACTGCAGTAATTATAGCCGAAATATTGCTGAGTGCAGCATTAAACAACAAACATCACTAAAACAGTGTCTGTAGACTTTTAATGCCACTCCATGATCCATCCTGTCCCATCCTGTCCCACCTTGCCCCACCCTGTTCCACCCTGTCCCACCCTGTCTCACCTTGTCCCACCCTGTCCCTCCCTGTTCCACCTTGTCCCACCCTGTTCCACCCTGCCCCATCTTGTCCCACCCTGCCCCACCCTGTCCCACCCTGTTCCACCTTGTCCCACCCTGCCCCACCCTGTTCCACCTTGTCCCACCCTGTTCCACCCTGCCCCACCTTGTCCCACCCTGCCCCACCCTGTTCCACCTTGTTCCACCCTGCCCCACCTTGTCCCACCCTGCCCCACCCTGTTCCACCTTGTCCCACCCTGTCCCACCTTGTCCCACCTTGTCCCACCCTGTCCCACCCTGTCCCAACTTACCCTGGCTTTCTCCAAGGCTTCAGCCACTTTTGTGAAAATTCTGAAAAGGGAAAATATTTAGGTGATTATTAGAGGGATCAGATGGGGCAGAAGAATCCTTAGTTGTCATGAACAAACACAAGAGAGGCAACAGTTGGAATCACATCTACACATTCAAATGAAGCATACAGTATCAGGATTGAAGGACTTTTACAATGATCACTTCAACAGTCGGTAGCTGCTGAAGATCACATGAAATTATAAATGTTTTCCATGACTTACTTATTTAGTTCAGTATTTTCAATAGTTGCTAGCTGCACTAATCCGGATGATATTTGAATATATGTGTCAGCAACATCTGAAATAAAGAACACAAAGCAATGACTTCATTTGTTAACATAACACTGAGTGGTAGCTGATGTGTAAACTGGAAGTGTTTGGAAGTACTTATCTACTCAAGTTAATGGGCGCTGTACATTATATACGACATGGAGAAAAACTTGGGGTTTCAGGATACAAGCAAATAGTAAGTAATACATGCCCCTTTACTCAGAAACTGACAAATGATATACACCTCGAAAACATGTTTTACAAAAATCTCAAATTAGTCAGTAAAAAGCCCCACTGTCAGTGAAATGTCACAGTGTCAGAAAAGCCACAGGGTCAGAGAAAAGCCACAGGGTCAGAGAAAAGCTACAGGGTCAGAGAAAAGGTTCAGGGTCAGAGAAAAGCCACAGGGTCAGAGAAAAGCCACAGGGTCAGAGAAAAGCTCCAGGGTCAGCGAAAAGGCTCAGGGTCAGAGAAAAGCTACATGGTCAGAGAAAAGCCACAGGGTCAGAGAAAAGACACAGGGTCAGAGAAAAGGCTCAGGGTTAGAGAAAAGCTACATGGTCAGAGAAAAGCCACAGGGTCAGAGAAAAGGCTCAGGGTCGGAGAAAAGCCACAGGGTCTGAGAAAAGCCACAGGGTCAGAGAAAAGGCTCAGGGTCAGAGAAAAGCCACAGGGTCAGAGAAAAGGCTCAGGGTCAGAGAAAAGCCACAGGGTCAGAGAAAAGCCACAGGGTAAGAGAAAAGCCACAGGGTCAGAGAAAAGCCACAGGGTAAGAGAAAAGGCTCAGGGTCAGAGAAAAGCCACAGGGTCAGAGAAAAGCCACAGGGTCAGAGAAAAGCTACATGGTCAGGGAAAAGGCTCAGGGTAAGAGAAAAGGCTCAGGGTCAGAGAAAAGCGACATGGTCAGAAAAGCCACAGGGTCAGAGAAAAGCTACATGGTCAGAGAAAAGGCTCAGGGTCAGAGAAAAGCCACATGGTCAGAGAAAAGCCACAGGGTCAGAGAAAAGCCACAGGGTCAGAGAAAAGCTACATGGTCAGGGAAAAGGCTCAGGGTAAGAGAAAAGGCTCAGGGTCAGAGAAAAGCCACAGGGTCAGAGAAAAGCCACAGGGTCAGAGAAAAGCCACAGGGTCAGAGAAAAGCTACATGGTCAGGGAAAAGGCTCAGGGTAAGAGAAAAGGCTCAGGGTCAGAGAAAAGCCACAGGGTCAGAGAAAAGGCTCAGGGTCAGAGAAAAGCCACATGGTCAGAAAAGCCACATGGTCAGAGAAAAGCTACATGGTCAGAGAAAAGCCACAGGGTCAGAGAAAAGCCACAGGGTCAGAGAAAAGCTACATAGTCAGAGAAAAGGCTCAGGGTCAGAGAAAAGCCACAGGGTCAGAGAAAAGCTACATAGTCAGAGAAAAGGCTCAGGGTCAGAGAAAAGCTGCAGGGTCAGTTTCAAGCCAGTGCTCACAGTTTCAGTAAACCAACAGACTGTGAAGTGCTTCCAGCCTCCACTTACTTTTATGTGTTCTTGTCATCCTGTCAGACTTGCCAGTGCTGTCTTTGATCTTCACGTGGTAGTCCACCAAAAATACTTTTTCAGCTTCAAAAAAGTCATCCACATCCTATAACAAATGATATAAGATTTTTACTTTGTTCCCTCTAGAAAGTTCTAAACACAAATGATCTTTAGTAATGACAAATAAAATATAGTTTTGATCAACACACTTACGTGAAAGAACATGTACAGAAAGAGTTTCAATTATTGCGTGTTGTTAAACACCAGTCAGCCATATTACAGCTGTAGCATGGTGGGCCAGACAAACCAGTGGTGGATATAATGAGCAGCCTCCCCTGACACACAGCCAATCAAGTGAGTGCGTACAACCGAAGTTACTTCACATTGTCATTACTGTATACATGGTGGACATCTTACCTTTTGGGATGACAGCAGCACCTCGTCTGCAGATTTGGTTATTGTTCTGAAAAATCCACCTAGTTTCTCTCGCTTGTTTTTCCCCCGCACGCTCAGCTAGAAATAAGCCCAAACATACAGCACCATGACAACCACATGTGAAACAAACCAGTGCCAAGAACAATGAATCATCTATTCCATTCTTTAAACAAATCAAATATGAAAATACTTTAAACTGGTATGAACATGGGGGAAAACCTTCTTGTTATGTCTCGATAAGCACAGGAATAGGAACTCCTCGCATAAAATATTCCACATACATCACCATCGAACTCCAGGAACACCTCAAAGTTGACATCGTTCCGGAGAGCCGGGTGGGCTGCCAACCTCTGCAGGAACACTTCATGCATAGCCACGGTCTTCTTGAAGGTCGCCAGGTACTCTCTGTAACACATGTTTACATCCACAATTACACAGCTGGAACTCGCACAGTCTGTGCGCCTCATTAGAATGTTGGTGGATAAGAGATTATTTGTTTGGGCTGCAGTTGGCAACATTCCTGCTATGAATCAGGAAGCACTGTGACCAATTGGTACCCAGTCCTCTCTTATAAGCAAGCCCATTAAACTTGCTTCTTACAAGTACATGAAGTTCAGAAAGCAGTGATAGGTGCAAATCATCCACCAAGTCGACTCTTACAAGCATAGAATAAGAAAGCAGTGATGGGTCTAAAACATTTATTAAAGTTGCCTCTTACAAGCACAGAATTTTGAAAGTTTCCAATAAATTGTATGTTTATATACTGTAAGGTCTTTGAGCCCACATAACATACAACACAGAGGTACGAACACAAGGCGTTTACTTGACAAGGACAATAACGAGACTGGTTACAATCGAAATCGGATCACGCGTCATAGTCTATGATTCCACGTGCAGCCACACACTACTGTTGGGGACCGTTGCGTTCGGGCGAAGCTGTCCAGTACCGAGAACAACCTCACAATACTTATCTCATCTCACACTAAGCATTTCTTCTTTCAATCCTATGTAAAATCATGCTTGAACAAAGTTCCCAGCTTTTGAGAAACAAATGGAGAGGAGTATGTGCGTGACCCATTTGTTGACCCGTGCAGATGCTGGGTGTGTTTGGGTCAACTGTTTTTAGAAGCTGGAAACTTTGTTCAAGCACATTTCCACATAGGATCGAAGGAGAAATAAGAAGGAATGCATAGTGAGAGATCAAAAATTCAGAAAGCAGCATTAGGTATAAATCATCCATTGAAGTCGCCTCCTACCCAGGATTCAGAAAGCAGTGATGGGTGTACATCATTCATGACACTCGCCTCTTACAAGCACAGGATTCAGAAAGCAGTGATGGGTGTACATCATTCATGACACTCGCCTCTTACAAGCACAGGATTCAGAAAGCAGTGATGGGTGTACATCATTCATGACACTCGCCTCTTACAAGCACAGGATTCAGAAAGCAGCGATGGGAGTACATCATTCATGACACTCGCCTCTCACAAGCACAGGATTCAGAAAGCAGCGATGGGAGTACATCATTCATGACACTCACCTCTTACAAGCACAGGATTCAGAAAGCAGTGATGGGTGTACATCATTTATGACAATATGATTTTGCTTACGCTTCCAGTTCCTGCTTCATCTTGGTGAACTCCTCCCTTGTCATGGTACCCTCCCCCTCTCCCAGTCTCTGCAGCTTCTCCCGCGAGGCATCAAAGTCAGGCTTGGGTGGCGCCGGGGGGATCTACACCAGACATTATTGCACTGTGTTATCTCCCATTAAACTCACATATGTATTTCAAGAGACTTCAGTCAATGTTAGCGGTTAAAACAAGAAGATCCAGATTATTAGAAGATGAGAAGATAAACTTCTAGTGTTATCATGGTTATATTAACACATGTTATTGTTGCATCAACAATGATTTTAAAATCAAAATTTACACACAAAAAAACTTACAATGATTCCAGCATATTCTTCATTCTCCCCATATCTGTCATGAAGCCAAATAAATTCTTCATGTTGACGAACAACTGAAAACTCAGGGTTTCTGAACTGTTGCAAAGTGGTCTGAAAGTAAAATAAGTACTATTCAGTTTTCTCTTTTCTTGGCTGGAACAAAACATCAATAGAAGATGATGCTACAGCTAGCATAGTGAGTCACCGGCTTGCTTGTCTGGCTCACTGACATTCAGAATCAGGACTAGACTATGCCACTCAACAAACTTGTGCTTGAATCTCCACTTTTCATTTTTCATAATTTGATTTGGAGACAAAAAGAGCCTGAAAACCCTTGTTGCCCCCTTTACTTCGTCAATTATCTGACATGCCCGTTGATGGATTTACACATTTCAACATTAGCCAATCGTAACAAGAATCCGTCAAGTATTGCCATCAGCACATCTGCTTCGGTAGTTTTGTAACAAAGCTCCTCACAGCAATAAATCCTCCCTTGAACTCTAATCTGGGAGGTAAATGAAGGTGTCAGGCAATGGGGTGGAGCTTGCTTTGTAACATGCACACGAACAACTCCAGATGTTAACATGATGGCCATATGCTGGGTGATGCATCCAACCGTAGGGACATATTGTCAAAACAGGCTTTTCCTCGTATGTCAGAAAGTCATATCAATCTTAATCCTACACCCAAACAAATAGTTCATTACCAACCTTTGTGTGAACAGTGAACTTGACCTTATCTCTCTCACTCAGAGCATCAGAAATGTCCACAAGAAGTGAGGTGTCTGTCAAGTCCACAGTGTCAGATCGACCCTGGAAAAGAAGAGATAAATGTGCTCATTCCACCAAAGATATTTTTAATGGATATATGTCTCACTATGAATTGCCATTACTTGTACAGACGCTGAACGTAGAAACCCATGAGGTGGAACTCTGTACATGGACAAGTATAAGCAGATAATGGATGTGAAAATGTCGGGGAATCTTGGAATCTATCAATGCAGTAACTTGGTTTGTTAATGTTATAGTCCATGGCTGAGTTACCTCCCTTTAAATGAAGGCAAATGACATAACCTCTAGACACAATCTCATTAAAATCAGATCTTAGTTCTCACTACAGCTAAACAAAGATCTGAGGACATCCCATTACGGACTGACCTTGCGCGAAGTTTGACCGACTAATGGAATGACCAATCAGAAGGCAGCTTTCTCGTGCTTTACGGCACTAATTTAAATTGGTAACTACACTTCAAAACATATTTTGAGAAATTCTCGATTACAAATTTGAAACCTGAACAAAAGAACATTCTGGAATGGCTATCCTTGGTAAATAAACATCAATCTATCAGTCTTTCCCTACTTCTAATAAACAGCTTATGCTTAGGTTTTGTCATTTTGTCTGTAATATTTCACGACAATGACTTGTGAGCAATTTTTCAGATATATTTCAATTCTTTTAGCAGAATAGATTAAATCTTCAGAAATATGTACACATTGTGATTAGGACTACATTGATCCATGTGGAAGTGTTCAAGACGAGGACGAGTCACTTGATTAAGTCCAACACTGCAAGGGATGCTGATGATAGACCAATACATGAATACAAACAACAAACACAAACTCGGAGAAATCACTGTGATTGCATGAGAGGGTGAGTTTAATTACGCGGCTTTTAGCAACATTCCAGCAATATCATGGCAGGGGACACCAGAAATGGGCTTCACACATTGTACACATGTTGGAAATATAAGCCGGTTCTTCATCGTGAGGAGCAAATGCTTTAACCACAAGGCTACCTACCCTACCACCCCCAGGAACCACTGGGTCTGGCGTTTACACTGATTGTTGCCACACCCTACAGCAGCAGCAGCAGTGATTGGCATGCTGACTGTATACCCGGAAGGATCTGAATGCCTTGTGCCAGTTTTTGTCTTTATTTGTATAAAATGTACTGATAGGTTGTCACAACTGCATGGTGCAAAAAGAACCACATTTAAGAATCATAACTTAAGCTTCACAATTTTGTAAAGTCGAGGTTTGGCATCATTGAAATTTATATCTCCTGGCTATCGAACAAAAAAAGCATTTTGTCTTAATAAGTACTGTTCTGACGTGACCCGTAATGGGATGTCCTCAGATCTTTGTTTAGCAGTAGCTAACTAACATCTGATTTTAATGAGATTGTGTTTTCTGGTATAACCCTACACTTGTATATTTGTGGTCATTCACTTTACGCTCAGTTAATGAATTTATTACAGGTATAATGAGTGTTAGCACCACTCACATTACTTGATAAAGCTTCCCATTCGGCATTTCTTGTGTGTGGGGTAATTATTTAATCTAAATCCATGTTTGAAGTGAGGTGAAATGTGTGTTATGTAATATGCACGTGGCAGCCCAGCAAGAGATGAATGATCAGTTGATTTACTTTTTTTGTAAATCAATGGATCATTCCTAGCCATCAAAGGATCAACAGAAAATATATTGATTGATTAATCATAGTTATCTTGCACAGTGGATATGTCAAAGTAAGTGTGTAGGTTCACTAAAGCAAAGGGAATACACTCATATCATGGCGTGGGGTGCAGATGTAAAAACAGCATACTTGTTCAAAGGGTTAACCGATAATATGTTGATTGATTGCTCATTGTTATCTAACTCAATGGATTTTTTTAAAAGAAACGTGGATATTATGAAAATAGTTGTCACGTGGGCTTTCTCAGCTGACCATTGAGAAACGAACATGGGTTATAATATCCTGAAACGATATATATATTTTAAAATATTTGATTAATAAAGAGACACGTGACATCAAATAAGTTTCTTTGTACACCTTCAGACATATGGGATATTGTTCCTTTATGTGGATATTCACAGATACATTCCTCGAACAAGGAAGCCGCCTAAAATATATAACTTTGGTAGGTTGTCATTATGATATTTGCCTTTTGTTTTCATTCTTTTGCTGTAGCATTGAACAGAATCATTCTTATTCCTTTACATCTTGGTTGGGAAGTTCTTCGATGCGCGATAGACGTTGTTTTCATAAGTCTTTTCCTTTGTAAGCGTGTATATGTTACAGTCAATGTGTAAAATGTGATTCACTCAGGCAATTTATAAAATGTCTAGATTTTTCAGTCATTTTACAAATTGACTGAACAATCTGTCCATTTATTTAACAGAATGACTAAAAATTATTAAGACGGTCAAAAACATCACAATAGATTAATTATGCTAGGATTAGAAGCCAAACGATATACCAAATGTACTTTTAATCCTAACATTTTCAGTGACTTGGTGATATATTAAACATAAAAATGTTTGGAATTCTTAATCATAATAATACAGATGAACATATTTTTCAGTCAATTTGTAAAGTAACTGAATACTTTGGCATTTAATAAATTTCCTAGGTGAAAGTTTTGCACATTTTGACTGTAAACATTTGCTTTAGATCAGTGCCCCTTTAAGTTCGTTGTCATCAAACGACTAAGTCTAATAATATCAGAACATCTAGAAATTTACTGGAATTAAAACCTTTTCAGAACACTGACACAAAATATGCACAAGTTTTCTAATAAGAAAATTGGACCAGAAAATAGGTACAGTATGATCTTATTTCTTAAACAGTGTTTATCAAGTGTTCTTGAACAGTGTTTATTATGTTAATAAACTTTGTAAAAGATGATGACAACAAATTCACTCTCTAAAATGGCACCTGTTATAGAAATATGCATAGAAGAGCAATAAATAGTATGCATATGCTTGGAAATGTGCTATTTGGTTCTGATATTTGACAGAAATTAACTATTCCACAATAACCCACGAGACTACTGCTTATTTGGAATAATGTTAATTTAGTATAATGAAATCTTTTTTGAGTGACAGCAAATGTCTTACCCACTCGATAAAATCTGTGTTTATTTAATAATAATATGCCTCTCAAACCTCCACTTTTTTACACTTTGTCAATATTACTGACAGTCATCCATATTTGACTTCAGAAACCACCCACCTCGGTGATCATCCGATAACCTGAATGAAATGCATCATACAATAAACCTGTCATAAGCTGTCACTGATAACACATACACAAAACCAAGAATGACCTCTTCTTTAATTATCTACCTAATATGCGCGGATCACGGCATGCACCTGTCAACCGAAGGTTTAGCGTTTATTGCATATCCTATTTCCTAGTTGGGTCGCAGGTAGGCGTTGCTACCCACCAAAACCGGCGTTCACACTTACCTTATTTCCATGATCCTCTGCCAAGAGGTCAGGACTGTCATCGATTCCGTCCTATAAACACAACAACAATACATTTTTTGTCAAATTATTAGAGAACGTATTATAAACATAGCAATAAAATGTCTGATAAGGTAATAGAAACAAGAAGCACACCCACCATCATGGCTGCAGCTTTTGTCACGTGACGAAATGAGTGACACAGAGCTAAATTGTTATTTTCGTATTTTTGAGTCATGTTTTATCTGGACAAGTTTGTGTGAAGATTTTAATTTATTGGAAACTACTTTTCATGAAGTGGACTAAAATTAGTGTATAGCTTCACCGAAATCTGCAAAAATGGATTGAGACCACGCGAACTTCGAAGCTAGGGATCTACCATTATTTTTCCCTGCTACGGGAGCAGTCATTTATTTTGTATTCATGTTTCGGAGAGGAAGTCGAGCCATACAACTAACGAAACCAAATAAATTTGTCTTTGCGTGAGCGTAAAATAGAGTAAACGGAAATATAAACTTTGTTGCAGATTTATTTAGAGCAGTGATATGATTATTTGGGGTACCTTTAGAAATCAGTATCACAAGTTTTCGTGAGGACGATATGTGCTGTAGGTGACCAGCTGGTGACAGGAAATATTGAACTTACATTCTATTTCAAAGCCCTAGACGGCCCAGGTTTATCCGTGGTCGGGGGCATGCCGTACTTCGGTTGACCAAACTTGCCCATTCCTACTTACCCCCTTGGGTGCGATACAGTGGTTAGCAGCCTGACATCATACTTAGAGCAAATTATAAATATAGTTTCATTTATTGATTCAGTCATGAATAAAAACATGTTACTGAATTAGTAAAATACAATTATTTAGCAATTAATATTAGATATTCTGATATGTGTAAGGAAAATGTAACGTTCGGTTTAATGTTTGTTGACGGCTATATCTGACGTCGGTCTAAATAATAGAGTCTGTACCAGACAATCCAGTGATTGATGTCATGAGCATTGTTCTACACAATTAGGATACGATGACATGCATCAACCAAATCAGCGAGCCTGACCACCTGATCCCCTTGGTCGCCTCTTACGACCCCGGTATTCTAATCTTTATTTCAACTTCTTGTCGTTTCACATGCATTGAATAAATACGATACAACACCAGCTTTGTCAATCAATGACACACGTATTTGCCTCCTCTAGTGTGCTATAGCAATACACAAGGCTGTGGTGGTTTTCTCCTTCTGACAGCCATTTTGTATCATACCTAAGGTTGCATTTTATGCTTTCTATTTCCTTGATCCTGTGCTAGCCTCGCTTGACTAACGAAGGCATCGTTAGAAATTGGCACTAGTCCTATAGTCCTTGCCAAACTGCCCCAGGACTAGTAGAAATTTGCCATTTCTAAGGGTTTTGCTTACAAGTTATCATTTTAAGGCCTAGTGGGCTAAAAATGTTAGCTATTACCGCTGCTAAGGTCACTCAGGTCACCCAGACCATGACCATGTTGTTGTTGTCGTTGTTGTCGTTGTTGTTGTCGTTGTTGTTGTTGTGGGTCCTCCAAGGGTTCTCACAATTGCAAGACACGTTGGGTGGTGGTCACTCAACAGCACCACTACAGGGGGTCATCTGCACTGTACTTTCATGGGAGGCTGGCCTGGCTGGTTTGACTCCGGTTGTAGCCACAGGGGCTGGACGTTTCTCGGCCTTGTTAGGACAGTCCATACTGCGATGAACACCTGGTGTCATCTCTGATATTTAGTGATCTATTCATATACGTTTCACTACTATTTTGCCTTACTAATGCCAATGGATAATCGAGACTGGTTATTTTCAGTCATTAACGTTAATGACTATGGAAATGCTTTTGTCGCTTTTATATAATTGAACAATGAAAGTGAGTCAGCTATAGACACCTCGTCAAAGTATTGCACCGCCAAATTTGAAGTGTAATTGCGAGTTCTTTTTTCAATGTAGAGATTTTCGAATTGTAATCTGTGCGTAGACAAATCATCTGCCTGTAGAATGGTGGTCACCTTAACTGTCCAACCTTGTGGGTGAGTTTCTACGAACCGTATGCAGACCTAAGGGGTCTCTATAGAAAAATTTATGTTTGATGACAAAAGGGTTACACGGCAATTCTGCTGTTAATTTTGAATGAAAGTTCTATCAATTTGACAGTCCTTGGAAGGATTGTAACTGAAATGCCTAAGCGTACTATCCCAGAAAGTCAAAGCTACATACAACAGTGTTCCTAAGCGCCATCAGGCGTCGACTGAAGGCAGCAGGAGTAAGGGCCAGAAGACCAATAAGACGTTCAATCCTCTCACGCCAACACATACTGGACCGTTTAGCCTGGTGTCAGGCTCCAGAACACTGGGACTTGAGGTAATTGAGGAGGATTCAACGGCCTGACGAGAGTCGGTTCATATTGCACCACACTGATGGTAGGACTCGTGTCAGGCAGAAGGGGGACATCTTATCATCAGCGCAACATCCAGGAAATAGTGCATGTTGCACCTTTGATTGTAAACTTGATTTGATCACAGTTCAGGGGACATTAAATGAACAAAGGTACAAAGATAACACATTGGACGGTTTTATTGTGCCTCACCATTTTAACTGAAAACCATGCACTTGCCACACGTCCCGTCTTCATGGACGACAATGCCCGACCCACCCAGCACGAGCTGTCACTGGCTATCTCCAGACCAACGCCATTAGACCTTCTCAAAGCCCAGACCTGAATGCAATCTAGCATCCATGGGATCAGTTGGGGCGTAGGGTTAGCCAGGTATAATCACTGGATTGTGTGATCCAGACTCGATTATTTACAGACCGCCGTCATACAGCTGGAATATTGCTAAAACAATTTATTCCATAAAGAATGTCGGCAGTCAGTCAAGCGTTTCGTATACACAGCAGACAATCATAGGTAGCTGGGTGACCCCAGTTATGGGTGTAGACTACATATGCATGTTCCAGTGTATGCGTCAGCTTCATGTAAAAGAGAAATCCAGAAGTGAAACAGGTGTGAGAAGGTCCACGTGGTGAAACTCACTGCTGGAGATTTTCAAAGAACAGATCCGACCACACAATTCCAAAACATGTCAGTATTCAAAATTAAAATACAGCTATGACGTCACTCTATTGTTTTAACTGCAGATTATCTGTAACGATTTGACACTTTACTGACACATTGCAAATTTTGGTTCATGCATAAATCTAAGCACGTGCATTGTTACAAATGTACCGACTACAACGATCAGTTCGCCCAAATTGCACGTGCGGTACGAATATACAGGCCAGTTCAAATACAGCACGATATCAAAGCACGAAGTTAAAGATTCTCATGTTTATTAAATGTATTGCTTGCAATTTCCGTGCAGCATATTTGTGTTTATTTATTGATGTAGTTTAACTTTCAGTCTGTATTTTTAATCTAATTACTCAGTATTTTGTTACTTTTCAGATAACGCACGCGTAACTGTACATTGGTAACAGCTTGATGGGTAAACATAAGAATAGCACTCAGAAAATAACAATAAACTGGTGAGTTGTCAACTTAGTAGCTTTGACTCCCGACCATCAGGCGTGCAACTTTTAAAAACTGACCGTCCGCCAGCAAAATAGACTGTCTCGGGCTGTCGGGCAGGCGGGTATTTTAAACGCTGATGTACCTATCATTAGCACAACACTCCTGGCAGCAGACTTCAGACTGGATTCTTCATAAACCAGCGCGTATGACACATTACTCAACGTGCCTTGCACATGTGCCGGATATCACATCATGAGGGAGCGAGACTGACGTATTTACCGTCAGAACGGAATCCATAGGCTTTGACTTGACTTGCTTGTTAAGCGATGAATATTGCGCGAAGCTATGCGGAGTTATGTCCCATTGACTGTACTTGGGCTGGACGGCGTCTCTCCAAGAGTGAGCTCAAACACGTGTTTGGAGACACCGCAGCCACCTGTGTGTGTGCTGCATCTGTTTTTGTTGCACAGCGTCTACTTGTCTGCTCAACACATGGTTTGCAAACTGATTCCCAATTTTGGTTTATAATACCAAGTCCATGTTTAATCTGATAATGCGAAGTTGTTTTGAGACTGACAAGTTTAGTATAAAAAAAGGTAAATCTGTGACTCTCTTGTGTGAAAATTGAATGACATTCACACTGTTTTCTCCGTAAAAGTGTAGATCGCAAAACATCCCTTCTCTTCGTTTCGTGTATCGAGAAAGGTACACTCAACTGCCCATTGAAGTTTCTATACCCGCAGAGATTACATTGCAGAATAGCACCCCAGTACCCCTCGTTTGTCTCCCCGTAGAGATTCCATCGCAGAACAGATCCAAAACTGGTTCGTTTATATAGCACGTGGGATCAGCTCTCCTGTATTGCTGGTGGGTTTATATAGCACGTGGGATCAGCTCTCCTGTATTGCTGGTGGGTTTATATAGCACGTGGGATCAGCTCTCCTGTATTGCTGGTGGGTTTATATAGCACGTGGGATCAGCTCTCCTGTATTGCTGGTGGGTTTATATAGCACGTGGGATCAGCTCTCCTGTATTGCTGGTGGGTTTATATAGCACGTGGGATCAGCTCTCCTGTATTGCTTGTGGGTTTATATAGCACGTGAGATCAGCTCTCCTGTATTGCTGGTGGGTTTATATACCAAGTGGGATCAGCTCTCCTGTATTGCTGGTGGGTTTATATACCAACCACGTGGGATCAGCTCTCCTGTATTGCTGGTGGGTTTATATACCAACCACGAGGGATCAGCTCTCCTGTATTGCTGGTGGGTTTATATACCACGTGGGATCAGCTCTCTTGTATTGCTGGTGGGTTTATATACCACGTGGGATCAGCTCTCCTGTATTGCTGGTGGGCTTATATACCACGTGGGATCAACCCTCAGGTATTGCTGGTGGGTTTATATACCACGTGGGATCAGCCCTCCTTTATTGCTGGTGGGTTTATATACCACGTGGGATCAGCCCTCCTGTATTGCTGGTGGGTTTATATACCACGTGGGATCAGCTCTCTTGTATTGCTTGTGGGTTTATATACCAACCACGTGGGATCAGCTCTCCTGTATTGCTGGTGGGTTTATATAGCACGTGGGATCAGCTCTCCTGTATTGCTGGTGGGTTTATATACCACGTGGGATCAGCTCTCTTGTATTGCTGGTGGGTTGATATACCACGTGGGATCAGTTCTCCTGTATTGCTGGTGGGTTTATATACCACGTGGGATCAGCTACCCTGTATTGCTGGTGGGCACACACACACACACACACACACACACACACACACACACACACACAGAACTACAACACTGTGTGAAAGTTTTAATGTGAGTGCAAACCGTGATACCTTGAACGACCTTGAGTTTTATTCATAGCCATCATCGTTCACAGACAGTTTGAGCACTCTGCGACTGATGTTTCTTGAGATTAAGATTTTAAAACTTTTGTAAACTTTGATTATGGGATTGTAATGTTTTTAGACGGCTTTTTAGGCTTTGTAGTTCCAGAGGAGATGTCGGAAATGCAGTAACACAAGACAAATGGGGGTACGTGAAAGTCAATGGTCGTTTTTAAGTTAAAAATATAAATATACCAACAAAAAAACACGTCATAACTCATACCACGCATTTGCTGAATATCCAATGTCATTATGAGATATGCAGAAACGGCAGAGTATTGAGCAAAAATGACATTTTCAATATGGCCGCCATGGGAGCCATGTTAGTTGGATCAGAATTCTGTGAGCACTTTTGTCGACACCATAACTGGCACGATTCATACAAGTTTAATTCCCGTAGGCCTTGTAGTTTCAAAGGAAACTGTAACAGTAAACGAAGGACAGACGGACGGACGACAGACAACTCGCCAAGTACACTTGACTTTCAGTAAGAAGAGCACAAAACCAACATTGCGTACCATTACAAAAGACATTTATTCAACTCACAAAGTTAGGACAACAGTTGCTTTCAATTAACACCACATCTAAATAATTATGGCAAGGTGTGAGACTGACAGATACAAGTGCCGACTTCCGGTTGTACATCAGTGTTGACTGACTACATCTAGTACACTATGACAAGCGCTACAACCGAGATCACAAGAACAGAAACCCCCGTGGTATAGGGGAAGAACGTATAACAAGCTGTAAATGTATAGAAGAACAAAAATCATTGCAAAGTATACAAGCAGATCCAATATAACGGAAGAAAACTTACATCCTTATATAACGATACAAAATACAAACTGTTATCAAGATGAACGTGTGAAAATGTGAACATAATCTTAACACAGAAGTATAGGGAACTCATCAGGTGTTACTCTGGAAACACATCTAGAGTTGCCACATTATTATGCTTACGACAGACACGGAAAATTACCATACTTAATCAAATAGTTTTTGTATTCCGAATCTCATTCCGTTTTCTTCATAAGACAGACACGTGCGTTTAACGCCGCTGTGAACAGTATTCCAGTTATATTACGGCGTGTCAGCTTAACGGGGGAGGAAAACCCGAAGTCATGTATGTCCCTGACGTTTACCACTTCGGTGAAATCCACGAGCACGACTATGGTGCTGACAAGCCGAGAAACAATCGGGGGCGAACTTGATTCGAACCAACGATCATAGGTTTCTGGCGTGCGCAAGGGAGGCAACTCTGTGGCGCATTCGACGACTTGGCCCGCCGTGCCACCCGACAGACATATGAATTTGGAATTCACGTTGAATTGTCAATGCACGCCTGACCAATCAATAATTCATGAGGATTAAATATCACTTTTATTTTATTTAGATTTATCGAAACGAATGCAAATCTATATGATAATGTGTGCGCTTTTTAGAATCTTCAAAAATATAACAGCGTATGTTATAAAGAAGCCACGATGGTATTTTAATATTAAAGCACAAAATACAAAAGAAGGCATGATACGGTTAGCCACACAGCTTGAATAAATGATGCTCGATATATTTCCCAGAAACACAAGTTTCGTTTTAATATTCAGCAATCCATATTTAGCATTACCCTCTGGCCTTACCCGACCCGACTGTTCTTGGCCCTGCTGCAGGCAGTCCCAAACCTGATGATTTAGGTATGTGTCGTGGGAAGAAAAACATCTTCAAACAAACGACTCATTTACCTAGGGCGCGTGACCAATGGAAGACCCGACCTGAATTTCCGACCAAGTGAAGAAATATGTTTCCCTTCACGGTCATGTGTTCCTGATGAACGTGAGATAAAACAGTTCAATTTGCTACCCGCGTCCACCTATAACATTATTTCAATTAACAAAAATGAGTATTTCACTTCATTTCTTTGGATAAAAAATACATATTAAAAGTTACCTACAAAGACAAAATTCAATAGAAAAGCAGAAAAAAGTATAAATATAGTAAAATAGTTTCTGACAATACGGAAGAAGGTTATAAGAGCACTTTCCTCTCCTTGCTTGAGTGTAAACGTCAAAGCAAATCACATGAGCGAACAAACAACCAACAGTCCCGTGCAGAACCGCCACCGCATGTCCTCGAGCTCTGATTGGTTAAAAGTCTATCACGTGACGGAACTACCGGCAAGTCAACTGTAGGATGCCCATGATTCCACCTACGAACATGAAGATGGCGCCGACTATGGCGAAGCCCATGGACCAGCCCACGTGGTAACTGTAACCAAGCTTGATGGCGAACACGGCAATACCCACCACGATGAAGAACACTGAAACAAAAAGGAAGAACAGTTTTATATTTGCCATAGAGAGCTAACATGGCCGCAACTCGACCTAGACCACAAAACTGGGTGTGGATTAACATAGACTAGAAATAAAGTTCAGACGATGTGCTTTATGTAATGAGTAACACTTACGTCCGTGACTAGTTTAGTTAAAGAGACAAACAGGCAGAAAATGGCATGCTGGGATAATATTTGGTCAGGAAATATTTCTATAATTGGAATCATTAGGCCCCCCCTCCACCAATCGATATTATCTAGAGAGGGTTGTTGTGTATCGCCACAGACGGTGTCGGTATCAAGCATTGATTGTTTTCAGCGTTCACCGTCTCAAGAGATAAATGCTGACGCAGGAATCACAAATTTGCATCATAAACTTCTGATATTTTCATAAGAGGTCAGCTGGTTCTCATGCGCCATGAAGAGATCAGTGCCGCTTCTAAATAACAACGCGGAGCACGTCAAACCTAAAGGCCCTCGCTTCTCGCAGTCCTGTAGACAATCTGTCTACGTGAATATAAATACACATACGCGGTTTGTCTAAAAGATAGGGTTATTGGACCCGACACGTTAATTAAGGACCATTCAATTTTGAACATATTATAAACTACGTCAGCAAAAACATAACACACTCCGTGATAGAGAAAACAATCGATTTCGAAAATGCTTTTTAAGGGGAATATTACGAGTTTAACGTCTAAGTTTCACAATATATGAAAGGGGTATAATTCATTATTGTCGTATCTATCTACTACTTCACTTAGCACGCTGACGTCGAGCGTCTATCTACTACTTCACTTAGCACGCTGACGTCGTATCTATCTACTACTTCGCTTAGCACGCTGACGTCGAGTATCTATCTACTACTTCACTTAGCACGCTGACGTCGAGTATCTATCTACTACTTCACTTAGCACGCTGACGTCGAGTATCTATCTACTTCTTCACTTAGCACGCTGACGTCGAGCGTCTCTCTACTACTTCACTTAGCACGCTGACGTCGTATCTATCTACTACTTCGCTTAGCACGCTGACGTCGAGTATCTATCTACTACTTCACTTAGCACGCTGACGTCGACTATCTATCTACTTCTTCACTTAGCACGCTGACGTCGAGCGTCTATCCAGACTGCTACATGCTGCCTGCTGACGTCGAGTGTCTATCCAGACTGCTACATACAGCCCGCTGACGGCGAGTGTCTATCCCGACTGCTACATGCAGCCCGTTGACGTCGAGTGTCTATCCCGACTGCTACATGCAGCCCGTTGACGTCGAGTGTCTATCCAGACTGCTACATACAGCCCGTTGACGTCGAGTGTCTATCCAGGCTGCTACATACAGCCAGTTGACGTCGAGTGTCTATCCAGACTGCTACATGCAGCCCACTGACGTCGAGGTTCTGTCAAGACTGCTGCATGCAGCCCGCTGACGTCGAGTGTCTATCCCGACTGCTACATGCAGCCCGCTGACGTCGAGTGTCTATCCAGACTGCTACGTACAGCCCGCTGACGTCGAGTGTCTATCCAGACTGCTACATACAGCCCGCTGACGTCGAGGTCTATCCAGACTGCTACATACAGCCAGTTGACGTCGAGTGTCTATCCAGACTGCTACATACAGCCAGTTGACGTCGAGTGTCTATCCAGACTGCTACATGCAGCCCGTTGACGTCGAGTGTCTATCCAGACTGCTACATACAGCCAGTTGACGTCGAGTGTCTATCCAGACTGCTACATACAGCCAGTTGACGTCGAGTGTCTATCCAGACTGCTACATACAGCCAGTTGACGTCGAGTGTCTATCCAGACTAATACATACAGCCTGTTAATTATCCAGGCTCTTACGTACGGCATTGTTGACGTCATTCGAATCTTATTGTGACGTAAGGTCGGAATGACGACACACTAGAAACGATAAAGATTGTTGACAACGGGCGTGATAAGTGCTTTTTCTGAATGGTAGCTAAAAATATTATAAGGGTAACGCTATTTTCAGGGCATTATTATTTGCAGGGCATTTCAGGGCATTATTATCGAGACCGAGGGCTTCTGCAAATAATAATGACATTAAAAAGAGCGTTTCCGTTATTATAGCTAAAATGGATGGAAATTGTTATCAAATAAAAATAAACAACAATATCGGTTTTGAAACAGTTACTGCAATCAACACGAATGTCATTGACCCACTTTTAACAAATATGGAAATGTCATAGAACCAGATGACGTCACTATTGAACGTGACGTCACTATCCCAACCCTATGACGTCACCTAACAACATGCGTGATAATGGCCCGTCGTCAAGCAATATGAGCGCATTATCAACTTACAGTGGCCCACTGATTTCTGATAACATGCGGGCGGGTTTAATTATAATTCTATCCATTTAAGCTATGATAAGAAACAATGGGAAATAAAGAAAGTATCACACACGCCTGTGTTATAAGAACTTATGTGTTACCCTCGCCATCGCTCGGAATGACATTCGTTTCGTGAAACTAAATGGCTACATATAATCTGTTGACGTCCATCTCCGTGTTTGATCCACCCCCACATGCAGTGCGACTAAAACAATTCACTCACTCACGCAAGCACGCACGCACGCACGCACGCACGCACGCACGAACGAACACGTTACAAGACTGACCTGCAGCGAAGACGCAGACGACGAAGGCGATGAGGGAGTTCCTGCGTCTACAGCTGTCCACGAGCAGGTACAACAGCAGCACCAGAAGGGACACCAGGGCGAAGATGAGGCCGATACACTCTAGGGCCTGGGTCGCTCGTACGTGTTCTGAACAAGGAAAATACAGGAGTCAGTAGGGTGCTCCCCCTAAATACAGTAGTCAGTAGGGTGCTCCCCCTAAATACAGTAGTCAGTAGGGTGCTCCCCCTTAATACAGGAGTCAGTAGGGTGCTTCCCCTTAATACAGTAGTCAGTAGGGTGCTTCCCCTTAATACAGTAGTCAGTAGGGTGCTCCCCCTAAATACAGTAGTCAGTAGGGTGCTCCCCCTAAATACAGTAGTCAGTAGGGTGCTTCCCCTTAATACAGTAGTCAGTAGGGTGCTCCCCCTAAATACAGGCGTCAATATGGCCCTTCCACTAAATACAGGAGTCAATAGGGTGCTCCCCCTAAATACATGTGGGAGTCAATAGGGTGCTCCCCCTAAATACAAGTGTCAATAGGGTGCTCCCCCTAAATACAGGAGTCAGTAGGGTCCTTCCACTAAATACAGGAGTCAATAGGGCCCTTCCACTAAATACAGGAGTCAGTAGGGTGCTCCCCCTAAATACAGGAGTCAATGGGGCCCTTCCACTAAATACAGGAGTCAATAGGGTCCTTCCCCTAAATACAGGAGTCAGTAGGGTCCAACTGATTCTCCTTCGTAATCCCGACAAGGAGGCGCGCATTTGTGGCACTGGACACTTAGTCTACTGTGGTAGAATGGTCAGAGCAATAACATCCCCCGACAGACAGAAACTCCTACAAGTGTTCGTGTGTTGGTGGTGCAGGTTACGCTCACCTTTCCGCTAAATCCTGATACCATCACTGTTTGATATTGATTCCTAGAGATTTCTTATGATTATGGAAATGTTTTGTGTTTATTCAATCACCCCCATCTGCCCAGTGTACACGTAACCACCTCTCATCAACACAGTGCCCGCTGCGTCAAGATTCCAGATTTTATGAGAAGAGACATAATTACCATGAGCCATGTGTTTGGGATTGGTGTTCACGGGAGGGCCTTAATCGAGATTTCCAAACAGACCAGACACGCCACCAGGCCTATTGTATCGATTCCCCTCCACGGGGCGATGTGTCCGAACTCCCGGCCCTGGTGGTCATCAGGGTGGGGACTGGATGTTTAGTGGGAAGTGGTGGGGTGTGGACTGGATGCTTAGTGGGAAGTGGTGGGGTGGGGACTGGATGTTTAGTGGGAAGTGGTGGGGTGAGGACCGGATGTTTAGTGGGAAGTGGTGGGGTGAGGATTGGATGTTTAGTGGGAAGTGGTGGGGTGGGGACTGGATGCTTAGTGGGAAGTGGTGGGGTGAGGACCGGATGTTTAGTGGGAAGTGGTGGGGTGAGGACTGGATGTTTAGTGGGAAGTGGTGGGGTGGGGACTGGATGTTTAGTGGGAAGTGGTGGGGTGGGGACTGGATGTTTAGTGGGAAGTGGTGGGGTGAGGACCGGATGTTTAGCGGGAAGTGGTGGGGTGAGGACTGGATGTTTAGTGGGAAGTGGTGGGGTGGGGAATGGATGTTTAGTGGGAAGTGGTGGGGTGAGGACCGGATGTTTAGTGGGAAGTGGTGGGGTGAGGATTGGATGTTTAGTGGGAAGTGGTGGTGTGTGGACCGGATGTTTAGTGGGAAGTGGTGGTGTGTGGACCGGATGTTTAGTGGGAAGTGGTGGGGTGAGGACCGGATGTTTAGTGGGAAGTGGTGGTGTGGGGACCGGATGTTTAGTGGGAAGTGGTGGGGTGGGGACTGAATGTTTAGTGGGAAGTGGTGTGGTGAGGACTGGATGTTTAGTGGGAAGTGGTGGGGTGAGGACCGGATGTTTAGTGGGAAGTGGTGGTGTGAGGACCGGATGTTTAGTGGGAAGTGGTGGTGTGTGGACTGGATGTTTAGTGGGAAGTGGTGTGGTGAGGACTGGATGTTTAGTGGGAAGTGGTGGTGTGTGGACCGGATGTTTAGTGGGAAGTGGTGGTGTGTGGACCGGATGTTTAGTGGGAAATGGTGGTGTGTGGACCGGATGTTTAGTGGGAAATTGTGGTGTGTGGACTAGATGTTTAGTGGGAAATGGTGGTGTGTGGACCGGACGTTTATTTGGATGTGGTGGTACGTGGACTGGATGTTAAGTGGGAAGTGTTCGAGTGGTGATTGGGTGTTTAGTTAGAAGCGATAGTGCGGGGATTGCAGGTTTAGTTAGAAATGACGGGGTAGGGACTGTTTAGTGAGAAGCCCCTCTGAAAATATATAATACTGATGGAACCAATTAATTTCATCTATAGTTTAAAAGAGCCCCAGTGAGATGGTAGATTCAGAACCTGAACCTGAGGAAAATCTAGACTTGCTTCAACAGAAAGGGCTTGGCGGAAGGGAAAATAATATAGTTCAGGGACTGTGAGACAGTCTACGTCTGCTCAGGGCGGTGTTAAAGTGAAGACACTTCGCGCACTGACTTGACTTGAATGTTAGTAAGGCACCAGCTTGGATTTGAAGTGTGTTAAATTCGCGAGAACACAGAAACGTAGACTTGCACAAGTCTTTAAGGCAATAATTATTAGTTTAAATCATATTTTCTAGATTATTGAAATAACAAGAACATTTAGTCCCTGTAAGCCCCTCGAGTCTTATACTGTCCACATATCTAGACTTGCCTATGTATTAGGAACATAGAATTACTAACAGCCATAGATTATTCTTTCAGTACAGCCTTGGAGCAAGGCTAACAGAAACAGAACCGAGGGACCTTACCGGGAAGCACTGCCGACGGTGTGGTCAGGCAGGTTGGCGGAGCGGCTTTTAAAACTTACATACTCTTCTTGGTTGGTTTGTTGTTTAACGCCGCACTCAGCAATATTTCAGCTATATGAGGTGGTCTGTAAATAATCGAGTCTGGACCAGACAATCCAGTGACTGATATCATGAGCACAGATCCACGCAACTGGGATCGATGACATACATCAACCAAGTCAGCGAGCCTGACCACCCGATCCCGTTAGTCGCTTTTACGACAAGCATAGCCGCCTTTTAAGGCAATCATGGGTTGCTGAAGACCTATTTCCCCCGGATACACAGTTGAGCGGTGAGCGGTTTAGCGTGTTAGTCGGGATGCCAGGAAACGTATATTAAAGTATCTGGCCATACATTCTATCTATGCCTTAAGAAACGCTCCAAAATTCGAAACTAAAATTATTTCTAAAATTTCTAGACAAATATTTTTATAAATTAACTAAGCGTGTCATGCGTTATCGGGGAGTATGATTCAGTGCCACGCCCTAGCGTGTCAGTTTGCCCTCCAGACACGCCCATCCTGGCACGCCCACAATGTAGACTTCCGACTATAGTTACAGCGGTGTTATACTACTGCTACACACGAGCAACAGAAGGACATAGCCTTGTATTATCAAGGAAGGGTGGATTCACTCCGATGTAATGACATATATTCATCTACACCAGAGAAGATATTGTTATTGTACATGGCGGTTTATAGTCCATGTACTCTAATTACTATTGTTGTGTATTTCCTCTCCATAAAATCAGTGGGCTCTTATGTAGAACAATTTGTAACAATGTTTAGCTCAAAATTATGTATTTTCTTAATACTTTAGTGAAAACAAATGGATATTGCACAATTTATACTTTGAGCATAATCTGCGGACTTTTTTGTCTCTGGTGTTTTTAATATTATTTCCAGAGGGAAAAATAATCATCTTGTGACTAAATCAGTTCTACCATGCTTGTGGAGTTACTACATATACTACATTCAACCCCAGGACCGCTTCCGTGGTCTAGCGGATAGAGTAGAGAGCTGAACGTCGGGGGTTCGGTCCCCGGTGGCGTCATACCAGAAGACCGTCCAAAAGATGGTACTTGTTGTTACCTTGTCTGACGTTCGGCATTAAGGGGCTAAAACAAGGATTGGTCGGCTCGCAGTCAGTACACTGTGTCTTGGGCGTAAATGTTAAACTGTGGCATTACCCTGGACTAGTACAAGCATGGCGCTATACAACTGCAATACTTCTGAACGCCGCGGTAAAAAAACCCACTTCACCTCATCATTCAAGTCTATCCATACAGGCTCAACCTGTCGTATCACTTTGATATGGTGTTCACTCCCTAGGTCATAAACAGGTCATAAACAGGTCATCCAAGGGCCTCCTAGCTCCCAACACTGCCACACGGTCAGAGACTATACTAGTACATGTACATATTAGGTAGTATCCTAACTAGCCTTGCGCCAAGGCTATACAGAAAAGAGTCCATGGATGTGTAGTAATTCTATCCTCCTATAACAGGCAATTCTAGATATGTGGACAGTACAAGTCTCGAGGGTCTTATAGGGACAACTTGGTCTTAAAATTTCCATAATCGAGAAATTATGATTTAACCTAATAATTATTGCCTTAGGGATTTGTGCAAGTCTATATCCTAACAGTCATTTAGCAGTGTCGTTTCCCCTGCTTGTATGTCGATACTCAGACATACCAGAAGTGCTTTCCCATGAGTCAAAGTGTATTGTTTTAGAGGTATTGCTCTTACAGATGGAACTTGGCCAAAAAAAATCATTCGCCATTAAGTATTACACAACAACGTATCCATTAACATAATGTTAAGATGCTGCCACAAAGGTTACGTAACATCCTCATATCGTATACAGCCACGCCCAACTCTCGCGATAGCGCTGTCAGCACTGCCTGCAGTGTCAAGGTCACATATGCAGCCGTCGACTTGCTACCCACGCCGTGCCAGCTAGCTTGAAATGGTCCATTAACACTGGTAACACTACACACACATCAGCAGGTACCGGCCCGGTAGGAGAAGTCGAAATTCATCTGCCTCCTCGGTGTGTCGGCCGCAGGGAGGATGCACTGATCATCACAGCAGACCTGTCCCGGAGTTGTACATCAGCTGTTAGAGACATGCCGACTTGGCAGTTTATTTAGAACATTGACGGTGCAAGGTGTAGAGAGATCGAATTTAAACTTGGTAGTTCAGTTGGAACGTCGAATGCGGCCGCCTCAGTGGTCTAGAGGTAGGGCGTCGCGCCGGGTTCGATCCCCGGCCGC